AAATCTCCCATGTCTTCGATCGCTGGTGTGTGCACGGGCACGTGTGCATGGGCGTGTGTGTGTGTGTGTGTGTGTGTGCGTGCGTGCATGCGTTTGCGTGTGTGTGCTGTTCTGTACAATGCTATGCAATGCTCAGCTGCTACAGCAGAGAGCAAGCATCAATGCCATCAACGAACATGGAAACACGCCGCTCCACTACGCATGCTTCTGGAACCATGCCTCCATTGCCCAGGTAACTGACTGACCATGTGCCCAGAGCAGCTGTGCAGCTGTGCTTGGATATTTCCTATTTCTTCTGTGCCTGGGTTATGACCAATGCAGGCTCAGCTTCGGCCAGTCCGTTTTGTGACCCATGTTCATTACAACTTAAATCTTGGGTATTTCCCTCAAACCAGGAAACAACTTAAATCGCACAGCCTAATCACAACGATTCTGGATGCCTTTTTATTGAGCTCATGAACATGTTGCCTGTAGCCTTTCGTGTCCGTCTTCCTCCATTGTAGAGCTGTGGAAGAGCAAAATGGCTTTCCGATGGCAGTAACTCACTACTGTACTTATGATTTCCTGTAACGTCCACGGAGGTATCCCGCTGTAGTGGTGGTGTGTGTGTGTGGGGGGGGGGGGGGGGGGTGAACGGCGTTTTGATTGAACTCATGCACAATGTAGTGGTGGTGAAGTTAGTTGGTGAAGTTATTTAAAGCCATTCACGCTGTACAAGTAGGTAGTGTGTGGCTTCACACACATGTACATTGTACTGACTATGTAAAGGTGAGTCAAAGCCACTGCCTGGCAGGCACTAGTGCTGTACTATTCTACTGTAGCTGTGTGCACTGTTTCGCTTTGTGCATTCTACACAGGAGCTGGTGGTGAGAGGAGCACGGGTGATGCAGTGCAACAAGTATGATCAAACAACACTAGAACTGGCCAAGAAGGAGCTGGCCAGCACTCTGGCAGGTGAGGGTTTGCGCTTGTAGTGCTGCCATCCTGGAAACGCCCGTTCCACAGCAGGACACATTTTTTTGTCGTCAGAGCGGGTATGGCTCTATGCTTCGAAGTAGACGATGCTAGCTGCCGTGTGTCTGTCTTGAAAACACGGTTACAGTGCCGCACTTGGATGTTGATACTCATGCCCAGCATATACTCCAGTATGACTGGACTGTCCGAGCAATGACTGTCCACTGTGACGACCGGCTACCAAGACACTTTGTTCTCCTGCAACGTTGTTGTGCAAGACGTACGAACTCCCGTGCTAAGCGACCATGAAACAGCCTAGGAGACCACTTGTCCAGCAAAGACACCGATGACTTCCGGCACCAGGTGTTGACCTACATGACAGTTGAACACCTGGTGCTGAAGGTGACATGTCATGTTATCCTGTGCACATGTAGAGCTAGTTGATCTGTGCGCTCTTCTGGGATTTTAACACTGAGGACAGATCAGCTGCACAACAGAATATGAGAGAGTAGTGCCAGTTCAGGAGGATTTCAGAAATCTGACTACTGTATAGCAGGAAATTTTCGGACGGAAATATTTTCGGACAAAGCCAAATTTCGAACTTTCGTACGGATTTTATTTTCGTACAGTGCTGCATGCTAAATACATGTGTTCGCAAGGAGCATGCATGTATAGTGTACATAATTTCACATGAACAAATTTTAGTACGGAATTAATTTTAGTACAAAAGAGTGTACGAAATCGTACGAAAATAAATTCCGTCCGAAAATGTCCTGCTATACTGTATACAGTATCCTCCAGACTGACCCTGAGTGCCGGGTCACATTTCCGAGGCGGTCTGATGTGTTCCCTGTATGTGTGCATATATATATGTGAGCCTTGTGCGGGATAAAAAAAATGGTTGCATTTCCACGGTGGTTTCTGCTAGTGATGTAGCCGAGACCAAGTTCACACTGTACAGTGTTTTTGTCTGTTGTTTTTTTATGACACGTGTGCTGTCTTCTGGTGATCAACAGACATGGCGCAAAAATCTGGACAAGAGATGAAGAGGATCGAATTCCGGCGAGGTAAATATCCCGTCTGATCTACCGCTACGCACTCATCATACTTGCAACACATGCATCATTCACTAAGCCCAAGAGCTGACTAAAGCTGTGCGGACGGGTCTTGTCATGCTTATGCAGGCACTCTACACGTGTCATGGCCCTGCGGATGAAAGTAGGTGTTTGCTTTTCGCATGGCGCCTGATTTACGAGCATTCTTGTCGAGAGAGGAGTAGTATCAGTCTGGATTCTGGGCAGATACTTGTTGCCATTGTGTCTGTGTGTGTGTGTATCCTGCTTGCTGTGTGCCCTTGCAGACATCAACACCAACACTATGAAGCATCCCAAGATCAGCAGTAAGTGGCCATACTCTTGCCCTCTTGGTGCTCATCCTATTTATATAGAGGAGATTTGACTGTATCTACCGTGTTTTCAGCAATAGGGCTTGAAAGTGATGACGTCAAAAACGGCCAGGGAGTAGTAAGTTGACATCAGATTTCTATTTTGGATCCACTAAGGTGTGACTTTGCTATTGCCTCAGTATGTGGGTGCATAGCAACCCACTCGTGTCGTATGCAGGCGTGACTTTTACTTCGCCACCAGTTGTCACCCCGCCCCCAGTAGCCAAATCAGTCAGTTTCATTGGCTACATCACCTTGCTGTGAGAAAGACCGCTTCAAATGTGCTTGGATCCATATAAAAACTGGATCCAAGTGGATCCAGTTTTTGAATTTTTGAAATTGTTGCTATGCTGTGACGTAGCACTTTCAAGCCCTATAAGCTTACATTGTAGTAGATTGCGAGCCCTAAAATTTCACCCAATTTGCAAAAAAATCCACACAGAAACCCTGAAATGATGTGGCGCTTATTTTCAGACAGGCGGTAATAAAAGACCAGCGCTAGTTTCCAATATTGTATCGTAAATTCCTAAGCTGGTTGTGTTTCTTTTCACACAATTGTATGGCAGATGGTAACGCGGACGTGCGGACTTTCCTCTTTTTTTATACATTCACAGTCGCCGCCAGTGTAAGCGTACATGAATGAATGCACAGCTTACACACAGTTTGGCATGCCAACTGTGCAAACACAGTGCATGCCCTGGTCACGGATGCAGTCGCTCCGAAAGTCACTTACGCTGAATGACGCTAGTGCTGTGAAGTGAAAAAATCCAAGTCGGCCTAAGTAGTAAAACAAAACGGTCAAATGCTCAGACGGTCGGACAGGTTACCCCGAACAAACGAGCATATTACACGACCTTATGGATAGTACTGGGTGACGTTGGAGCGCACATACTAGCGTACTGGCAGCACCATTGCTAGCACCGTGGGAATCTCTGCCTGGCGAACCGTGGCGCAGAGTTCATTTGTGCATGTTTTCCAGAACTCAGCACTGCTTTTTTTCTCTGTGTCTTGTACAGCTGCGGCGCTCCATGAGCGTGGGCCTGAGGTCCCGCTGTCCGACCTGAATCTAATTCAGAAAATGATCTCGTCTCCGTTTGGCGAGGTGAGTGAGAGGTCAAAGGGAGCATGACCCATACATGTACAATGAAACCTGTTTAAGACGACCACTCAAGAGACCTTGAAAACGTGGTCTCTGTTACCCTGTGGTCTCCTTATCCAGGGTCATTTGAGTGGAAATAGCATCCCCTGGTCCTGGTTTCAGTGGTCTTTTAGGACAGGTGGTCGCCTTATCCGAGTGGTGGCCTTGATATAGGTTTTACTGTCAATCGACTGGATTTCCATGTCCGCTACAGTAGTTACTCTGTGAATAACAGATTTTGCCAGCTGAAGATGATTCCTAACACGTTACATCAACATGCCAATGACAGCTTTGCACAACTGTGCATCCCTTGATGGGTGGTATCACTATCAAGACATGGTTTGGTTTGCTGAAAGCTGGTCCGAAGACCCCGGCGTAACCAGTAAGACCTACGTCTTCACCCATGGACTTATACTTGTATACATAGTCAGCCATGTATATTGTGCTGGTTTATATTGTCTGCTTGACATACACTCTGTGTTCGTAGATCTGGCGGGGCATGTGGCAAGGCGTTCCAATCGTTGCGAAGAAGCTGACTGTCAAGAAACTGCAGAATCCGACGGACTTCCTCTCCGAATTTCCACATCTACGGTGAGTGCGAACTGGCGACAAAGCAAATAATTACTTCAGTGTTGGACAATATTCACTGCACGCGCGAGACTCAGCTGCACGGAGTTTTCTGCATCCGCAGGAACGCCACCAACCTCAAGGCTCGAGGTGCAGTGTTGGAAATGTACATTTTATTCCGTGGCGCTGTTTTGAGTTGTTTTGCATGATGGAGTGTCGTAATACGATCACTGGCTTGCCACTACATACTCGTATGGATGTGCGTGACTCGTGATGATGTCGTTTTAGACTTTTAGTACTTCGAAGTAACTACATACTTCATAGCTCTGTGGATATTACTGTGCTGCAAATGAAGCATCGACGGAGAACTACACAGCCAGTGAATCAGAATCTGAAGAAAAGGGGTGTTAGGTGCGGCAGAGCGTCCGTGAGGGAGAGAATGTACTGAGTCACGATTGACCTCCGGTTGGATATTCTCGCCACAGCAAAGAAAAGATTATAAATTTTTGTATTCAGTTTCCTAGCGCTTGATCTTTTCCGACCTGCAGGATATTCTCTCACACGAATGTGATGCCGGTGCTGGGTGCAGTGTGTGATCCGATGAACCTGATAACCGTCACACAATACATGGACTTTGGATCTCTGGATGATGTGCTTCACAACGAGAAAGGTACGCACTCCATGGCGTTTGGCTTTCACTCAACTCTCTTGCCAGTTACACCGGTAGTGAACACTGTTTTTTCCATTCTGTCTGCGAGTGCCCATGGTCTCCAATCTGGTTAGAATTGAGGAGCAAAAGGGTGGTGAGACCTAGTGTACTCGGCCGACCCTCAGGTCTGGGCTTCATAGTGAGCAAGATGTACCAATGTTATTGAAAGAAAGAGAGGAAAGGTGAGAGGGGGAGGACTGTTGTAAACGTTTAGATGCCTGACCAAGACGAGCTGCTGTAAATGTTTAGATGCCTGACCAAGACGAGCTGCTGTAAATGCAATAGTACCTCTGGATTTAGAATCAGGATAAGCACACAAGCTGCATGCATCATGCCACAATTTGTCAGACCTTTGGCGTGTGTGTGCGTGTGCGCGCATAATGCACTCATGTGTGTTTGTGTATGTGTGTGTGCTGGACCGGTTTTGCAGCTGGCGTCAGCATTGACTTTTCTCAGTCGGTGACAATGGCCAAGCACATAGCCCAGGGCATGTCCTTTCTGCACAGCTTGGATTCTCCGATCGCACGGCTGGACCTATGCCCCACGCATGTCATGGTAAGTGAACCGTAAGATGAAGTAGTGTCCGTTCACACGCTTCTGATGTGCCGGGCAGTGGAGTCGTGTTCCGATATCGTTTTTAACTAGTGGTAGCAAAGATCACCAAAGCTAACAACCGTTATGCTGATAAACAAAACAAAACGAAAAACACTGTCCCTGTTTTCATTCTACTGTATCTGTCATGGCTTCGCAGGTGGATACCGATCTGATTGCGCGTATCAACCTCGGCTGTGTCCGCTTCTCCTTCCAAGACAACACGAAAGTGTACCGGCCGCAGTACAAATCACCTGAAGGTAAATAGCATGCTAGTAGGAGTGTCCTTACAAGATAGATCTTGACTTCTTGCAACAGTGCTCCCAATGAACTTGATCCGAGCGTACACTCACTTGACACCAGCAATGGAAGAAGACTGCCTTTTGACAAAAGACATTCACTTGGCACCAGCAATGGCAGAAGACTGCCTTTTGACAAAAGAGCTATAACGCGGCCGTATCCATTCTCCTTTTTCCCCTCCGTAACGCCGCTAGGCGCTGCGTCTGCCACCCTGGTATCACAGGCATGGTGGTGACCTGGCAGAAGCAAAACTTCATAAGCTGGTCGTGTTTCTCAACCCAATCGTATAGCCGGTGACAAGGCGGACGTGCAAACTTTACTTTATAAAATTAATGCCAAAGTCGCTAGCACTAATTCAAGCTGCTTTGTCAAGATGTGCATGGATATTGATTGCACTGACAGGATCTTTCTCGTTTTCTCTGATATGCAATTGTCTGTTTCCCACTTGAGCCTTTGTTCGCTGAATGGATGTGTGATGAATGGATGTATGAAAACATTGACATGCGCTCCATGCACCCCTGGCCTCCTTGTTTCCATTTTCCAGCACTGCAGCATCGGCCAGACGAGATAAACTTCCGTGCAGCCGACATGTGGAGCTTTGCAATAGTCTTCTGCGAGATGGTGTCCAGAAAGAAGCCTTTTGCTGGACTTACACCGCTGGAGGTTGGAATGAAGGTGAGGCAGACAGACAGACATACATGCATACGTACACAAATGGGGAATGGGGGGGGGGGGGGGGGGGGGAGAATGCTATTGGGAGGGGGCATCGGTGGGTACATGCGTGCGAATTGACGTCTTGAGAGATACCCTGTTCGATAAGTCAGATTCCGAGGAAGGTTTGGTACGAGAAACTGTTTACATCGTCGCCCGGTGAACTGTTTTCAGCAATCCGTCCTAGATCCTAATTTCAGCCAAGAGATCAACTGTGCTCTGGAAGTGATCTAGAATTTGGAAAACACCAATCAAAATGGACTGGTGTGTTGTAGCTGATCTGATAGGCCCCTTGGCAGTACTTGTCTGGGCACTGCACATAACTACAAATTGCCCCCAACTCAGAACAATCATTATCTCCGGTGCCATTTTCATTGAGAAGGGGGCTGGAAAGGTGACCAGTAGACGGGAGTGCCCGCTTCTGGGGAATCTGGATCAGGGGAGTTTTACTGTGCCAAGACCGAATGCTCTCTGTACATATCTGTTCTGTTGTCTTTGTTAGGTCGCTTTGGAGAACAAAAGGCCCGACATACCGGACACAGTGCCTTCGACTGTCTCGCGCTTCATCAACATCCTCTGGAATCGAGAGCCGTCCAAGCGACCTAGCTTTGATAAGATCGTTCCCATCATTGACAAGATGCACTAAACAGACTATACCACTGCGCTACTACTAACTACACAGGACTGGACGATCCTATTCCCGGGGACTACACAACAGGTTCCAGGATTCACTCACAGTTACGTTGATGTTCCTTGCACTCTGATGTCATGTCTGGAAGAAATGTACAGAGTTGCTACTCAAAGTATGTCAGTGTGCCATACCTTTTAGAGAGGTGATTTGGTGTGCCTGCACTGCCGCGTCGCATTCAGATCTAGATGCTCGCCGTGTTGTACATACTAGGGCACTGCCGTCTGTGTGTGTGTGTGTGTGTGTGTGTGTGTGTGTGTGTGTGTGTGTGTGTGTGTGTGTGTGTGTGTGTGTGTGTGTGTGTGTGTGTGTGTGTGTGTGTGTGTGTGAGTGTGTGTCGGTATGTCTGTGCTAGTACTTGTACATGCGCCCACTCATATGCTTGATAGCCATGCATGGCTTCTTAGTGACTTTCGGACGTCAACTGGAGACGCACGCAGGCAGGCAGCACGAGCACATAGTATTTTCCCGATTTCTGTTGTAACAGCTATTACCATTCTCCATTATACTTTAGTAGACACATGACGGTTGTAAACTTGTAGCCCAGTTCTTTTCCAAGTAATGTAACGTCATCAAAATGAAATAATACTTTTAAAACAGTACTAGATGATTTCGGACAGGTGAAATGCTACATGATTGGACTACTAGAAAGTAGTATAATAGTTAACTGGGTCATGGCAACAGCTGGCTACACATTGGTGAACCAAACTCCCATTAAAAAAAAGCCAAAAGGGAATCAATCTCTGGAAGCACAGCTGCCAAGAGACCAGAATTCACGCTGTGCATTGTCAAGGTGGCAATGGCAAGAGACCATACCATAGAAGCAGCACTGAAGTAGAGTTCTCCTGTTGAATCCTCACCGGCACACTCTTGCTCTCCGACTCGGCACTGGTGTAAGAAGAGGTAGTGTGGTGACAAGATGGGGGATTGACCACTGGTGACACAACATTCTACTTCAATAAGCTGGTTCGGCCTGTGCTGAGCCTCACACGTGAATGCTAACCGGTACTTGTACATACTATATGTATGCCATCCTGGTGCATCATCAACTCGTGTCCATGCCGGCATCAGCCTGTTGGTCTTTGAAGTAGGTGACGCTAACCTGCAACGATCAGAAAAAAGCAAAAAGCAAAACAAGATGGGTCAAACGCATGCTTGTAAATCTGCTACGAGCTACGCTCTTTACGATTACACAATGAAACATCAAGCACGGAGCAGCACTACTTACTACACATCCCCAGTATTGCATCATCTCACTAGAACACGTGGCTCCCTCACACGCATATAGGACACACAGCAGCAAGTTAGCAAGGACATGCCCTAATCAGTCAATTCACAGTGGTACAGGGGCGGCACACACGGTACGACCATGGTCGTACCACTTTTCGTCCAGGATGGTCCACCCAATTCGGCCAAAAAAGCGATAAAAGAGCGCTAAACATGCCCTGTTGGCCTAAAAAAATCCAGATTAGTTCCCACTGGAGACACCCCGGACCCCATCGTACCACTCCCCACTGCCCTGTGACACCCCTGGTAGTAGCCGTGGCTTTGTGCCTAGCAGTAGCTGAAGTGCGTAATCCAAGCTGGGGCACTATTCGAGATAGGGCACTATTCAAGAGAGGGCTCTAATCGCGCGAGTACGGCAACCAATATACGTGTAATTATTTTACATGGCCTAATCGTAGAATAGTCGCCAATGAGCGCTGTGTACCCGTACCCTAACCACTATAATATGTACAGTGTGTGGTCCTTCAAGAAAGGAGCAGACACCGGCAGTGGTAATGGAAAGCCACCAGGCAGTATTACCAGCACCAGCGGCAATGACGTACATCAAACTTGTCCATGACGTGTTGGCAAGTGGACTGGAGCCGTGTCAGTCCACGCTTGAGAACGTCCGACGCGCTCTCCCCTGCAGGCAATAGAACAAGCAACGCCAATGCTCAGTCACCAGTACATTTGATTACAGTAAAACCTGTTATGGCGACCACTCGGATAAGGCCTGTGCCTGTCCTTGAAGACCACTGCAATCAGAACCAAGGGATGCTATTTCCAGTCGAATGACCCTGGATAAGGAGGCTGCCTGGTAACAGAGACCACGCTATGAAGGTCCCTTGAGCGGTCGTTTTAGACAAGTTTCACCGTATTTAATACGAACACGGTGGCATAACATTCACCATCACAAACACCATTTGAAGCCTGGTTTAGCTCCCACTGCCACGGAGGCATGCAACATAAAGGCCACCTCAAGAAAGATGCTAAACAAAACATAAATGCTTCGACAAAGAAAGCCAGATAGCAGTGTAACAGAAGTGCAAACACACTCGTCACTACTGTAGTGGGTCATCAGAAGTCCTTGGAGCAGCAAAGAAATGAATCATAGATGCAATAATGACACTTTCAACGTCATTGCTTGTACCCTAATATTGCGTAAGAAAGCACCTTGAGGAAGTCCACCAGGCAGCCCTTAGACTTAGTGGCATCTTACCATGTGTTTGTATTCTAAGGTAGATGCGATGCTCTGCCGGGTGAGGCACGGTGTAGCCACAGAATGATGTCGATGGGCTGTGAACGTGCAATGTGGACACAAGAAAAACAACATGAACACACACACATACATACCAGTACATTATTTACTGGAACTATGCGTACAAACTACACACACACACACACCACACACACATGCACACACACACGCACACACACGTGCGCACACACACACATGCACACACATGCGCACACACACACACACACACACACACATGCACACACACACACACACACACACACACACACATACATGCACACACACACACACGCACACGCCAGGGCACATGTATTCACACGCAATACTGTATTTCCCCCATATGTACTGTAAGTCACCCTTTCACACTAAGGCTATGATCGTTTGGTCGGATCCGGATCCAAATCCCAGATCCGTCGGATCCTTCAGAATCAACCAAACACTTTTTTGCGGATCTTGGCTGTTGCCATGTTGACGAAGTAAAAAATGGCGCTGACAGGTCACCCAAAAAAGGCACACGTCGTACTGATCGCCCGCGTCGTACGAAAAGTCAACAAAAGTCCACTAGACGTACGACAATGAGTATAAAAATGATTTTTACCCACCATATACGCACAAAGGTCACATTTGGATCCGATGGATCCAGTCAACCCTGCTCCCGGGGCAGGGTTGCTCGGATCCAAATCCGAAGGATCTGGATCCGGATTCGACCAATCGATCATTGCAGATCCAGTGGATCCGATGGATCTGGATCTGGATCCGACCAAACGATCACGGCCTAAATTTCAAGGCAAAAGAAGGGTTGAGTCTTGCAATCTACTGTAGCATGACTTTACCAGCTACACGTACTACAGTGGAACTCACTTAGTACGAACTCTGATCAGACATACTCTTGCTGAGTATGGACATTGTTTGGAGTATTGGTGTAGTGATCCATACTGAAGTAGAGTGTATGTTGGAATAAGAAGTATCACAGGTACTAAGAAAGAACACTTTCCAGACAATGGCTTTATCCGAGGGTGCAAATGGCCATGGAGGGAAGCCGGGAGCGATACTCCGCTGGCACCACATCACCACTGTACCATAGCTACACACTCGCATGGAGTAGGGGAGTGTTTCGCAGAAGAGAGCCCGTAATGTCACATGCATTATCACACGGGCCACTGGGTGCTGTCACTTACTCTTTCATGATGATATGACGCAAGGCGTTTCCCAGCGTATGGTCTTCTCCGTTCAAGATGAACGTACTGCATGTCTCGTCCTCCACACCTTCAAGGGGAAGCTGTGAGGCACGGTCAGCAAAAACATCACCCAGAACAAGACGATTCGCCCACAACACAAAATGCATCACTCATCTACGAACAGTCCATGTAGCTTAGGCATGAGATCTGCTTACTGTAAAGTGACAAAATTTCGCGGCGTGCAAATTTAGCGTTTTCGTAAATCGGGCTGGTTCATGATGAGAAACGTTTGCGATTCTATCTCTTCAGTCGGATCTTGTACTGTCTACAATCAATGCATGGAGAGGTTTGCGGTGATTTATATTCGCTAATGTGTGATGGTCGCGAAAATAGTGAAATTTAACCTCTAGCGAAAGTTTGTCACTTAAAGGGGAAGTATACCCTAAAATCAAATTTTCACCAGTTGTAGTCTTCGGGGTGCTGAGTCGAATGGTCTTGGTCCGAGGAAGCTGAGACGCTCCCTTCCTACTTGAATCCCAATCGAACTCGCGCACTTCCACCGAAACTGGGTGACTGCGCCCTACTAGATGGGGATTTGTATGCAAAATGTCACTAAAAGCGCCATTTCGTTCTTATAAAAGCACGGATGACCGCGATTGGCCCATATGTTGTAGTCTTTTGGACGCTGAGTCGACTGGTTTTGGTTCGAAAAGGCTGCGATGCAGCGTTCCTCCTTTATTCCCAATCGAACATGGTTGAACAAGCGGTCACGTGCTCCTGCGTACACCAGTCAGCTGGTCACCGTGCCTGCAGGGTACAACTTACTAGCCTGTTTGACCTTTTTTGGGTGCAGTCCTGTCACTCGAGTTGAACTCGAGTTGAACCTTGGTGTGAAAGTTCTCGCCTGCTGGCGCGGTGACCAGGTGATTTGGGCACCCAGGAGCACGTGACCGCTTGTTCAACCATGTTCGATTGGGAATAAAGGAGGAACGCTGCATCGCAGCCTTTTCGGACCAAAACCAGTCGACTCAGCGTCCAAAAGACTACAACATATGGGCCAATCGCGGTCATCCGTGCTTTTATAAGAACGAAATGGCGCTTTTAGTGACATTTTGCATACAAATCCCCATCTAGTAGGGCGCAGTCACCCAGTTTCGGTGGAAGTGCGCGAGTTCGATTGGGATTCAAGTAGGAAGGGAGCGTCGCAGCTTTCTCGGACCAAGACCATTCGACTCAGCACCCAGAAGACTACAACTGGTGAAAATTTGATTTTAGGGTATACTTCCCCTTTAACAGTAATTAAGTAAGCAATGAGGGGTGCTTGGGACTACACAATCAGCCCAAAGTTCCCCAAATCCATGGCAACTCAATTTAAAAAAGTCGTGGCTGTATCTGATAAAATCTAACTATATGACCTAATTCCTCTACTATACATACTTCTTAAAACGTTGAGACACACTCGGCCAGCACGGTTTAGAGATATGCTGCCCCCATTACTGGCATTAGTGCATAATACATGTCTGGCCGGCCAACTGCGCAAGCGCGACTAATGCCAGGGTGCAAATTTCCTTCAGCTTTACCAGAGAAAATATGGGATACAGTTGCACTCTACCTTTACAAGCTATTTTCAAGATTCTCACTCCTAGCCCATAAGCAGTATCACTATTTATTATACAATAATAAATGTAGATCTGACATAAACATTCTTTAGGCTGTCATCACACCATGGTACAAAGCGCTGCGTCTACGTCCACGTTAGGAGTTTTTGGTCGGTTGTCATGATGATCCGTATACGGGGTGAAAACGGGAGCAGAGGAAACGGGAGACGTAGACGTGGTATGGAGAGGGGGGGTATACGACTTTTTGTATGAACGTGCGTATCTCCCCCAGCCTTTTTCCGAGCGACCCTGTATTTCGATGTACGCGGGTTCAAATTTCTCCAAAAACCTGGCTGCGTGTACGCGTCAAGAACTGTGCTTGTCTGATGACACGACCATCCGTTTTGGTTTTTTCACCATAGACGTAGACGTAAACGGGAGTCGGAGAACGTGGTGTGATGACGGCCTTAGCTGAGGGAATTGAAAAGGGAAGATCATAAACATGTTCATTTATTGCATGAAACTTGACACAGCTTCGCCGTCCAACATTCAAAAGGCCGACAATTCAGATCACCCGGTGTACAGTGCACTCAAGCCACAAATTTCAAGCACAGTTCACTGCATGTAACTGAAGTTACTAGATGCGTCTATCAGTTAGCCTTTCGTCCACTGTACGCAATTTCGCAACTCTAGAGCACATTTCAAAATCAGAATTTTGACAAGACTTACTTACCATCTCTAGCTTCGGGACTTTCTGTTCCTCGTCTGCCATTTTACTACTATTCGCAGGATGAGACACAAACTAATACTTGAAGGACTATTAGTATTACTAGACCTTTTTTCTCATCCAACAACATTTCATTCATGCAAAATCATTGAATAATATTATGACTGTCTCCTTCCAATTCCGGAATTCCGCCATGATGTCAGTTCTGACTCAGTGACGTAATCGTGTTTCCAACCAAAAAAAACTGTTGGCATGAACCATTGTGAACTGGCGCTGCAGCGCCTCACGGCCGAAGATCCAGTCAGCTTCCTGAACACTGAAGTCAAGTGAAGTCAAGTGAGCTGAGAATGATTGTAACACAGGGCTGAGGTCTAAGTAAGGAGCTACCAATTTCTGTTCCTCAACGAAGTGCTTGTCACGAGAATCCCCCTCCTCGTGTGAACAAAGAACGAAGTACACCCCTCCGCCATCGGTTCAGGACGAAGAGAAATTTTGTTGCAATTTCCTACAGCCATCTCGTTTGCGTTGCTGCAATGACTATCCTCTATGCTGTGGTAGCGAGAAAGACAACAGTCCTCGCCAAATATGCAGGGTGTGCTGGCAACTTCTCTGAAGTAACGGATCAAGTCCTTTCTAACATTCAGCCGGACAGCGCGCGACTGACGTACACGCATGGCAGGTGGGTTGATTGGTGAATGTTCAGTGTGTATCCGTGCACTGGTTTGGGAGAACATCAGAACAATAATTCCTGAATTAGCATTTAAATTGACTGAACACCCCTGCCCGGAGTCAAAACTTAATTATGTGAGTAGCATAATTTACCTAGTGTATGGGGTGATATTCAGCTTAGTAAAAAATTCCAGCAAGATTCTTATACACAGAACAACAATCAAGGCATACACAAGCACATACACAATACCGAAATTCTCAGTGTTTCAAACTCATAATTATTATGAGTTTGAAACACTGAGAATTTCGGATGGACATGCGCCTACAGCTCTTTACCTAACGAAACATTTGCACACCAGAAATGTATCAAGCTAGCTTTCAAGTGGTTTTAGAAGGTCCAGGGCAGTAGGCGTCTGGCCTAAACTTCTCCGTCTGAAATTAATAATTCTATATCGCTTTCTCTTAACTGACAGTCCATGTATGCTAGTGGGTTACCGGGTATTTTGGATTAATGTAATGACTAGACCATTTGCATGTGATACAGCTGTGTCACATTGCTTGCAGTTGCACCGTGGCAGTTAATTTCGTGGAGAATCAGTCATGCGTAATACCGGTGTGGGTGTGAAATTGGCACACGTTGAGCTCCATCACGGCGCAGTGCAGTCATAATGCAGTAGAGGTTATAGGTGTAGTGAATGGCATGATTATGTGTACCTTGTATGTACTATGTAGTGAATGACATCATTGTGTATGCCTTGTTTAGAGTGGCAAACCAGTGCTTCCAATGCTACTCCTACGAAACATCTCGAATGACGATGTAATCGTATAACCTCTCTAGATGCTTTTTGCCCAAGCTAAAGAAGGGCTTCATGCCAGGAAGATTCTCTGCCTCCCTGCGAGTGTGGACAGCAATAAGGGTGCTTCTTGTACCTTTCTCAATGCTGTAGCATGGGGTGTGTACAAGGTGTGTACGGGATCTGTGCTAGGCTGACTAGTGAGTGTGTCCATTTCTCCCGGTGCTCGCCGTTGACGATTCCTTGCGCAATGAATGAGGTCAGCCAGAGTGCATGTGCTGGACGTGGAACTACAGTTGTGGCCAAAGAAATCCGACCCACGAGTCGAAAGCAGCGCCATGGCTCATGCTGCCCCTGCGGCCCTTGAATGGGTTTTCAGACCGTGCATGCCGTAATTAAATTGGAAATGCGGCGCTACTTTTGACTCGCGGGTCGCATGTCTTTGGCCACAGCTGTAATGCATTGGTCTGTACCAGCTACCAGGATATGTACATGTATACCAAGCCTAGCGGTAACCCCAAGATGCACTCCGTCCTACATGTACCAGATACATGTTTGTGCTATGCAGTTTCTACAGGGTGGGTGTGTAGATGATACGAAATGATATCTCTTTTTCTTTCTTTACGGGCTGGTGTATTAGAAGAAGGTAAGTAGCAGCATAATGCATTCAACTGTTGAAAATTCTGCGTAACTTGACTACGCCACCACCACCACCACCGCCGCTGCGCTCTATGGTCATCCACACACACTTCCCACTGGTGTGCTGTCACCACTGACTCCCCAGTACTACTGAGCAATGTTAAAATGTGATTGTTGAAGTTCTCTTCTACTAGTACTTTGCTGTTGGTGTGATTTGCTCCCCTTTTTCTCCCTTGCCTGCAGCTATCTTTTCCACTACGTCCAAGAGGAAGGCCTCATCTATCTGTGCATCACGGACAGCGTAAGTGAATGCTGATGTGTGTCACATGCTAACCATTCTGCTCGGATAGTCCTAGCAGTGAGGTGCTGAACATCCCTGTGATAGGTGTACAGTGCACACGCTGCACTACACAGAGAATTGCTACCGTTTCGCTTTGGGAGTCTTGGTTGCATTCGGTGGCAGTAGATTATCCCGGTGTGTACTTTTCATGTAGGGATATGCTTTTAAACTGCTCCACCCTAAATACGGCAAGGTACAAGCATGCGGGCTGTGTAGTGTATATGCGTGGGCTGTGTAGTGTATATGCGTGGGTTGTGTAGTGTATATGCGTGGGTTGTGTGTCACTATCCACTGAGAGTAGGACAGGCGCAGTGTTACCAACTTACCACACTTGTCTGAAGTAGTCTGTGTGATCACTGATTAAAAGTTTGTTCTCTTTCTGCTTTCTTTTAACTTGCAGGAATTCGAACGTAGCAAAGCCTTCTCGTTTCTGAACGAAATCAAGAAGCGGTAAGGCTTGCTCCTATGCATGGAACTTACGAACATCAACACCGGTATTGCTGCTTATGCAATGTGCACGGCCATACATCAACACCACATTGCTGCTTATGTCACATTCATGGTCATTGATATGAATGGTGTATGGCTTGTAATTGTTTGGTTTTTCGTACCCTAGCCTGTACATATTGGTATCTGGCAATGGGCAGATCAGTATGACTTTCTTCATTGTCTGGTGTAGGTTTGTTCGTCAGTATGGCCCGAGAGCGCAGACGGCTCTTCCGTTTGCAATGAACAGCGAATTCTCAAGAGTGCTTTCCGGTCAAATGGTATGTGACTTTCTTAGTGCAGTTTTCTTTGATGTTGTAAGTTTGCAACTGAAACGTTGATTCTCACCGTGGAGTTCTGCATGTTTTAATTTCATCTTATGATCGTTGTTACCAAGAGTCCGTATCTAAGAATGTGCAACCGTGATCACGGAGACTCCCTCGATTTAGGCTAAGGCCTGTGGAGAATCCATAAATACGAATACGAATCATGGGCCATGTGTGCGGCACACTCCCATCATGACGTAACTTGTCTGCATCACGCCCTGTTACTGTATTTGTGCACTCAAAACGCAGGATCTCTTGTACCAGCCCACCAGTTGTTTCCTTCATTCAAGTCATGACTCCTAGTTATTGGGTGCATGACCTTTGATTCTTCCGAAAGTCAGTTTTAAGCCGCAGGGAAAGTGTGTTTATTTGGATGAAGCTACAGGATGATTGCAATGAAGGCAGCGCACTGTGCAGCTGGCCCAGAGAAACATCACAATTGTACGCTCTTGGTTGTGGATTATTACTGTTATCTGTGTGGTCTTATCACGATTTGTGCATTTGAATTACCATTCTCTTTGTATTTTCCTTTCTCTTCACATCTCTCTCTCTCTCTCTCTCTCTCTCTCTCTCTCTCTCTCTGTCCTTTTTTTTCTCTCTCTCTCATCATGCTGTATTCTATTCCACTTGCATAGCGGCATTACTCATCGGGCAAGGATGTAGATCAGATGAGTCAAGTGCAGGGACAACTAGATGAGCTGAAGGACATTATGGTGAAGAACATCGGTGAGTGGTCTTGAAAAAAACTGTTCACTCGCATCGTTTCTTCCTATTATGGTTATGGACACAGCGAACTAGCTGGGTACTCCCAATGAGCCGTCCAATGCATCTGGCATTATGGACGTTTTGCCAGGTGTGTAACACGTTTGTAACGGTCTGGCTGAGTCGCTGCTGCCTCTAGCTCAGCGTTTGGCTGGAGAGTCCGAGATGTTCGACAAGTTTATCTGGCTCGGTACTCCATTTCCAGTTGGACTTACCTGACTGGAGAGTCTGGGGTCTTGGAAGACTTCATCCCCAGTCGCACTTATAATGAACTTGAGCGTCATTTCACTTCAGCAAACTCCCCAGATCCAGGCAGGTTGGGACCGAGCACTGCCTGTAACTGGGTATTCCCCGAAACGCGGAACACGCGCACTTACTGAATGCAAGTAAACATGATTGTTTTATGCCAATCAATAGTTTTGGCATGGACTCGGATGGAGAGCCAAGGATAAATTTATAGAAAAGAACAGGAACAAGGAACTACAAGTTACGCCATTATGTCCACTAACACTACCTATAGCTATAGCCATATGCTGATAGCCTGTTAGTTGTAGAACGTCAGTACCGTCGGTCAGTGTCATGCAAAGTTATCGCATGAGCTGATTGCTTAGTAGCTGTTGATGGTGTTAGGGGCCGGTCACACTGAGGGGAATTTTGAAAAAAAATCCGTGGTTACCATGGACATTTGCCGCTGTGCGGGAGATCTGAGAGATTTAATCCACTCGATGAAAATCAGCTCGAGGCCTCGCTTTTCCGCCGAAGATTATAATCATCCGCGGCTTCCACTGGATTTCTTTGAGTTTCCTTGTTTTTCATTGCGTTCTGAAGTGGAGCGATACTCTAGAAGCTGTGCTGATGCAGCTCTGGCTCAGGAGCGGGGTTGACAGACAGCCAGAAGCGAATGGTGACAAAAAAAGTAGCTCGTGTGGGTGAGATTATTTTCATTGTGCGTATCCAATGTGACCGTGATGAAAAGCAGAAAAAATTATTCCCGGTTTATAATCTGATGATTGTTCCCTCAAAGTGACCGGCTCCTTAGTGGACATTATAGCGTAACTTGCAGTTCCTTGGTCCTTTTCCTTTTCTGGAGCTGTTTTCTTCTTCTTTGAAATGCCAATTTGTGTGACTGTAGATGGGTCAGAAAGATGCCCGGTAGACGGACGTGCCTGGATTAGGGACGTGCCCGGATTAGGGACGTGCCCGGATTAGGGACGTGCCCGGATCTGGGGAGTTTTACTGTACTTGTGTAGCCTCCTGGCTATATCTAAGCCTAGGTCTAATCTCCCTATTGACACTGATTGCATGTGATTGCCAGCCTTGCTGGTTATCACCTGGGTACATAACCAAGAGTGTGGAACTTGGCGATTCCTTGACGCGTGGTAGAATATGGCATCAGTCTTTGCGGTCGTTTGGCTCACTGCTGCTATCACATTTAGCCACTAGCTAGAGATCAAAATCGCAAACAAAGTTGTTCAGTGCATCTGCAGTGCCGGTAGTCAAGCAAAACCATGATCGGAAGATCCATCTGTCCTGAACCCGAGGAACTGACACCTTTTCTTGCATGACAAGCACGGAAAGACCTACATGCTCGATGACACTTCCTTGAAAAGTGACAGAATGAAAGCAACGCCGCCGTATGTGAGTCGTTTGCAGCTCAGGTTAGGAGTCGCACACTCTTGGTTATGTACCCTTGATATTCCTTAACACCTGGTAGGCCAATACCAGTATTGTTCCCCTGTTGGTGCTTGCCTATTTGTTATTTACGTTGGCCGTTCTTAATATCTTCATTCCTGAACCAGAAAAATACCAAGACTTTGTAAAGGCTGGGGAAGACAGCAAGCGTATCTAAGATGTTTAAGTGCGCGAATCCGGCTAGCAAAGCGAATGCCCTGGGCACAAACTCTCTTGTTGCTTTCTGTATCTGACCTGGGTACACTGCATTTCGCTGTGCTGTGGTTGCCATTTAGATACGGTTGCGTCAAGAGGCGAGCGCCTGGAACTTCTTGTGGATAAAGCCGAAGACCTTAGTCATAGCGTAAGTAGTTTTGTTGTAATGTTGCAAGTTCATACTTTAGTAGTTTTTGGTTGGTTCAACATTCCTATGTGCCTGTTAACTTGGTGAAGTAATATGTAGCATGGAGATAACAACAACAACAACAGCAGCAGCAGCAACAGCAACAGGAACAACAACAACAACAAAATGTCTCTTGGCCACTGGCGATCGTGAGAATAAAGATTTCAAACAACAATAGAGAGGTTCCGCATTACGTAAAGTTGAGCAACTCTACGTTAGTGGGTGGGAAAACCAGTGAAATCGCGAGTTTGCACTGCACTTACGGAAAGTTGTCTACGTACGTAGGGCTCAGATAATGGAGGTGCTCAGTAAGTAGATTGGGGTATAAATCTATGACTATCTCCTTAGGTCGTACCCTGTCGCGTTCGGAGTTGCCAAGGGCAGCTACATGATTCGAAAACTCCGCATGGCGGAACGCGGATCCCCATGCAGTGTACGTAAGGCTTTCAGTAGCTCCACTACGTTTTTTACTAACGTAGTTATGTTGTGCGGAACCTCTCTAATAACCAAAAACAAATGCAGCACCATCAAACGACTGTGCACTGCCGTACCCTGTGATAATGTCAGCTTACTTCAGTACTTGAATCTGTGCGTTATGATCCTACTGTTCTGATTTCTCAGGCAATGTCTTTCAAGAAAACTAGCCGCGGTCTGGCCAGAGCTATGTGCCTAAAGAATGCCAAGATCACCATTATCATTGTAGTCGTTGTGTTGGTAAGCTACAGGAACTGTTACCTGCTTTTGCTGCTGCCATGTCTGTAAATGCATCTGTTTTAGGTCGGCCTGGTGTACAGTTAGGCGCACACACACACACACACACACGCGCGCGCGCGCGCGCGCGCGTGGGGGGGGAGAGAGAGAGAGAGAGATGCTGTAAGCGGCTAGTTTTAGCGACGGCGATATTTTAGCGACTTTAGCGAAAGGAGTGTTTTCGCCAAAGTTTTTCCGCTCCAATCGAAAATTTGCATGTACAGTACAGTACAAGTCATCCTTGTTTTTAAATTCTGAAACTTGGACCGCTATGATATTTCATCGTGAACTGGTCCAGTTTCAGAGAACGCTAAAAACATTCCCTTCTAAAATTAGCTGTTCTACAGTAGAGAGAGGGGGGGGGGGAGAGATTGTCGCTCTGGTCGAGCCATAGCTGTATTTGCGACGCTTCCTGCCTTGGCGTGATAACACACAGCAGGTGCAACGGGTGCAGTGTTAGTTAATGGTGACTGCGGAGGGTCTGAAGACGCTGCTGATGTTGTTGCTGGTGTTGGCGTTGTTTGCTATCACTTGAGCGGCTGAAGGAGTGGTGGCAAGTAATAGTTGAGAACACAACAGGTGGTGATAAGCCTGTATTCTGTTTGTCAGTCAAGCGATAGGAAGACTCGTCCCGTTTAGAGCGGAAAGAGGTGGTCCGCTTGCGGCTTCATACCAGTTGTCAAGTGGTTTGACGCTATTCCGAACACGGTCAAGCCACCTTTTCCGTAGACCATTGGCAGGTGTCTGGCCTAGTGAGGAACCAATCAGTAGAGAGGCCTTCGGAATGTGCTCACTCTCCATCCTCCACGTACATGTATGTCTAAGCCCACAATGGTTGTTCATCCAGTATCAGCTGTCTGATGATTGCCTATGGGCATGAAGCTATTAGTAACAACGAACGATGCTTGGTGCTCTGTGCCGTGTGTATGCCTAAACCCACACACATGCTCACACACACGCGTGCGCGCGCTTGCGTGTGTGCATGTATTCCGATGGTTGGAAACTGAGGTGGGCTGTTTTTTGTGTGCTCGTTTTTCAGATTATTCTCTTCTCTATCATCGTTGCTGGCTGTGGGGGATTTTCATTCAAGAGATGCAAGTAAACGATCCAATACAATCCGCAACTGGAAGATATTTCTATTTGACATGAAACTCTATGTGAAATATTTGCATCGCAAAAATCATCAACATCATTGCTGCATCATCATTGACATTATGTTTTACTTATGACATCATCACCATCATCGTCTTAACGATGATGTCATCATGATACTATTTACTGCTGTGTGCTTCATAAAACTAAGTTACTTGCCCTTGTCAGACTCCGCATCTCTATTTTCAAAGCCTTTGCCGGTCGCTTCCTCTTTGTATAGTTTTTATTGCCATGCTGGCGGCCCGCTTCGATAACTTTGCCCGCGCTTGCTACATTGTATACTGATTGTGTCTGCGATGCTGTTGTTTTGAGTCTGGTATCACCATACCACGGGGTGTCTGCTCACCTTTCACTAAACGGCCCTGTACACACCGCTGTTGAGTGATTATTCAATAGATAGACTGATAGACTGTATATTTTTTTTCTATTCATGTATGGCTTTTAAAATTGGTTGTTTTGCCGTGGCCCTTCTGTTTTTGGCCGCAATGAACGTTACTTGTCCATTGTCCAGTGTTTTGCTTGACAAGCGTCCAATCAGTGCCTGGTGATGATGTCATAGCTGCAATGTCACCATCACGTTGATGTATTGCATTACGATGAAGCACGGGTGTGTGTTCGTACGTGTGTGTGTGTGTGTGTCCGGGTGTGTGTGTATGCGGGAAAAAAAAAAAAAATGAAAAGACCAAAAATAGGGATTCACTGGCCAGAAAATGTCACTCCAAATAGCTGTATGGTGTAGACCAGGCTGAATAGTGACGGTCAATTCTTCAGCCTTGCAAGCTGTTGAATGGTGTAATCCCAGCACAAGTCGCTATGGCTTCTGCCGTAGCATTGCTATCATCGCCTCCGGCGATGGGCGTCAAAAAAAAAAAAAGGTCAAAGGTGTGTATGTGCATGTGTCCACTTGAACTGCTCCAACAACTTCTGTGATCCATAGCCACACTACTCTTGATCCAAGACTAATTATTGACTGTAGCTGGAAGGCGGAGTACATGCCTCTACTCTTGACATCGCGTGCTGTGGACGCGTTCCATGACCATGTTCTCGTTTAGCATGCCAATGGACTCTACCATTGTTTCTATCTCGTACAAGTACATGTACCTGCCAGGCTGGTTTCTACTAGTACAGTACAGTATCAAGACGACAAGAGTACATGAGTACAGTTTCATTCCTGTTTATACATCAGTCATTCTCCAATGTTCGATCATTGTGTGTGTGTCTGCATGGTCTGTGTGTGCCTGTGGCATAGCCAAAGCCAAGGCCTCCACAACATAATTTCCCATTTCGCTAGCAATGGTACATTGTGACGGGAAGTGGGAGTTGTGCTAGGAGCTGAGAGCGAGATATAACAGTGCTATAATGCGCAATGTCATTTGGCCAGCCAGTGCCCGCATGCGTACCAGTACCGTACATGTATATGTACTAGTAGTTGTGCAGGCGCGTATACGGTGTACGGTTGGCACGTGCGCAGATAGAAGCAGGATCTAGGAATCGAAAGTCTGCAACTCTGCATGCAATGACTTCGAGAAAATTATTTTGGAAAAGAAGAAAGTTCTCATCTGACCATTCAGTGATTTGCTATTGGTGGTCACTGGTGCATTGGTAGGTTGTCTACATCTGGTGTCCGGTGTTTGGAGCTCCCGTGGACGGTATTAGAGGTTATAATAGGACAGCCGCGCTCTTGTTTCTGATCATCGCCTTTCAGCTGGATTGCAGGCTGTGATTTTTTGCCACCTCACACAATACTACTAGTCATACATTATTCGCTCTTCCCTGTGGCCCACAAGAATTGGGTGTAATATTGGAGTGGAAATGGTGCTGCTGGTTTCTTCGTGAGTTTTCATCTCCACATCGTATCCTCGGAGCAGTGTATTGTGTTACTCAACATGAAGTTGCCCAAAGTCATTCATTGGGGGCCACTGGTGACGATATTTCTCGTTGGATTCATTTTCTATTGGTCACTTGTGGCACTGTCTATAAACTGGTCATGGAGAACGACCAGCGGTGCCGTACACTATATTCTGTTCCTCAGCAATGTGTTCTTTCTCTGCATCAACTACTTCCATGCCATGCAGCATGGCCCTGGCTTTGTACCCCTCGGCTGGAAGCCGAAGAATGCCAAGGATGAGAAAATGCTGCAGTTCTGTACGGCATGCCAGGGCTTCAAGCCGCCTCGCGCGCATCACTGTCGCAGCTGCGGCCGCTGTGTAATGAAGATGGACCACCATTGCCCGTGGATCAACTCCTGCGTCGGCCATGAGAACCATGCAACATTCACCCGGTTCGTGCTCCATGCTCCACTAGGCTGTGGCTATGCTACGTACCTACAAGGAGCATTCCTCTATAGACTGCTGTTCGCCAGTCGTGTTCCGCGAGAGGCAGTGTTCTTCTTCCAGTCAATGTCCTCGGCATTCATGCTCTTCCTGAGCATTGGCTTTGCGCTCGGTGTGACGTTAAGTGTGACCGTGCTGCTCTTCTACCAGCTGAGGTCCATCATTCGAAATCGCACCATGGTAGAGGACTGGATCCTGGACAAAGCGGAGTACAGACACCGCGAGGAGGGCCTGGAGCCGTTTGTGTACCCGTACGACCTTGGCTGGAAGGGCAACTGCCTTCAAGTGTTTCTGCTGTCGTGGTACGCCAAAGGCGATGGGATTACGTGGACGGTGCGCAAGGGCTGTGACCAGTACACGCTCACTAAGGAGCAGCTGGAGCAGAAGCAGAGGAAGAGGGCACGCAGCATACTATACCGCTGCACCAAGCCGTACAACGGTACCTACTGCCCTGTCCGCTACGGATGCTGCCTGTGCTTGGGATCTCCCAGCTTGTTTGACAGCCGCCTGGCAGTGCGCGAAGGTGACCGTGTGATTGTGTCGCGAATTCAGAAGCGCTGGCTATACGGTGAGATACTGAGCAGTGTGGATGGAAGGAAGACGACACACTCCGAGAATGGTAGCGACGCAGTCACAGTGCGGCGGAAGGGCTGGTTCCCACTGCAATGTGCGGCGCCTCTAGAAAAGGACGACTAGGTTTGTTTTCAATTGCGTCTGCGTTTATTTGGTATCTGCATTTTTGCCATAGCTATGAGGATGTAAAGAAAATGGAACTGCAATGGCCCTGGGCAAGGTGCACTCATACAGAATCGACGCGTCAGCGAAGTATTGTATGTGACATAGTGGTTGCATCAATTAGCTGCATTTCGTCCCGTTGCCGTTGTACGTTTTTTTCTTCGTGGCTGAGGTTTAGTGTACCTAACGAGAGTATTGTTCTTACGGTGTTGGCTCTCTTCCTTGATTTTCAACATACGTCCACCTGCTGCCTTGCGGCATCCGTTCTCGTTCATATCTACACCGTTTTCATCCAGTTGTGTTCTCGTGCGAAAAATGAAGGACAGTATTTTTTTCCAATATTCCGATTTTTAAGACAGTTTTACTGATTTTGACCTGGCTTTTTTATGCCATCCACTCACCTGTGAACAACGCATATATGGCTCATAAAACCGTATTGTGCCTGTGTGCAAAGTACTGTAGGTCTTGTTCTGATGAATTTTTATATAAATACTTCGAAGTAAGATGTTGCTGAGAAAGCATGTTTGAAAAATGGGCACTACACAAAAACTAGGATTTGCAACCAATGCAACTTTAGACTACCGATGGCGATGGCATTTCTTGTTTCTCATACATCAACACATTTGGCTGTCAAGCCAGTGCCTACAATAGGGACTACTGTTTTTGACCGATCTCTAAATTAAACTCTTGGCCGTTCGGTTCCAGTACGATATGGATTGGTGCATTTGTGCATTGTTCACGGAGTCTTGGTCATATCTTGCATCTGGACTGGTGACAACTTTGGTGACCACTTTTGACCGGTTGGTACCAAGCAGCAAAATTCAACGAAAAAATTACTTGGATCCATAGTGGTGCCAACAGTTCTCCCAGCCTCACGCGTATGTTCACCTGCGATGGCGTGGTATGGCCATGGAACTATCCAGGTCAGGGGGCAATGGTTAAACTCGTCATGAACTGAAACTTTGTATGAATAGAAGAGACGCTGGAAAAAGGTTTTTTTTAGTACCACAGTAAAAAAAAAGAAGAAGAAAGAAACTTGATATGACGTGGAGTGGGGTAACTGCATGAAGACTACGTAGGATACAGTATCCCTCTTCTGCCGGTGTATGCGCGCACGTGTGCGTTAGTATGATGTGTGTGTGTGCATGTGTGTCTGTGTACTTGCACACGGTGCTTATGGATTTGAGGTGTTTGAACACCAACGCATGCTTACGGAATTAGTTGATTTGCCGTAGCTGGTATTAAACAGAACCTCTTCGGACAGTTACTAGGCGTCTGCCTGACCTTATCTTGTCCATCATACATGTGAAGAATAATTTGCCCAAGAACATCGGAAGGTATTATAGGGTGGTACGCTCAGCCACCTGTAGTAAAATTGCTCGTGGAGTTACAAAAAACCTCCCATCCAATGTATTCTGGATGGCGATGATGGAAACAAAGCAACATCACCAGTAGCATCCACTCAGTCAAAGCGCCACACCCGAGCCACAATCACAACAAGATCACAACGCTTGACTGATACGTTGCAAACGTCATCGGAAAATGGAATAGAGTGGGAAGTCACAAGAAAGCATGCCAAAGAACGCATGAATAAGCTCACACAACACGAAGGAGACGAATAGAAATACAAGCGTATATACAAGTCAAATATAACAACACAAATAAAGACAAGTGCTACACACAGAATAGCACACCTATAACGGTCGTTGTTGTTTTTAATGCGCTTTGGACATCCGAGAGGCAGCCGTCTGTCCAAGGCAATGAAAGTAGACTAATAAAAGAGGTTACAGTTAGGAAAAATCAAATGCGTTAGAGCACCAGGCCCGTTGTTATTATAAGTATAAAGGTAAGAATGGAGGAAAATACTTGAGCGGAATGTGTGCGTGAGTAAGAGAAGGGGATGGGGAAAGAATGAACCTCTCGGAAATATGATGGTGCAACAGTGCACTATGCGTATGGAGTTAAGAATAACATGCCTATCTATCTGTATGGGTAAAAATCGCTCAAATATGAACATGGCAGCCTGCTAGGCCGTGCATGCAGTTCTGCATCGCAAACCATGCGCGAGAGTGCAGCGGTCGGCAAGAACGACACGTGCCATTGAAGAGCATGGTAAGCCTTTGCGGGGGATTCTTCTAGGTATCAAATACATATCTACAGAATTTGACAGCGTTTCGTGACCAGCAACGATTCCAGCTAAGTGAAGTGTTGCTCTCCTCTTACCGGAATTACACATACGATCCACTTAGCCGCAACATCCACCTTCCTTAGATTTAGATGCCAAGTTGACGCGGTCATCAAACGCAGGGTTCACACCGTTCAGCTCCTGGTTCTTCACGAGCCTGTGCACAGCTGTGATGAATGCCTGATCCACATTGATTGCGTCCTTTGCACTGGTTTCAAAATAGGGATAATTTCCACTGCTTCTGCACCATTGATCTGCATCCTCTTGCGTCACCTCCCGATTGGGCATGTCCACCTTGTTTCCTAGCACCACAAATGGGAAGTTTTCTTGATCTCGTACATCGGCATAATACAGGAACTCCTTTTTCCACATAGCTAAATTTCTGAAGCTCTGCATGTCATCTAAACTGAATGTCAGTAAACAGCAGTCAGCACCACGATAAAATGGTGTTCTCAAACTCTTGAAGCGCTCTTGCCCCGCCGTGTCCCAGATTTGAAGAGTGTAGGGCTTTCCATCCACCTCGATGTCCTTGTTGAGGAACTCCACTCCAATGGTGTGAAACGACTGACTGTCAAACTTGTTATTGACGAATTGGTTCATCAAAGACGACTTCCCGACACCACCATCTCCGAGAAGCACGACTTTCAGCAATGCTGATTTCGCCATAGTACTAGCCAGTTCTCAAAGTCTAACTAGTTCTGGCATAGTCGTAACAACGTCTTCAACCAAATCGACAACAGCTGAAATTCCCTTTTCCTCCTCAGCACCACTCGCACAGTACAGCCACAGCAAAACACAAAAATTCGTAAATCCCAAGCACATGTGTACGTGTATATACGAGACATGCATCAGAAACGGTAGATCTACGAGTCGAGTCTTTTTCGACTTCCAAACAAAGATCGACGACACCCACGTCATATGACCGCTCTGTCGCTATGCAGCGCTGTTTCTCGGTGCGAAGCCAGATACACTCATTGCCGAAGTTGTGTTGCCATGGTGCAAAAATGGCGTTGGATGGCTACGCCTGAGCGCTCGCGCTGTCATCGCAGCCCACGACACGTCTTCCTGCTGTGCTTTCTTGACAAATTATTTTGTTTCGCTTTGTCCTTGTTGCTGGAGGGTTTGATTCTTTGAGATACTGTAGAGCGATTTGGAGTTGGTCAGCCGAGAGTAGTCGTGAGAAATGGAGAAAGAATGTGAGAGAACCTGGACTGCGCATAAGTCGCTCTGTTCCAGCGGAGGCGAGCAGAGGGTTACGATCTCAGTGCCCAGGCACGTCGCTCCTGATTATTTCAAGGGGCTCGATGTGCAAGTGGCGCTCGAAACCAGTGCTGCGCAGAGTGCCCATGTTCCTGCCAGTGTCGCTGCTTCAGCCGGGCTGGCGCTGGCGTCTCCAGTGCAAGCAGTATACCTAGTAGCTGAAACCACTCCTGAACCTGCTGTAAAACCCGCCGCTCAGGGCCAGTGCAAACAGCAGCTGATGCTGCTACTGAAAGGGCCACATATTCACTTCTGTCCAGCTCTGTCCTGCGCGCTCCCACCTCTTGTGGGGATATCATGCGCTTACGCATGCAAGGGCTGCGCCAACTTTGCAAAGACGGTATTCCCTACCAAGGGCGTGTATCCAGACGTGATCTTTACCTTCTCATCTGTGAACATTTCCACTTGAGTACTGCTGGCGAAGGGGTTCCAGACGAGGAGGCAGACAAGCCTGCATTACCAAAGCCAGTAATGGCAGCGTACAAGAAGCTACCAAGCTTTTCACACATAACATCTGGCTGGTCTCTATCTCGCCTAACTAAAATCCCTTTCTTCATTACTGAGGCTGTCAAGCACTATCTGTTAAATTCCCCGGAAAAAGATTATGACAAGGAGAGAGTATCCTTGGCCCCACCCTGTTCATCCTCTACACCAATGATGGCGAGGACCACCTCCCACCAGGTATGGAGCTAGCAGCCTACGCTGACGACACCACTCTCTTCCACTGCCTCACATCAAGAGCTGACATTGACTGTGGCTCCGAGCTCCTCCAGCAGGGCATTGATGCGTTTTCCCGTTGGGGACATAAGTGGAGGATCAAATTTGAGCCCTCCAGGACGCAGGCTATGTCTATAGGCCACCATCGCCAGCCCTGGGAGCTCCCTCGAGCAACATTTGACGGCACACCGGTCAGTGAAGAGAGTCGGCTGAAACTCCTGGGAGTCACCTTTGACGACACCCTGAGCTACTCCTTCCACCTCCGCTCCCTAGCTTCCCGTGCTAACCAGCGGATTGGCTTCCTGAAGCGAGCGTCTCCCATTCTGGACGCCGAGAGCCGCCAACGCGTCTACAACGGCTTTGTGCGACCCACACTCGAGTATTGCCCCTTAGTGTGGATGGGCTCACCCTCGTCCCATCTTAAGAAGCTGGACCAGATCCAGCGAAGGGCCCTCCACATCATCGGAGCAGGTACTTGGCTCCCTAGCCTGGCACTCCGTCGCCTGGTAGCTGCACTTGCCTATACCTACAAGCTCTGCTATCTAGATGCATCCAGCCCTCTGAAGCAGATGCTGCCTAAACCAGCCACTCACCGTGCCCCCGAGACAAGACCTACCCGTCAGTCTCTCCAGCTGCAGGATTCCCATCCATACCAGATGACAACTGGCCTGCCTGCCAACACCCGGAATAGCTGTCTCCAAGGATTCCCTGCTTGCACCGTTGCAACATGGAATGCCCTGCCACCAGACCTGTTCCACCACCCACCCGCCCAGCCTCACATGCAAAGCTTTAAGAAAAAGGTGTACCGTCACCTTCTTGCTCAGGACTGGCTCTCTGCCACTGATGCACTTTGAATCTGCTCGCCAACGCTTTCCCTGTTCTTATTAGTGTTCAACTGCTTACCTTATAACCCTGCTGTCATCATCACCAATATTCTGATTCTCATGCACATATCCCAGAACCTGCTATCCTTCGCAGTCCCCATCACCAAGAGCACTGTGCTCTTCTATCTCCCAGCTCTCTCTCTCTCTCTCTCTCTCTCTCTCTCTCTCTCTCTCTCTCTCTCTCTCTCGCCCTCTCTCTCCCGCCCTCTCTCTCTCTCTCTCTCTCTCTCTTTCTCTCTCTCTCTCTCTCTCTCTCTCTCTCTCTCGCTCGCTCGCTCTCTCTCTCTCTCTCTCTCTCTCTCTCTCTCTCTCTCTCTCTCTCTCTCTCGCTCTCTCTCGCTCCCAGCTCTCTCTCTCTCTCTCTCTCTCTCTCTCTCTCTCTCGCTCTCTCTCCCTCTCTCTCTCTCTCTCTCGCTCTCTCTCGCTCTCTCTCGCTCTCGCTCTCTCTCTCTCTCTCTCTCTCTCTCTCTCTCTCTCTCTCTCTCTCTCTCTCTCTCTCTCTCTCTCTCTCTCTCTCTCTCTCTCTCTCTCTCTCTCTCTCTCTCTCTCTCTTTCTTTCTTCTCTTCTTCTTCCCCCATCTCCCGATAATTATTAGCCCCCGTTTTCTTTCGACGCGTTTGCTGTGCAGTGAAGCCGAGACCCTAGGTCGGCGGAGCACATCAGACCCCGTCACCACGTCCACGATTCATGCCTGCGATGCTGCACCGCTGCTTTGCATGTCATGGTTGGAAGCTGTGGCCTTAGTAAAAAAAAAAAAAAAAAAAAAAAGAGCTTGCAGTGCTACAAGCAACTTCGTGCGTACCAATTATTTGATGAGCACTACCTTCACCATTTGGAGGGAAACCTGTTTGCAGGTGGAACAAACTTTTGTTTCGTCCGTGCGAAATGCTGGCCATCACAAGATACATCAAAGCAAGCCTACACGTGTATCGTCTGCATCAGCAGGGACGATCCAGTGTGCTAAGGTGGATACTGCCAGTGCATTTCCGGATAAAGAGAGTGCTGTTCACATGTCGCGGCTTTGCTGTTTGCGCAGGATGATTTTTGCAGCCATGGCATGCAGAGTTTGTCTGGACCTTCCGTAACAGACATGTTGTATGCATGCACGCTTGTGCTTCTGACTGTTTTTCTAGATCATGGCTTCTCTTCTGATCTTTTCTCGTCATGTCTGTTGACGTTTGTGAATTATATCATCTTGTCCAACATAAACACAGTACACTGTGAACGAAAGCAACATTTCATTCCACCTCACCTCTCAACCCCTCACAAACAACCGAAAACTCGTCATCGATTGCACTGATTTTTTAACGACTTTCTGGATCAATAATCATCATTTTTCTGTCTTCAAACCAGAAATTGGCAGAGATCAAAATGGTCTGTCATCATAGTAAAACATTGACTTACAAGACATTACTGAATAATAATTCGGACTGATGTTAGATTATTACTGGAACAAATCATTTCTGAATGCACAGATTGAGCTAAGTGGAATACTTGGTTGGTTGATAGAACTTGTATTTCCGGTGGAATATATGGAATATATGTAACAATCTTTTTCACATTCACGCAGTATTTATTGGAACAAATTCATATTCTGTGATGATGATGGTCAGCCAGTGTCTGAAACGTCTAATGGCCATCGCTGAGGACCAGTGGCATACAAATGTCTAAGGGTAGATAGGCTGCGCCAAGTTTGCATCCTCTTGGCTTTGGGTTCGAGGTATTTGAACAGGGCAGAGAACACTGCGTAGTTAGGCAGCCCGGTGAAGTGCCTGAACTTGTCAGGATTGTTTCTGATGCTGGCTAAATCGATCGAACGACACTTCAGGCTCTCGTACCCTTTTTTAATTTCACTGAAGTCTTTTTTCTAGGCCAGCCATGTGATCATCAACTTCACTCAGGTCACTTACATTGATATATCTGTGATCACATGGCAAACCCTGCACAGGACCAGGGGTCGGTGCTGGGTCAATAGCCGAACAGACACCACAGAAACGACCCCGGCATCATCAATATCTTGTGGCTCCTCAGACTCTTGACGTTTTCTCTTCAGAACTCGTCTCGCTGGTTTAGGAGTTGCCGTCCACTGGAACTGGGTTGGCACAGCGGTGGGGTTGAGCCATTTTCTTTCTGGCTCCTCACCAGACAGGAGCTTGCCGACGTATCCATCTTGTTTGAAATGAGAGCTGCATACTCTGGTGTTTGATGTGATCTTGAAATTTGATCCCACGTCCCTCCTAATTTCAAATTGCCATAACTTGCACCTTTCTGCATCACTGGGAAAACGATGAAATGCAAGTGACATAATCTAAAGACCGATTACTGCAGAGCGGAACAGCACAGTAGTAGCCCTTGCCTGAAGTTCTTTTCGGCTTCTTGGCAGGTTGGCTGTCAGTGCCAGATTCCACTGCGGCTGACCCCACGGACACTGAAGGCGAAGAAACAACACCAACACTAGCTGCAGCGACAGTTTGTTCGACTGGAACCGGTTCAGGAATGGTTTTAGCTACTGCTTGCGCTGGAGACGCCAGCGCCAGCCTGGCTAAAGCAGCGACACTGGCAGGAACATCGGTACTCTGCACAGTGCTGGTTTCGAGTGCCACTTGCACATCGAGCCACTCGAAATAATCAGGAGCGACGTGCCTGGGCACTGAGATCGTAACCCTCTGCTCGCCTCCGCTGGAACAGAGCGACTTTATCCGCAGTTCAGGTTCTCTCACGTTCTTTCTCCATTTCTCACGACTACTCTCGGCTGACCAACTCCAAATCGCTCTACAGTATCTCAAAGAATCAAACCCTCCAGCAACAAGGACAAAGCGAAACAAAAATAATTTGTCAAGAAAGCACAGCAGGAAGACGTGTCGTGGGCTGCAATGACAGCGCGAGCGCTCAGGCGTAGCCATCCAACGCCATTTTTGCACCATGGCAACGCATCTTCGGCAATGAGTGTTAGGCGATCTGTAGATCTACACCTGACCTGATGATCTACACGCGCGCTATGCACGCACGCCGTTTTTTAGGTTTTAATGTTTCGTGACGTCATCGATGAGTGGGTCGCGTCGATAATCGCCGTCGACCGCGTCGCTATCTCGATGCACGACGAGTCTACGAATACGATGTACATGTAGATGCCCCGCAAGAAGTGGGCTGGTCAGTGGGTGGGATCGGGCCATCATCGGGGAGCTGTGATTTATAAATTCATCGTCTACCTGGTCTACCGCCGGATACATCACTACAACTCCCTGGCCGAGATCAACCAGGGCAGTAATGGCGCTTCTGACGCTTCCAAGTTTGTTAGCTACAGGGAGTCGTCAAAATAATAATACTTGACGACTCCCTGCCGAGTCCCTGGTTAGCTACTCCTAGTACAACTAGCTCACCAACAGCTGTACAGAAAAGGGACAGCCGAGTGATTACGACCATCGTAGGTCTGTGGGAAATACCCTAGTAAAATAAATAAAATAATAATGAAAATCGACATGGTAACCATGGTAACCCCAGACTCGAAGTAACCCTGGTCACTGGTCACTAGGGCAGAAAATAATTAATAATTGTGATTGTCCTCCTCGTGACCGGAGCCGACACCCCCGCCGGGCAGCCTTCGAGAGCCTAGCTGTGGCCAGGAGAACGAGAGTGGTTCATGTTCGTATTTTTTTTCATTTCGCGTACCAGGGAAACGCTGCGGAAAAATGGACTTCAGCTCAACAGAAGGTTCCAGCAAAGTGCACGAACAGACAAGCGCAAATGCACGATCTGCGAAGAGGCCGGCATCAAGCAGCAGTAGACCATCGTAAACGTGAAGATGAAACTGGTTAACGTGCGGTTGCACTGGACGCTGGGCACCTCAGAGTAGTTTCACATCACGACATACCACTTTTTGTAAATACCCAGGAACGAGCTCAACCTCCTTCGCCGAAGCCTTGGCTTCATCGGCGGGACTGACACAGCCCGAGTAGCAGCTACAAGCAAAGCCGAGTTCTGAGTTGAACACATTGAGTAGCCCTGAACCTGTCGGTGCAACGACAATGACGACCGTTCAAGTTACCTACTTCGAAGTCACGTGATTAGTATGGGCTGTATCACGATACTACGTGTCGCTGTTGGGAGAACAACACCAGCAGACACAACCGTAATGGCGACGTCGGAGCAACACTGAACAGGAAATCGACATGATGGCCGGACTCTTCCATCGGGTGGTGGAGGTTAACAACGTACCTCCGGCAGAACGGAGAAGTCGATATCGACGCTTTCGAGCTGCAGTGTGATGGATCCACCCAAACGATCCTCATTTCGTTCTGAGGCTACCCAAGTGTCATGGAACCCAACCGACCGCAGCTCATCGGCTTGCCAACGTCGGCGAAGCGGTAGCTCGCCCGTCTCACAGACCGCGAGAGGCTCCGGGGGGAAAACCGGAAGCAGGCAGATACGCCAGTGGCTGTGTATGTCTAAGTTGGAACTTCAAACATCATCTGGACAGGCCTGTGGTCCTTGCCTGCCATCGGAATGCGTGAAGTGTGGGAGAAGTTCTACCAGCATTGTGGGTGACATTGCCGGCTTCGACCGAACCTCGCTGAACGGCACATGCATTGGCTCAAAAGAGTCTGATTATCCGGAGTAAGCACAGGCTTGTGGGTATGACTTCGTCGACGTTCAGACCTGTCTGCGGGCGAACAGCTAGGCCAGCAGCTAGGCCGTCCCGGGGTCCCTTTTTATTTCTCCGCGCTATTGCTGTCGTTCCGATGCTGGGGTTGTCCGATATGGCTATGGGCGTGGGGCAGCAGCGAATGAGCTAGTTGATGATGCATTGCCATGCCACCTCTCACCTGCCCCCCCCCCCCCCGTCCTGCTGCAAAACTGGGAAATTCAATTTACCCACGGATGATAGCCATCACGATCTACTACTAAGTGCTAGCCACCAGCCGTGATCCAATACTATAGGCTAGTATAGGGTACCCTGGTAGAACATGACGCCTGCATTCTGTACCTGGTTGAGGATCAGTCAGGCTAAACTTATGTCTGGGCCTGACAATAACTGGTACTAGCTCCAGCCTGCACAACGCGGTTTGTTGTCCTTGCATGGCACAGCATTCCTTACCAGGCGATAGGGAGCCACACGACTTCATGTGCATTCCCTGCAACTAGCAGCCCAGCCTCTCCAAATAAAAGTCAAAGACCAAAGATGTCCTTCCATTCCAGACAAGCAACTATTACTGTTAGAACTCGAAGTCGAAGGAGAAGGTAGCCGACCTCATGTCACGTGTGCTGGACAGGTTGTCGCTTAAGTAAGCTTCCCAACTCCAACACGATGAACTATCATTCTAATCTCTGAACCGTGACAGGTCTCGGTATCAGATTCGCCACAACTGTACTGCCTGGCACTGCCACAGTCTCTACTTCACCACTAGCACTCAGCGACTAACATCCAAACTAAGCCAAAACTGCAAGAGCCAAACGGCCAAACGCTGTGACACGAAGTCCGGATCGGAGGGTGCGTGTGTCAGTCCGATCCAGCTCGAGTGGATCGCCCAGATCAGAACGTGGTACCATGGTACATGGTCAGTCTAGTCATCACCTCACCGCTTTCTCTGTCAGTCTGTGCCACTTGGCGCATGGCTCCTTCAAAACTCCGATGAGTTTTCTCAGACCAGGCTCAGTACAGGGACAAGTGACAGACAGTGGCCTCACACGGATCGATGCTAAGATAGCGCTTGAACATCAAGTGACAGGCAGTGATCTGACGGATACGCGGATGGGTTCGACAGGACAGTAGTGATTCTGGCCGATACGAGTTCGGGAGGCTGATTCTGAAAATAATGTTTCTTCCTCAGAAGAATTTCATTGCAGGTCACAGCTAACTGGTGACCACGACGGGTACCATAGGCATAGAATGCCCGGGTAGTGCCCGGGTAGTGCCTCTGTACGACCTGGTACTTTATGGCCATGGAAATTCTGTAGGGTCACGGCGACGTCTTCCTTCCTGCGCGAATCCATTTTCCGATTTCGCCAGATGAATGCAGGCTTTCGGACTTCTCTAAAAAACGAAGAGAAAAGTCCAAGTCCCAGGAGAACGGCTGTAGAGTAGGGCAATAGGGGCGGACTGTCGATTCTCAGAGCGTTGTATTAGCTTGTTACTGAGGCAGAATTTCGTTGATCAGAATCATGGATGGACCTCTCGTGCTAGCGTTTATTCTGCTGGCTGCGAGCAGCGGTGTGATCGGCCGCAGTTCCAGCCTGCACAAGACGGAGTTCATTCGTCACTACGACACAGTTCGACTGCGTCCGCTGGTCTTGGCCGCCCTGAAGCAAGTCCATAAAGGGCATCCGGTCATGGCACTCTCGTTCACAGCGCTCGGACGGGATTTCACGCTGAACTTGCAGACGCAAAACAATCTCTTCACGGATTCGGCCAGCCTATGTCTCATATCCGACACAGGCGTTGCGTACAAATCAGTTAACAAGGCGATGTTCTACACCGGTACAATGTCAGGTGAACGCTGGAGTTCTGTGCATGGTGCCGTGAAAGCTGGACTGTTCCATGGAGTGGTGCACACACACACGCACCACTATCATATGGAGCCGATGGCGTTATTCGACAACGTCACGGCGAGTGGCGAAGGGCACGACACGATTGTGTACGACGAGAGGCATGTCGCCTATCCACATCCCTTTCAGCACAGCTGTGCTGCTAGCAACTCGACACGGTTGCGTCGGATTCAGGAGTCGGCACGCACACCTCACCCACTGCCGCCATTGGATGCCAACCGGGTGCGTCGTCGGCAGAAGCGTGCGTTCGATGAAGAAAAGAAGACTTGCCGTGTCACTCTAGTTGCCGATTATACTTTTTTTACTGAAGCAATGAATCAAGATGAAGCAGACACGCAGGCGGAGCTGGCTTTCCACCTCAATGAGGCAAGCAGGATGTTCTCCGCCACCGACTTTCTGATTCCCGACTCTGGCCAGGAGGTCACTGACATTAACTTTCAGATTCACAACATCACCATCTACAAGACGGAGCCCAACCGCTTCACCGGTGAGTTTGGCACTGACGACATGCTGAGTGCGTTCTCTGCCCTGGACTTTGATTCGGTGTGCCTTGCCCACCTGTTCCTGCACCGTGACTTCAAGAACGGCGTTCTGGGCCTGGCATGGGTGGCTAGCCCCGGTGGATCTATCGGCGGCATATGCCAGAAGCGCACGCGTACCAGCAATGGTGATCTGAATCTCAACACTGGCTTCACGACAGTGTACAATTTCAATGCCCGCGTGCCACGAAGCGTCTCGACGATCACAACCACGCACGAGTTTGGGCACAACTTTGGCTCGCCGCACGACCCGGATGGTCCCTGTGTGCCAGGCGGCAGCGATGGCAATTACATCATGTACTACAGTGCCACGGACGGCACAAAGCCCAACAACCAGCGCTTCTCGACTTGCAGCAGAACTAGCATGGCAGCCGTACTCAGCACAAAGGCGACGTGCTTCGACATCCGGCGCGAATCCAGCACGTGCGGCAATGGCATACGGGAGGGCGCCGAGGAGTGCGATTGCGGATCAGATAACAACGAAACGTGCCGCGCCAATGACCCGTGCTGTCGCCCCGGTAACTGTACACTGCTGCCCGGCAACCCGTGCACGGCCAAGTGGGATGTGTGCTGTCGAACGGTGACGTCGCCACAGAACGTCACTATGTGTGTTCTCGCGGGAGAGGAGAAGCCGTGTTCCTACACGGACGAGTGTCAGCTGCAGCAGTTCTGCAACGGCGAGAACAAGACCTGTCTGCCGTCGCCGACGCCCGACGGCACGCTCTGCAATGGCAACCTGTCGACGTGTAGCGGCGGAGCGTGCAGCGGATCGCTGTGTGCCGTGTACGGCGCCAACGCCTGCGACTGTACCACGCCGGGCAGGGAATGCGACCTGTGCTGCGTCATCAACTCCAACTGCACCAGCCTCCGCGACCCGGGCCTGCCGTTCAATCTCAGCACAGGCGTTTCCCGTCCGGCCAATGCTCCCTGCAAGGACTACACGGGGTACTGTCGAGTAGACGAGGACGCGGTGCGCTGCATCACCGTGGACGACAATGACCCACTGGACGATCTCAAGGACATCTTCAACACGATAACGGTCGGCTCCATTCTCGAGTGGCTCAAGAAACACTGGCCGGAAACCCTGGGCGGATTCGGCGGTGCAATTGTCCTCTTCATTTTACTCAGAGTGACGTATCGGCCGAAGAAGCTGGACGATCCTAGCCGGCGAGGTGAGCTAGAGGAATCTGTTCCTCTCCTGTCTCGGCGGTCTTGATCAGTTTGCGCAAGCCATCATTTATGGATCTCTCACTTACATACATGTACATGTAGACAGTAGACTAGCAGTGTTTTCGTGGACCTAAAACTGGGACAATGTGATTTATGGATGTGACATTGCGTATAATTATAGTACTTGAGTGCTACTCATTTTCTGCTAACAACCCCCCCCCCCCCCCCCCCCCATAAATCATGGGCTGTTGCTTTTGCTCCTTGACAAACATGCTATTTCGAAACATAATCATACCCTATAACGCATGTATGTACTAAATATGTACGTGCAACAGTCCCTAACTCTAGCCACGGTTTATGGACTCTTGCACGCCACTGAGCAGCTGCATTTTTGCCGAAACATGTACCATTCTTTAGAAATAATATATCTACCAGTATTATAGTAGTTTTGTCATTATTTTGAATCATGATCAAGATTGAGGGACGCACCAGCTGGCAGAGCATTTCTGCTGCACAAACATTTGTTTGAATAGTCGGTTTACTGTGACTGCTCGTGTGTGCAATTTGATGCCAATGTTAGTGACGATAGCATCAGCTACACGCGATGGCAAGAGTATTGTGCTCTTGGTGATGGGTCTTGTGCACTTTTAAAGCAGGCGGTGGGGACAATCACGAGCTCTGGGGATGAGCATTATAGGGGCATCTGTTAAAAAAGGTCAGTTAGGTTAAGTCCCTTGAATGTCTCCATTCCTCAGGCTCCACTCTGGGGGGATGCAAGCCTAACTAACTTGTAGACTGTTGAAGGTACCATAACATGGCATGTCAAACACTGCTAAGTGAGGCGACATATTAGGCCCAAGCTTTTGTTCAAGCTGCATTGTCTAACCAATGCACAAAGGCATGTGTCAGCGTGTGCTTCAAATTTCCGTTCATCAAAGCATGATTTTATAAGCCTTTCATACAAGACTTTTTAGGTAACACAGTTTCGGGCATTCTCATTTCTGTGAGAATGTGGCCTTTTGACACGCTGTTACGGCCAAGGTCGCAGCAGACCTGCAGTTGGCGCTTCCGGCTGTTACGCCCTGCATCGGGCCGGCAGGTCTCGTAGCTTCCTCACTGCCCGTGTGTGTGTGTGTGTGTGTGCTGCCTACACGAATGCTTCGTGCTCTGCTGCGCCAGCCAATGTCACAGCGTTCCAGGAAGAGGCCCCGGCCCAGTAACCAACAGCACTAACTAGTAGTCTTCACCATACTTTATTATACGGCCAGGTCAATATGAGTGATAAGGATGGCAGGGATGCCGATAGGACAAGTACTAATACTGTACCACTACGATAACGTGCAGCGACGGACAGATTGCGAATCATTTGAGAATAGGAAAAGATGCTGGCTGGTGCTGCTTTGACAATAATTATACTGCGAACCTTAGCCGACAATCGATCTAGCTACGTGCAGTCGGCATAGCAACATAATAACTATGATAATTAACGCTACTATTGTAATTGTAGTAAGGGATACTAGAGCTACTAGTAATACTTATTATTAAATGTACGATACAACTGTGGTGACGAAACGGACGACTAGAGCGGCGTCACAGAAGAGAACAGGTCCAAGGGTAGGAACTTGATGACCTCGGCAGAAAAGCGGACCAAGGAAAATCAGATTAAGTCTGCTTGACCGGGCAGATGCGGGTAGTATTGAAGCAAGGGAAGAGAGAGAGAGAAAGAGAGAGAGAGAGAGGGAGAGAGAGAGAAAGGGAGGGAGAGAGGGAGAGTAAAGCTACTTACTAATAGTAGCAGCATGCAATCAGAGATGCGCTGCTGGGTTTCGGCACGCGGCGTGCGGCATTGCGATAGAAATACTCTAAATGTCTACACAAGATTAATAAGAGTAGCAGCATAAGAGACTGGCGTGTGTTAAGTTAATCCACAGGGATTCTATGAGCTGCTGGATGGACTATCTCCTCAGCCATAGAACTGCATTCTAACTAGATCTCTGCCAGCCATCATAAGTATGCATGCATGCATGCATACATGCCAGTAATTGGTACAAGTAGAGGGCGGGTCTGGCATGGTGTGACATTGCAGTCTATGCGTGGGCAGCACACCATCCACACTGCACAACAGCTGCTGCGAATATGGCATATAGACTGGTGGGACGGTGAAGAATGGGTGCAGTCAGCACTGTGCTGGGGTCCTGACTTTGCCTACATCCAGTGCTGCTTGCGTCAGTGCTGCTCATGTCGTGCTGCGCTTGTATGGGAGACAGGGCGTTCAGTAAAAACACAGCTGCCCACAGTTTTAAGCTGGCCTTCACAGCGTTAGTGCTGGCAGAGCAGCTAGGTCATGGGCAAGGCTAGTGGTACTCTGCTGACACTTGCCATAGCAAAGGCAGTAAAGAGTCCGAATGACTGAGTACCCATACTCCTCACACCAAGTTCATCTGGGAGCACACATCTTGCGACTCATTGGAGTTGAGAAGAGCAGTCAGACTGGACAGGGATGATCGACTCACCGACGAGAACTTACCACCAGCTGCAGCCGCAGAGGCAACGGTGGTCGGGAAGTGCCCAGTTGAAATAAGGCTGTTCGGCCGGTTAATGAATTGCTGCGGTTGCTGCTGCTGCTGCTGTTGCAGCATGCGAGTGTTTGCAGCTGCAGCATCACCGCCATGCTGCATGCTCAGCTGATTCACCACACTGCTCGGCAGTGAGCCGTCCGTCAGCATCCCGCGGCTGGCTACTACCATCTTTGACATGGACGGCGAGGTGGAATTGTGACGCATGCCGTGCAGCATAGTGGCACCGCCACCGGCCAGTTGTGAATGAACAGGCACGCCAGCAACACTGTGCCCATCGGCATCCACACCATTGACCATTGCCTGCGGCGAGCCAGTTTCCAGGAGCACGTCGGGTGAGTTTGCACAAGAGAGGTCAGCCATGCCCTGAAGATGCTGCTGTGCAGACCCCTGTTGCAGGTACTGTGGAATGGGAGTCGGCGGCCCGCTCGGGAATGGCGGCGTGCTGCGTGCGGACGGCAATTGACTGGGCTCCGGGTAAACAATACCAGCGAATGTTTTATTGAGTATTGGCGTGTGTGCCGGCGAGCCGTGTAAACTGCCCACTGGTGAGTGCAGCGGGTAAGGTACAGGCACTGGTGATGAAATTCTCGACGCTGGACTGGAAGTCTCGAACACACGAGCGCCCGGATTGACCGAGAGCGGCACTGTTGATGCGGGTCCGGGTAGTTGCCCGTGCTGCTGTGCGGGATGAGTTGCAGATGCTGGTACCAGCGGCGGCGACACGGTCGGAGCAACGGACATGGCCAGCGGGACGGGAGGCGAGGAGCTTTTCTGTTGCTGCTGTTGCGGGTGATGTGCCGGATGTTGTTGCTGGTGCTGGACCGGCTGCGGTGGTGTTTGCCGCTGTTGCTGTTCCTTTGCTGGTTGTTGTTGTTGCATAGCTGTTGACATTGAACCGTGTTGAGCTGTAGCGGCAGCAGCAGCGGCGGCGGCAGCAGCTGCTGCTGCTGCGGCCGAGCTCACACTGGCCGAGCTGTTATCCCTGGCCATGCTGCGAGCAACGGCGGCCATTGCCTCTGCAGTCACCTGCGAGTCATTGGTGGTGGACATCTCTGACAGCATGTTAGCAGCTGACGAGGGCAGGCTGGACACAATGACAGGCAATCATCACGCACACACTTCAATCATTACACTGCAGCAATGGATACCAACGTTACGCCCAGAAAGAAATGTTTCTTATGCACGTCAGCATGACATGAAAATTATAAACATTCCTTTCCCAGCCAGTCAACTTGTCATGGCATGCGTGGATGTTAGCCCAAATCCTATTTTCCATATCCATAATTATGGTAATCAGGCTGAACATCGAGATCGTAGTTGGTGGGTTAGACAGGCTCAGTGACTCGCCGGCACTGTCAACGATGGCACTGCGCGATTGCAAAGGGGAAGGTATTCGAGCGCATGTTGTATTTGTGAACTACGTTTGGATGTACACGCTCCTTTTTTTTCACTGGTTCATTTAATTTCGGGAAGTGCGATCTCGGAGCTTCTTACAAATCAAGCAGCCCCGAGTCATGTACCATCTTTCATTGAATATAAGTTGCACCTTTCACACTAAAATTCATGGACCAAAAAGGGGGTTGCGACTCGCGATTGAGCATGACTTACTACTGAAGTGAATAGATTGAAGCAATGCGGCTCAAACCTGAAAATGGGCGTGCGACTTATAATCGAGTGTGTATTATAATCGGGGAAATATGGTAAACAAATCTACGGGACTCTAGCAGTCTAGGTCAGGCCTGACGTAGCGACACATTTTGTGTGAAAACAAACATGTTGCTGAACCTCCCCAGCAGGGATGATAGACCAGCCAATGGGTGTGCCATGGACGGATGGACAAAGCATGCAACGTCTAGCTAGCATTGAAGTGTGACTCATAGTGCATGTGACCAGGCCGAGAATGTGGTCCTGATCACATGCGGAGAGACTATTAGGGGTGAAACGAAGGTCTCAATGTGCCAAACGAACCTTCTTCATCAAAACGAACGAAGGTGTCGAAGGATTCTTTTACAAGTTCACAGTTCCTCTTGAAGCACACTCTGTGCATGTGCCCTACAAAGTACATGACTTTGCATATATTTGCTATGCAGTCACCACAATTGGCATGCCCATAACTTTTGCACTGCGCAGTTTGAAGCTCCAACTGCGCAAGACTTCTTCTGCACACGGTGGCCGTGAATGGCCATGCTCAATCGCAGTCCGTGGCCTATTATGCACTTGCAATGGCACCTACAGTGTACGGGAGCCAAGTGGACACAAAACTAGTGCACTGTACAAACTACAGTACAGTACCTCCTGTATACAAGGAAGATCAGTGCATGTGTGTGCAGAAATCGTGTGTTAACCTTCTTTTGAATTGAAAACGAAGGTTTGTTTCAAATGAAAACGAAGGTTCTTCGAACCTTTGACACCTTCGTTTCACCCCTAGAGACTATGCATTTGCCGTTGGTGATACGAGTCACATGACATAATTAATTTCGCCGACTATCTTCCCCTCATCTATTGCAGCAGGAACTAGCTGCGGCCTGGCACAATCTGTACTGCATCAACCCTTTCCTTGCAGGTATACTAACAACAACAACAGCACTACAGCTTACATGCCCGGCATCCAGGACATGAGGAACTGGTACTGCCGCTCCAGCGCCTTCAGCTTGCTTTGCAGCTGGTTCATCTGCTTGTCTCGCTCGGACACAAGCTGCTGCAGCTGCTGGACTACAGAGCTCTGCTGATCCATTGCCTGGCGGAAGGATGTCTGCTGACTATTGACAACGTTGCTCTACACACCAAAAACAATACACCGACGACAGGGTATAATGGTGAAGCTGCAAGAAGAGTCTAAACTCATCTAGGGTAGGACAAAAGCTGAAATGATCTATCACCCATGGTATATGGCAAGAAATCTGTTGGGATGGCTGTTGGGAAATTGAAGGAGAGCAACAGAGTTTAGTGAAACCCCTCAGACACAGACTAATCTGAACAAAAAGAACATGCCCTCAGTGTCTGCTCTAGAATTGTAGGACAGCCGGGTACACGTGTACCTGGTGCAACCATTTCAACTGGGTCGGAGCTGGGTACACATGTATTCGACGCGCGCCTCTGCATGATCTGTCACACATACAAGCCATGTACATGTTTTTCGGTTTTGACAGCATGTTACAAGGCGAGGAGTATTGGCGGCAACACGACGACATCTACAACACAACAAAAACAGTTTTTTTTAAAAATCCTACCAACCCCTAGAGTAACGAGGGTCCGAACCTGGGTTTTCCCAATACGGTTCAAATGGTCGCAAGACCGGGACTCTGCCAACCGGGTTATGGTTGTAGTCAGGAGCACTACATACGCATCCTCGCCTTCCTGTCAAAATCAAGGCTTCTGTGTATAAGCCATGTACATGTAGGTCAGTCCTTTCAAAGTTCGAACGTGTAAAGTACCAACCGGGTCACAGGTGACCCGGTACTATATTTTCAACCGGGTCCAAGCGCCTCCCAACCGGGTCGATTACCCGGCCCACCCGGCTCTGGAGCAGACACTGGCCCTCACATGCACATACACCCACGCCCACACACACCCACACATGTACGCCTGTCTACAAATCATTAAAGAAAGAACAGGAACAGGTGCCGATGTCATGCGCACACTCACCCAGTGGATATTCTGTGAACCAATGGCACGCTGCTGGTGTCTTGTGATGTGTACTAGCTGACAGAAACCACGCAGGAGATCAACCAAATCTGGCGGCTCCTCCAAAGGCAAGCCGAGCTCTTCCCAGGATGGCAGCTATTGAGAAAAGAAAGAAAACACATGCAACCGATACACCAAATGGGTAATTCAGCCTTTTCAGGTAACAACTAGTAGTTTGAAACCGTCAAGGTGTGACAACAGAAGAGAGCCTCTTACTTGGTATCATCAGGGTGTGTTGCGTTAAACAGTCACTGGGGCTATGCTCATGACTGTACCTACGTGTAGTTGTATAAAGTTACCAGGGGATGAGGTAGATTGAGAGAGAGAGAGAGAGAGAGAGAGAGAGAGAAAGAAAGAGAGACAGAGAGAGAGAGAGAAAGAAAGAGAGACAGAGAGAGAGAGAGAGAGAGAGAGAGAGAGAGAGACAGACAGAGACAGAGAGAGAACTACAGTTGCACTCGGTAGAGTCCGACCCAAGCGTACATTTGGCGCCCAGGACTTTCACGCCCTTGCAGTGACACAGTCTTGGTACAAATGCGGCTTGCCATACACATGTGCAAATGCAGTGATGTAATCGGAACAGGTCCAGGGTGCCAGTTTTGCACTTTGGGTCGGATTATTTCACCGAGCACAATTGTATATCTACAGAAACGGAGAGCCAGAAGTGATGCATGGAAGGAGAAGTAAGGGGGGGGGGGGGGGGGGGAAGAAAAAGATGGACACTTACCTCATGTGCTGTGGTAAGCTCAGCTAGGCTTTCGGCAACCGGCTCCAAATGCTCACGCTCCCGCAGGAATTTGAGAACCAGATGCTGCAACGTGTCTTCCTCGTACTGCATCGGCTCAGAACCCTGTTGGAAACAGAAGCAACCAGCCAGCAGGGACAGTAACATCGGAAAACGCCTGACAGAACAATGTAGGCTTCAAATTGCAGGGGTGCAGTGCTGTCAACCTTCCGTTTTTTCCACATTTCTACGGAAAATCCCTTCTTCGTCCGCAGTAAGGAATTCAAGCAAAACGGTACGGAAAATTGAAGAGGATCGATCAGCTACAGCTATGTATGTAGAAGCATGACAAGCACGAGCTGAACGATGAACTTCCCTGTGCCAAAGCGAGTGCATGCCATGCCTTGACTACATGTAGCACAAAATATCATGTCGTGCATGTTTTGCACTAGCAAATTCAGCTACCGGCAAGCATGCGAGTGCCAAAAACGCACAACACAAGCAATGCACACGGCAGTACATTGGTAGTGCGGAAAAACACTGCAAAATACGGAAAATCAGAAGTCACAGTATGCAAAACAGACCCAGTTAGTTGGCAGCACTGGGGGTGTCCAACACTCGTCTTCACAGAAAGAGAGATTCTTTCAGGAGCACAATGTGCATAATCTTGTTGTACAAATAAGCCCAACTTCTACCTGAATTGTCATTGGACAAAGTGGCCAACATGAGTGTTCCATGGCCACCGATACACTGCGACGTACTAGTATTCACTAAAACAGGGGTGCAAGCATTGGGGCATGGATCATATTGGTCCGACACAAGGAAACAAAGATGCACAATCTATGCCATGGGCCTAGAGGGAGCCAGTCCCGAGTCAGCACATTCCACACCGCAAAAAAATGTAAAGTTGACGTCAAGGGATGCACAAGTTATCATAGAGCCCTCACCCATACACTCTTGGTGCGGAGAATGTATCACTAAGAGACGGGTAACACATGAGAATCTGAACCAATCAGAGCATACACAACGCATACCTGGTCTTCGCTATTCATCCATCTAGGCAGTATGTGTGGGAACGGGACACCAGCATTCTTGGGCGTTTCAGATCTGGAGCTGGGCTGGTATGAGGACTTGATCATGTTGCTGACGTAAGCTGACGGAAGTGTGGGCCGCGAGCATGCCACAACACTGTCGGCCATTAGTGCACCTTCCACTGGAGCAAGCAAGGACAGACACACACAGCAACAGGCAGAGAGATGGATAGATAGGTAGTTAGAAATAGATAGAGAGATAGATACCGTACGCGCTCGAATACAAGCCCCCCCCCCGTCGAATAGAGCCCGTCTGTCAGAGGGAATCGAACTAATAAAGCCCCATCTCGTATAAAAGCCCGGGGCTATAATCAAGCGTGCAAAGTCCGTACAATGCAGTGCAGTACATGAACCATATACGGTATGCAAGTGCAACAAGGTGCACTTATTGCACACAAACTGCAGTCACGGGTGCTTACCGTACAACAATCTAGTGCAGTAACTGCATGCACTGATCAGCATGATAGGGTGAAACAATTGATGCTTCAATTTTTTTAAAGCCCCCTCTCGAATAGAACCCTCTCTCAAATATAGCCCCCTCAATATGTCTTCTGGAAAAATAGAGCCCCGGGGCTTCTATTCGCGCCTATACGGTAGATAGAGGGAGAGAGATGGATAGATAGATACATGCAGATAGATAAACAGTACAGTTGTTGAAGCTTAACAAAAAGAAACTCAGTGAGAGGTGATTAGAATCAGTACCAAGTACAGAGTTATGCACATGACATCATTGTGTATGTTTTGTATACAGTGAATAAAAATATAACATCTTTGTGTATGTTTTGTAGGGAGTGGAAAACCAGAAATCGCAATGCCACCTCATACAAAGCACTTCAAGCGATCAGGTGCATGTAGCACGATGTCCATAGCATCATCGTGACACTGCAGCATACCACCTGTACATGTACATCCAGTGTGAACAACAATGCTGGAGATAGGTGAGGTGGGAGAACCATGCCCACACCTAGAGACTAAGAGTGTCGTTAGATAACACTGGCATTTGGCAAAACCCGATTTTGCCAGTGAAGCTTGATATTTTGCCACAAAATGTTGCTGGCTCCTCGTCGATATTTTGCTGTCATTTTGCTGGCTCATCGTCGATATTTTGCTTTCATTTTGTCAGACCACTCGATATTTTGCTCCCTTTTGCTCTAATGTGAGGCCAAATTTGTGTCACGTGTGGAAAAATGACCGAAAGTAGGTCACGTGTTGGCAAAAAATGAGAAAAAAAGTGAGTCACGTGTTGGCAAAAATGTGCGAACATGATTCATGTACACCGTACAAGCGTAAAATCTCCCAATTTCCAGCGAACATACCGATAGTTTGCTCCGTTTTGCCAGCAAATTCCCTTGTCAAAATTCTTCGATACATTGCTAGCAAAATCAGGATAATATGTCTAATTGGCATGCTGGAAGGACTATTGCTTTTGAGTATAGAATTGACTTAATATGGACAAGAGGTAAGCTGCTGTTGTCAGTATTGACTTAATATGGACAAGGGGCAAGCTGCTGTTATCAGTATTGACTAAATATGGACAAGGGGCAAGCTGCCCAGGGCACCTGTCATGCATGGCTGCACTGATTGCTCATCTACTTGTGGAGAAAACAACCAATGCTTGAAAACGTTTTTAAAGCTTATAGAAACCCTAGTCAGCACTGATTGCAACTCACATGTCCTGCTAGGTGCTTCCATGGGTGTTGACGGCAGGCTCTGCAATTAGCAAGGTCACAAGCAACAATCAAATATGTAGTAGTAGGTTTTTCATTTTGACCCGACGAGACCATACGACGCTTGCAGATCACAGCACGAACAGTTCACCAGCCACACTCCACGAAGGCAAGTAGTAGTACTCCTGACAAGAAATAATCAAGTAGTAGAACTCCTTGTCAGGAGTACTACTACTTGCTTTCGTGGAGTGTGGCTGGTGAACTGTTCGTGCTGTGATCTGCAAGCGTCGTATGGTCTCGTCGGGTCAAAATGAAAAACCTACTACTACTGTATTTGACGGACCTATTGAAGATGGCACAAAGAATCAAATATGTGTTGTGAGTCAGTGTGCTACGAATGATACTGACTCTGCTGTGAATTTGAATAACATAGCCGTCCCGGAGAGAGAGCCTCATCCTATACAGTACTATCCATTAGGAGCCAGACTACAGGGCTACTCAGTGAAATGCGATCAAGAGAGCCAATGCCACGCTGGGTATTGTGTAGCTGTGTAGACCCAGGAACACTGGGATGTGAATTATTGGCGCAGGGCTATGCAAACTTGACTCACGCGATCGGATTTCACTGGGCAGCACTGTACCGGCAGGCCAGGTTGGAAAACAAAAACAAAACATCTTCAAGCACAATTCAGCATCATGTCCTCTGTTCTAGAGTGGTATATCCACCGGTAGGTGTGGGTCTACGACCGGGAGGGCCTAGTCCAATCACTACCGGTGGATGCGTCACTATGCTGCGAAGGAAAACTAGTATAAACTACCCAAACGTGTATGGACCCATACAAAAGCTGGACCCAAGTGGATCCAAGGGTTGTTATTTGTCGTTAGATTTTGACTTCTGATGTCATCACTTTCAAGCCCTACGGAGACAGCTCAAATCCTCCACAATTCCATCAGTGATGGAGTTGCACAGTTTGCATGCACACACCGACACAAACTTACCCTTACAAGGACAGACAGACATACTCACACCCACACACATGTACACACACACGTCCATACTTGAAGTACGTACACACACACATATGCACGCACGCACCCCCCCCCCCCCCCCCACACACACATACACACACACGGTCATCTTACATTTGCACCAAGTCGATGCACCGGACCGCCAGTGGTGGCCGGACTGCAGACGCGAGAGGAACTGCTGCTCCTCGGCACTGACTTGGAGACATTGTCCAGATTATTGGGTGCGATCGTCGCTGGTTGCATTGCACGACTTCCCATCATACCTGCAGGAATCGGTGCACATGTTAAGCCAGCAACACCAGTGGCCGTACCGTGCGGGGACTGAGTGGGCGTCATCTGCACCAGTCCAACCGCCGGTTGCTCTGTGCGCGGAGATCCCAGGACTGGAGTGGATACGCCCGACATCTGCCCACTGTTGGTATCCTTGACCATGGCTCCCTGTAACGGGAGCATTAGCTGTGCAGCTGGGTGATGAGCCGCGCCCGGATGTGCCGGCTGTGCGCCCGATTGCTGCTGCATTTGAGTCGTCACTTGCTGCTGCTGTTGCTGCTGTCGGAGGTACTGCTGCTGTTGCTGCTGCTGTTGGAGTACAAGCTTCTGGAAGTGCTGCTGCTGTTGCTGCATCTGTTGCATCTGCTGCATTTGCTGCATAGGCCAAGAGGCCTGATTGAAATCGCCAGTACCAGGTGCAGCGCCGGCAGCAGCTGCAGCTGGAAAGTTGGGAGAAGTTGCCTTGCCCGGTACTGCCATGGATGGTGGCCAGCACATCATGCTTGGCCAGCCCATCATAGGCACGGGCCAGAAGAACGGATGAGGCGGACCGGAGCGCTTGCTCTTCTCGTGCGAATCCTGCTTGCTGTCTCGCCTGCTGCTGTGCTTACCGGCACTGCTACTGGTACTGGAAGTACTGTTGGTGGTGTTGTTAGTGTTGTTAGCCAGGTGATGGTGTAGAGAAGAACTGCTGCCGTCCAAGCCGGGCGAAATGCAAGGACTCTGCGGAAGAGGCGAGGCAGTGCAGCTAGACGAGGGCGTTCTGCCAACACGGCCAGCACTAACGCTGCCACTCGACGAGCCCCGCGAAGATGCCGTCGACGACTTGCGGCGCATGTCAGAGCCGCTGGCAGATGACTTAGAGGACCTGGCGGAGGGCTTGCTGGGCGTGGACTTTTTCGGAGCTGATTCCTTCTTGCCGCAGGGAAGGCTTGAATCCTGAGATTTGTAATTGTCGTCACCTGATTGCTTGGACTCCTTCTCAGCCTTCTTTCGCTTGCGTGACTTCTTTGGCATCGCTCCGTTCACCTTTGCAGCAGCCTGGTTGGCACGTCCCTCTTTCTGCACGGCCATTAGTGCAGCAGCGGCGAGTTTCTCTTCCGGTGTTGGGTCCGTGTGATCAGTGCCGAGCGCTGCGTTGGCAAACTCTTCCAGGCGACTGAGTGCCGGCGGTAGGTGACTGGAGGCCGGATCACTGCACACTGGCTGCATAGACGACACAACACCGACACCCGTCGGCAGAATACATATAAGCTGATCATCGTCCATGCGTTGCTGGATGTGTGGAGCGGGCGCCGTCTGGCCTGTGCAGAATGAAGCGGGAGCGGCAGGCTGGCAAGCAGTAGCCGCTGCAGACTGAGCTAGCGTCGTCTCAACTTGCCCAGGCGCCTGAAGTAGAGTGAACCGATCGCCACCACTGCCTCCATCATCCCTCCCACCTTGATCAGGCGGAGATGACCACTGTTGTTGTTGCTGCTGCTGTTGTTGTTGTTGTTGCTGCTGCTGCTGTTGTTGGTGTTGCTCTTGCTGCTGCATGGCTGTAGAAAGTGTGTTGTCTTGATCTGCAAAATCCTGCAAATAAACAGAGAATGAAATGAACAAGATAAGACAGAGAGAGATAGAGAGAGAGAAAGACGGGGGCGAACAAAAACATTCGCGTGTATTATGTTCATACACTGTGCCCAGAGCAATGGCAGCCCCAACATTGATACAAGAGAGAAACAGAGAGAGAGAGAGAGAGAGAGAGAGAGAGAGAGAGAGAGAGAGAGAGAGGGGGGGAGGGAGAGGGAGAGAGACTGGCTACATGGGGTTTGATAGGGCTCGGCACGAGCTCTGCATACGACTACACTGTCAGTATAATCTAGTGGTTAGCGCCTGCTGTTTACATGAACTGGCCATACCTGCTGCTGCTGTTGCATCTGATCTCTGCTTGAGTCTGACTGAGAGAACATTCTCTTTGACTCTGCAGAGTCCTGCAACAAGGGAGAAACAAAACAACAAGAGCATGGACACAGACAAGTACAAATGCACAATTGAGAACATACTCAATCTGCGAACATAATTTATGTTTGAGCAATCACAAGACAACAGATTTCATAGATGAGAGAGAGAGAGAGAGAGAGAGAGAGAGAGAGAGAGAGAGAGAGAGAGAGAGAGAGAGAGAGAGAGAGAGAGAGAGAGAGAGAGAGAGAGAGAGAGAGAGAGGAGAGAGAGAGAGACAGAGAGAGACAGAGAGAGACAGACAGACAGACACACACACACACACACACACACACAGATCTCATCCAACCCACATCATTGAAGGGGCCGAAACGACAGGGAACACTGGCGGGATTCTACATGTAATAGAGTACCTAATTACTAGACTTAGTGACATAGCATGTGTATCAATGTGGGGCTAGCATTTTCCAGGGATGAGAGCAGTAACCATGCAGCCATTGTAGCGGGAAATGAAATGGGGAGACTACCCTTGCACAGCCGTAATTAGTGCAATGCAATCCGCATCTGTGCCGCTGGCAAAAGCATGTACACTTGACTTACTCCTTCATCCCCGTTGCAGGAGGAAGACCTGACTCGTTTCCGGGATGTGAACACCTCTGCGGCCTGTGTGTGGCCACGTGAACAATCACCGGTCACAGCGGATGCCTAAAGAGGTGGAACACACACATATCCATGCAAAGAAAATGCCACAATAGAATATTGTGACAGAGCTTACGGCCATACCCCACTTTACTACACCCTCCACAGGCGCGTGCTCGGCGATGGGCACGGGGGGCACGTGCACCCCCCAAAAATTTTCAATCTGGGTAATTGCAATTGTAATGTATGCAAATATGCTCTAAAATTCAAGAAAGGTTGCAAACAAATTGCAGAAAATTGCCGGGGGGGGGGGGGGGGGGCTCCCGTGCACCCCCCTAGTTGGGGGCCGAGCACGCCCCTGCTCCATCCGCCACCATCATGCGTTCTTAGTAAACGGAAGTGCCCTTGCTGTGCTGGTGTGTTTATGCTTCGTGCATTGGTTTGGCTAAGAGTGAATGGTGGTGACGGGTGGAGGATGTAGCAAAGAAAACCTTCTGAGAAAAGGTGAGTGCATTTCACGGTTCGTGGGAAAGTTGATCAAGCTGATCCCCCCCCCCCCCCCCCCCCCCGAGGTGTCCGCATCTGCAGGTGCCTTGCCACTCTCCTGGACATCAAGATGTGCAAACTTATCACCTACTTTATACTTCTACGCAAAGCAACAAGAATTCAGCCGCCAAGGTGACGCGACCCAAGCTGCCCCTGCCACCCCCGTTCCAACAGCCCTGGTGTGAAATGTGTCCATCGACAGTGTGCAAATAGGTTATCGTATGATTCACCTGTATAGGCGCATGATGTCATCTGTATGATTCACCTGTATAGGTGCATGATGTCATCTGTATGATTCACATGACACTTGCTAAGTCAGTCACACTGTTCCAAAGTATATACTTATCCATGTAGCACTTGGCGTTATAGCAATACATATAAACTTGGGCGTCGGACAGGCTATGGTCACTACAGCAGGGATGAATTTATTGTCATATTTTTGCATAGCAGTTTCTGATATACAAAATCACAATCGTGTAGCAGTCTTTGATTTTGATTAGCATTTTTCTTTGAAGGTTGGGGTTTACCACATTGTCCTTCTTGAGAGTGATGCTGAAAGCCCATTTGCAAAAAAACCGACTGAGTTATGCATGTGCACGCAGATTGAGAGTACCTGCACCACATACACTGCACTGTATGCATGCTACTTGACAGCGCAGGATAGGCATGGATAGTCTGTATGTATCGCAGTTTTCTGCGAATCACGGTGACTTTTGAGTAGCAGTAGATCGATTTTGCGTCGCAAACTGCGATGCAGGATAAATTCATCCCTGCTACAGTATAGATCGTACCACTTTTTGTCCCAGCCACCCTGTGAATCAGTAAAAATGCGCTGATTTGGGCTCTAAATGTCCGACTTTTTCAGCAGAGCCCCCCCCCCCCCAGCACTTCAGATGGTTGACTGTACCACCCTCAAAAACCTTCTGACGCCTCTGAAATATGTACCGTAAAGTACCGTTGATCTGCCCCCTCTCTAATTCCCGCCCCCTGCCGATTTTCTACCTGGGAAGCGATTTCGGTGTATACAACAAAATACGATGTTGAACCGACGCTTGCACTGCTGTACACGATTCGTGCCAATCCAGGATGAAAATGTGCATAATCCAGCACACCGAGTCTGATCCTCCACGTTGTTGTACATCGTACTGCACTTCACAGCCTTGATCTAATTCCCGCCCCCTGCCAAAAAACCAGCTGGGAAGCGACATGGCGTGGGGGGGGGGGGGGGGGATCAACGGAATTTTACGGTACAGTCAACTTCGCTTATAACGACTGCGGATATAACGACAATTCGCGAATAACGACAGAATTTCCATGCCCCGAGCAAAGTCCCATCCAACTGTAATACATATAATGAGACTTCGGGTATAACGACACTTCGCGAATAAGGAAACTTTTCTGATGCCCCGCCGCCGAGTGTCGTTATAAGCGAAGTTGACTGTACATCTATTGCAATGGATTCGTTTTCAAGAAAGCACAGTTACCTCAGACTGCTGCCCGAAGGATTTGTGCGATGTTGATGGTGGATTACTGCTGGGGTATGCCGACCGCAGCTGACCTCCGTTGAGCGAGAGAGAGCACGACGAACACATCGTCTTCGGCGACCGGTCACTCCTCTGCCCCAGTGCGGGGTGAGTTGTGTCGGACGGAATGCACACACCGCAGGAATGGCATGTACAAGAACTCCTGCTTTCCTGTTGCTGCTGTTGTCTGTCCACATGCATACCCAGACTGGCGGCGTTCATGCAGCCATTCTGTAGTACTGCAGCTGCCACCACCTCTGTATGGCAAGTGTGGCAGGCATACAGCTGATGCGAAGGGGAGCAGTCCACACGCTTCGACTCCAGGAACCTAACCGTGGCCTCGGACGGAGACAGGTGCTGGAGATTGTTGCTGGGTCGTTGGCAGACTTGGCACTGTGTCATAGCCATACCCTCAGTAACCGTACCCACAGACATGTTGGACAAACTGACTGTATTCCACTGCAGGTCCCGAGTCGATGCTGATTACCTGGCAAGCATGCAGCACGAATTGTCCAGCTGATGGTGACCGGATGAATTTCCGTGCGAGCAGCTTTCGAATCTGATCACCAGATTGTTGGGACGACTCCACGGTGCGGACTGGACACACGCTTTCTTCAAAAGGACAAACTGGTCAGTTGGGTTCTGCATAGGGTACAACTTTTTAGAACACAATCAACTTGGGGTATGAACTTGAGTCCAGTTGAATTACGGCAAGGAGGCTAGACCGAGGAAATGGGTACAAATCAAGACAACGGATCTACCTGGAGGGCAAGTTGGCAGCAAGGACTGTTTCCCCAGCCGAAGACGACTACCCTTCTGCAAATCCGCTGCAGCACGCTTTCCCTGCACCCACAGATTCTCTTGCACTCACTCACAAACGCAACGACGCTTTCTTCCGACATTCTTCTGAAAGGACGCTTCGCCATGGAAACCACAGAGGAATCCAAGAAAGAGGATCGTTGAGTGCACGATGAGCTGCACACTCGACTCGTTCCTCTTCCACCTCCATATGGGTACAGCCAGCACGTGCACCATTGGCGGGTACAACTTTCCGCGTACGGTGTAGCGTCCCACTCTTTTTCGTAACCTTTGCGCACCCAAGATCACTGTTCAAGACAAGACGCAGGCATCTACTCGTACCTGGCGAAACATGCATGGACTGCCTTGCAAGCTTGTGCTTGCACAGAGTTGCACTTGCAGATCAGGGCATACCGTAGCCAAGGGTCAAATCGTGTGTAGTCTATGGCCATGGGGAGGAGGATACGGGGGACAATTTCAGATGAAGCTACAACCTGTGAGATGAAACGGCCAAACGTTCGGGTGGTTGGCATCGATATCGATGCGTCCACGTCCACGTTCACAGACTACAAGTGCGCATGAACTGTGAATCTTGGAACGTGAACAAGATGAAGATTTGAAGGCGACGTAATTGCACCAACTTCCCAAGTACAACCACGCTATGATATTCGTACCCGTAGCAAAACCGTAGCTTTCTCATCTGCACGCTCGAAATCCCGCACTTTGTCCCGGACTGCAAAAGCAAAAAGGTGCAGTCTGCAGTGCGATGCACCTGTCGTCTGATTAGGGAAGAAAGAAATCCTCTCAAAAATGATGTGAACGGTTGTTTGTTCTTGTTCGGTACTGTTATTTACAGTTCCATCGCAAATACTTGAAATAGTTAATAGTTCCTACTTGTAGAAAGGCTATATCGACTCTAAATAAACAAACAACAACTATACGAAGACGTAACCCTCTGAAAGCACAGCTATACAGAGCCGCATGATAATAACTTTCTCTCTCTGCCTTGCACAACGTGCTTTAAGTAATCGGATGTCGTTGGTACACTGTGTGGATTATTGGATTTGACGGGACACGCCAAAGGCCCAAAGTTCGGCAAAGATCGAAAGAAAGGAAAAATAGAGACAGACAGAGAACCGGAGATGCAACGAGTCAAAGAGAGACAGACGGACAGATACCGGCAGAGAGAGAATGTGTGTGTGTGTGTGTGTGTGTGTGTGTGTGTGTGTGTGTGTGTGTGTGTGTGCCGGTGTGTGTGTGTGTGTGTGTGTGTGTGTGTGTGTGCGCGTGTGTGTGTGCGCGTGTGTGTGTGTACTTGGTAGCAACACAAAAGCGTTATCACTAGCTGGTCGTGTGCTTGAAGTGCAAGCCAGTTTGTACACGCACATATGTTACCTAGGCTACGAGAGTCGATTACCGAACACTGTTCTAGCGAACGACGACATATCGACATGCAGGGAAATCACCCAGAACCACCAATGGCCCAATTTGTTCCGCTGCTGCACAGTCGAATTGGCAGGGCACTGGCACTGTTGGATATATCGGGATTAGCCGCAAACAGACTTGGCCATGTGTTGGCACAGCGGCAAAAAGTAATTACGAGCGAATTAGCATCCGCTTTCTGCAGGTGGCGAGCCCTTTCAAGAGAACAACTCTTTAGTAAGTTGGACAGGCGAGTTCGTAGACGGAGCGTCGTGCTTCATGCACAATGTACATTACAACATTACAATGGTCTAGCAGCAGGTGGTAAATTATGGTCCGTACCAAACGCATCCATCAATGCATCGCACCTTGCCAAACAAAATCGACAAGCTACTGCTTTTTAGAGTTGGATGCTGGACACAATTTCATCGAAAAAGGCCCGAACGCAAAATGGCGTCCGTTTCGTCCCGTCTATGCAAAATAGCCCTTGATTGGTTGGACGTTAGTGAAAGAAAATGTGCATAGTTATCTCTAGTGATGAACATGCACACCCAACAACAATAATTATGATAATAATGTACGTGTACAAGTAAAGCACATAAAGTAGGATCGAGGGTAGTCTATATCGGCGCATGATCTGAGTGCGACCTTGACTACATGGTCTTGACAATGGCATTGCATTTCGTGCCCCCCACCCCCCCCCCCCCCCCACCGGTGATATGTCGGGTAATCACCATTACAGGCACAGCGTTACTGTAACATGTAGAAGAATGGGGCCTAGTTGGAAAGAAAGAGTGATTTCGTGTCATGCACAAATAACGTTCCCTTTCCTCCCAAACGGCGAGCGCCTTCCAACGAAGTAGTATCCTTGTACCGAGGGGCAACGCACAAGTCTATGTATGGCTAAGGAAGCAGCACTGTCGATCAGGGTGTGCATTGGCAAGACGTGATCCCTGATGCAGCCGAATACCAGTACTACAGGAGCCGCAGCTTTGTCAGAATGCACCCAGCTATGGGCGGATGCGACATGCCTATCTAACTATTACTTACGGAGAATTCTAATTATGTCTGCAGTAGAGCTCTTTACGGTAGATCTCGTTGTAACTCTCTTTCTCCTGCGGGGTTACTGTATACCCAGCTGAGATTAGCGCTAGCTGAAATGCCTCCATTAACATTCGCTACGTCTGTCATTCACGCCTTAGTTATGGTATTTATTTCTATTTCTGCGGCATGCATTTACATGTACATGTTCCAGGTTTCTCTAGGCGCTCGTGATTGATCCCAGCATTGCATTATGCCTTTATGGGTTTAGGTGCACTCAAGCCTTACAACGACGGTGCGTGACAACAAAGAAGCTTCACAGGCGATTGATATAGGCCTTCGTTAGACTGTCAGGATTAGAACCGACTAGTACTAGTATTCGGTGAATCAAGAGCTCCGTTCAAGTGTGCTGTGTGCATTAGAAGAGCACATGTCGTATACCATTACGTGCAGTGTGTATTGGATATTATGTGCAATGGGCACGTCTGCGATCACACGCTCCTCGGCCAAGGGGTTTCCGGCTACTCTGACCAACGCTTTACTCCGGTCGTCAGCACGACTCCGGTGTCACTCACGTGTACTGAGCGTGCACTGTGCAGTGCCAATTGTGTCCTGGGCGGGCGCTAGTCGCGCACAGAAAACTGGAAGTGGTGGTTTTTTGTTCCATCTATCTCCACAGCGCCAACGCGTTTTCTCTATCTGGCCTCGGGCAGAGAGGGATGGCGGTGGACAAGCAGGACTGGGAGCAGCAACGGTACTTTTGCTCTCACGATCTGCATCAAGATTGGCCTTACAACCCTGTAGACATGTATGTACACGTAATGACATGATTGAATCAGCAGCTCAACTGCCTGTCGGTTATTCGGAGTCGGTCGCGCCGAAGGGGTCCTGCACTACGAAGGATTCGAGGGGAAATATATGCGACAGGACATGCGGACCCCATCGCCTTCTTTCTTCAGACGGTCCAAGGTTAGAGTCTACCGTCCTCTCCGACGTGTTGTTCTATCATGGGAAGGAAAAGGAGCTCACGAGCAAGTCGTAGCGGTGGCAGCAGCAGACGCTCCAGTCGACCCGATAGTGTCAGTTTACGCCGCAGAAACTCAAGTGGCGCGGGAAACTTCGACGGCAACTCCTCCTCCTCGCTGGCTACTGGCTGTTCAAGTAGCGCTTTGAACAACACCACGAGTGCTAGCAATGCCACTGCTAATGCTGGGTTCTACATGGGTTCACAAGGCTGCGCCATGACCGAGCACTTGAGCTTTGACAGTAACATTCGCAAATCGGCGGCCGCAGCAGCAACAGTAGCAAGAGATTGGCGCAGTGGGAGTGGTGGGGCACGCATGTCACTCTCCGGTCCAGGCAGCGGCAGCAGCAGCAACAACCGGCGAGCAAATGCTGACAACGACACCAAGACTACGGTCTCCCCTCATCGCGGCCATGCGGGGGCATCTGCCACTGCCGCCGCCGACATGGATGACATGGATGACGACGATGAAGATGTTGATGATGGTAGTGGTGATGCTGATAGCACTGGTCCGTCGAATACTCTGCACTCTGGCAGCAGGGACGACCTACGGGACAGACGAATGAGGGCGACACTGCGAGAGCGAAAACGGCAGCAGCATATTACCGTTGCACTGGGACGACTACGCCGAGCGGTCCCCATCTACCCTGGTGCTGGCAGGACGTCCAAGATTCAAGTACTACACCTGGCAATTAACTACATTCGCGATTTGTCCGAGCTCCTGTGCGAGTATGACGGTCAAGCTCCATGCTTGAGTGTGCGGGCGCGCCTGCAGGCCAGCAACGTATTCTCGGACACCAGCATGACAGCAAGCAACGACGGTGACATTCGCCTCGCAGCCCACCATTCACATAATAATCATCATCACCACCACCATCACCACCACCAACAGCAACAACACCAACAGCAGGAGCAACACCAGCAGCAGGAGTCCCGCCGAGGAGGGCAGGAACATCGCAGTCGCATGCGGTCCAGGTCCGCCGGCTCCATGTCCCTCCGCAGCGGAGCCGGTGTGTCTCAAGCCTCCACCAGCAATACAGCCAAGACACCATCATCCACACCACTCACCACCATGGTCGATGCATCCTGCACAGGTCTTTTGCCTATTTATCCGTTGGATTATGGCCAAGATGTGCAATTGCCCTCGCCAGATAGTTTCAACTCCACAGTACCGACTCATGATCATCTTACTAGCGCAGGGCATGTTGACGCATCACGTTATGATCCTGAAGGCTGGTTTTTCAATCACATGCTAATGCCTACTTCCACCAGCAACTTTGGAAGTACGCCGAGCTCCACGGTCGCCGCCGCCGCCGGTCTCGGAGCCGCGCCGACGTCTGATACTCCGGGCCTGATTTCGGACAGTTCGCTGCAGCGGCATCAGGTCGCTAACGACTGCGGCGGGCTGTGTGATTCTCCGCCGTCCAGCGGGAACAGTTCTGCCATGCAGAATCCTCACTCAGCCTCGCCTTCGCCTAGCCAGCAACACGCTGCGTGGAGGATGGCGCGAAGCACAGAGCACCTTGCCAACTACTGTATGTTTAGCGGCGCAGCGACAATGGCCACCACTAGCACTGGCACCCCTGCACAACCTTACGTCACTACTTGGAAAGAGCCAGACGCTGACGACCCAGTCAGCTCGTACACACTTCCGGCGAGCTCATTCTTCCAGTACGCCGATATGGCGTTTTTTGGCCAACAGGGCCAGCCAGGAGCTGCGGGTTTCACTCACCAACGACAGTGGAATACCACACATTCTCTGTCCGCCTCGGGGGCCGCCGGCGCTCCACCTACCTCGCATCCTATTCGAATGGCGGATCCCGCTGCAATGTCAGCTCAACTGCAGCAGACACTAGCAGTAGGGGTGCAGCAACAACACGCCATGTTGGCCACATCCGCCAGCACGGTCCCTCAGCAAACAAACCGAGGCCACCAACCCCATCCGCACCAGCAGCACCAGCAACAACTGCTCGCTGCCACACAACTCTCTCTGCAGCAATCGCAGCTGATGCAGCAAAGGTCGCAGCAACTTATCCAGCACCAGCAGCGGCAGGTACAGCTCAAGTTCCACAAACAAGGTCAGAAAGAAGCAAAGAAACCGCATCCCGGACAGGACCAGCAAGGGGAAGTAAGCCAACAAGACCAGATGCACCAGGACATCACTCGTTCTGAGACTCGGCAGAAACCTGCATCGGATCATCAGCCAATAGTGCCAAGCCAGCAACGCCACGAGGCTGGCATAGTTTCCTGTCCGCAGGTCCCCGCCACCCAGCATGATGGCGAGGAGAATGGAGGTGAGAAGGACGTCGTGAGTGTCGCCGGCAGGAACACTCCCAACAGCTCTAGCAGCAGCAGTAGCGAGAGCAGCATCAGCGCTGGTATTAGCAGCACGGCAAGCAGCTGCACAGGAGGTGATGCCGATAACGTTAGCGATGCTGATGATGGTGGAGACGTAACAGATACGAATGCCGATCCAGCAGCAGAAGACAGCAACACACCACACTCTGACTGCATTGTAACAGAGAGTGACCTGGCGGCGACCCACGTCCAAGAAGTATATCCAAAGGCTGGCAGTGCGTCGGGTGGCGCAGAACTATTGCCGCATCCTTGTCTCGACAATGCTATGCTTGATGTAGGTGCAGGACCAGTCATCAGCGGACTTGAGCAAGGCGATCTGGACCCGTGTGTGTCTGCGCCACAAGTGCACGCGGATGCACAGCAGCAGCGAAAGCAGCAACCATTGTGGAACGCAAACGATCAGTATGCTTGTTCATCCAGCAGCGAGAAGGAACTCAGCATAGTGGTGCCAGCATGCGACACAGCCAGTCCGCCCAGTGATGTCTCCTCGCCCATGTACTGCTATCGCAGTGGCGACGAGGACGTCGATCTGGATTTGCCGGAGCTGCAACTGTTGGACACTGAACATGAAAACTGAGTCTGAGGGTCCCCCCCCCCCCTACTCTCCGCTCCCCGCGACACACATCATTGAAATATATTCCATTGTCTGGACTTCTTTACACAAAGATGCATTATTGGCCACTTTCAAAATACAACGCTACACTTTGTCCCTCTAATAGTTACAGTCTGCATACATAAGCTCATTGAAGATCAGTGTACTGTTCTGTGAAGTCCAAATCTGTACAATAGCCCGATGGGGCTGCCTCAAAGATGACAACATATTTTTTCCTCGACTTACTTCTATTACGAAGTAGTCAGTCAAGTGTCAAGTAAAGTCGGCGGAATAGCGTGAGCTCCAGTGTGGGGAGCAAACCCTTTCTTACTTCTATTATACAGTTATCTCACCCCTCAAATGATACCAAGAGTACATCTATTTAAGCTCCCAGGGAGCTGATCTTACTCTTGATAATACCAAAACTGCTAATCACTCCTGCTGACTCGGGGACTGCACAATTGTGATAAGCCACTTATTAGTATCTATCTTCGGTGTATCCTCCAGGTCGTTCGCTATTTTCCATGAGCCCCAAGGAAAATTATGCTTTTCGCGTCCCTCGAAAAGGGCAAACATTGCCAGAAAGCTACAGAATTTGAACCGTGATGAAAATACTGATGAAGCGCATTGACCTGTTGTCGAGCTTCCTCTGCAATATTATTCCTCTGCAATATTATGGCTAATTTGCTATGTATGGGAGTATGGATCCTAAAGTATAATGGTACTAGGTCTATACTGTATTTGCAATGGTGGTTTTGTCAGCCAAGAAGAAAGTACTTGCAGGTAATAGTAATGTACTCGAGAACTGGTGTATTCACAATACAGTAATACTACAGTACTATGTACTAGTGACCACATGTACATGTTTAGAAGCAGGACCCAAATGATGGCCGCCTATCGATGTATGATTTTCAGTCAGAGTTTGAAGATGCAGAGTGCCCTGCTCCTTGTCCACGAAACGGACCATTTAGGCATATAAATGACCATACATACAAGTACAAGTAGATTGCAAGTTCACTGTGGCTTGTTGAGCCATCAACAAATACAGCATTGATGGGCGCTGTCTACTGTAAATCAGCTTCTGTCTGTAAACGAAGGATATGTGGTTGAGATGCAGGATTGCCGGGATACAGCCCATTTACTGTGACTCCAGGCTGGGTCCTAAGCAGGGAGTATCAAAATACTTTATTTTATTTTACTACTCCATGGTCCTAAGTAACTCCCAACTGACCTACATTGTATAACTACTAGTATTATTATCATTCTAACTAGGTGTAAAGAACTCTTCCTCTCCTCTCCTCCATGCGCTCTCACAGCCGACTCACTGCTACCCTCGGTAGCCATTACACACACCAACAGCCATACAAGGAAGCTCCACCTGATATCATCCTATTCAATATCACCTTCTCTGATGAGCCTTATGAAGGCGAAACAGCTGTCCTGAGAAATTCAGTATCTACCTGCAACCCTTCCTTGTATGACTGTTGGTGTGTGTAATGGCTACCGAGGGTAGCAGTGAGTCGGCTGTGAGAGCGCATGGAGGAGAGGAGAGGAAGAGTTCTTTACATTTTATTGGCCGAATAGTACCGTTCACCATTTGAAATTCTATTTCTAACTGTTACCTGACTAAGAATGTGTGAACCTTTCGTAGGGACTCTCCAACCAGGCGCAGTTCATCACCATGATAACGCCTATGCGTCGCTTCAGCTAGTACAGGCGTGTTTCTTCCGGTCACTTTACATGACATTGTATATCGGCTACATTGTATCGTGTTTCTTCACGTACTGATGTTCTCTTGCGAGTCCTGGCTGAGACATTAGGGAGGTTTAGTTCCCACGTAACGGAAACGCGTACGTGGGTGATCCACGTAAAGTGGATGAAGGGCACCCACGTTGCAATGTTGTGTTTAGTCACACGGAACGAACAAAAGCATGAAGCTAAAGGCCAAAACCTGGTCAAAGACGAAGCTACCCCGGCCTAAGAAGCTCATCCAATATTTTGATTTCGTGCTTCGGAAACTTCTTCAGCTGAGCACCCTCATAGCTCGCACAATGCGCTCCATTCTGATTTTCACCCACGTTCTGGCGGAACGTGGGTGAGCCTCCATACACGATATGTCGTGAATCAGAAAACGTCTGTACGTGGGTCACTGAGTATCACGTGGTACACCCACGTTAGGCTGCAACCACACTAGGTACAAAATCACGTACAAACGGCATTACAGTAGAAATCGTCATGCCGACGCGTGCGAAATGCAAAATGCGCTTTGTAGGTTTTCAGCAACTGGCGCACCCCTGTAGAAAGCCGCGTTTGTCGTTTTCGCGCTCCATCTGTGTACAACTTTGTTTTTGTACCTGGTTGTCGTACATAGCATCAGCATCAGCATTGTTTTTGAATTTCCCGGTCTTTTCCAGCGCATGGCACACGCTTTGGTACGACAACGTCACGTGCTGGTTGCGTGAAAACGTCATCTATGCAGACCGAAAAGTGTAGTGTGGTTGCGTACCGACTTGTACTGAGATATGCATGAAAATTTGTACTGTGATTTTTACGTAGTGTGGTTGCGGCCTAAAGTACCCACGGATTACGTGGGACTAAACCTCACTAGTCTCACCACGCTACCCGGAATACTAGTAGTACTTGTCGCTTGCTGTCACTCTCCGAGGCTCAAAGACCCAGCGAATCTCACTCACACATTCCAGAATGCTTTTGACTTCCCGGTCTCTGCAGAATGCTTTTGACTTCAGTCTCTCTCAAAAAAAAAAAATTTCACGGTTCGCGTGAGACTCGGCCAAAGGCCCAGTTTTCCGCATCCGCAGGAACGCCACCACCCTCTTGGATCAAGGCGCCTAAACGGTGGGAGGTGAGTAGATCAGACCCACCACAAAGTGGTCAAAGACCGAAATCCCATTCACTGCATCCATGTTTCCCTCGTGCCAGGCCACGAGTTCCCAATTAACTGTGGGTCGCAGCACGGCTGGAAAAATCCTTCCGCTTCCAAGCAGGACTTGAACCTGGTACCCTCTGTTTCTCAATCATGGTCTTAGACCATCCCACTATGCCTGCCTGCATCAGTCTCTCAAGGTTGCTTTAAAATAAATAATTTGACATTCTGTGCTTCAGTTCTTATTCGCCGAACTGATACATAATTATGATTCCATGTAAATGTACTTTCAAAGAGGACGTTTTGACGAAGACTGAGGTCATCAACGTACTAAAAGCAGGATAGCCGCTACAGGTACATGTACAAGAGTGACTCACCCACCCGGCTCTGATGAAGTACAGTACACAGTGTACTACCCACTACCATCGACCAGGGAATCAGGTATTATTATTTATTATTATATATTTGGAGGATTTCCCAAAGACGTAGTCTAAATTGAAGGGAGTTCCATTATAATGGGAGGCTGTAGGGTTGAGATAGCAGACAGTGGAGGGCTAATGATTGGTAATGAAAAGCCTAGCTAGAGAGATACAATTATGCTGAGGTATGATTCTCTCCACCAATCATCAGGCAGTGCTGGTAGTCTAGTCTAGAGTAGTACCGGTAGTGGCAATACACAACCTTGATACATGTACATCTGCCTAGAGTTTCTTTGGATTAGACTATTTCAAATTTTCATTTTCATTTCATCGCCGAGTTTCATCCCTTGGATCTTTGGCGCTCTTCCTTCTTTCCATGTCGTATTGTTTGAATACATGTACTGGGTACTGGGTAGCACAATCAGGATCAGCGCCTTCAGCCAGGTCTACCCTCGTTAGTAGAGACAATCCAGGCAGAGGGGAAGGGGTCAACATTTTTTTAAAAGTCTTAATTTAACGCCTGAGTATTGTCTACTATCAGGACTTGAATACTGGTGATAGTCGTACATGTACATGTACATGCAAGTTTTTGATAAACACATTTCGTAGGGGGATTTTGGATCGTTGACTACTACAGTATACATGTACAGTGGTCCCTCTATAATCCGGCACCATTTGTGCCACGGAAATCTGCTGGATTAGGGAGGGTGCTGGATTAACAAATCTCATTTTCTGCTAGAATGTGCATGAAGAGGAAATTTTGGAAAATTGTGCTGGTTTATCGAGGGTGCTGGATTATAAAGTGCTGGATTAGAGAGGGACGACTGTACATGTAAATGAGTCTTATGAACCGATGTTGCAGATTCCGTACTAACGAGGGTAGACCTGTACATGCAATACATGTTAAAACAGTTTGTTTGTTTGTTTGTTTGAAGTTTTATTCTACATCACAAACGGTTGAAACCAAACGGGCATCGATGCCCAATATGATGGCGATAGAATAAAAGATGAACATGATCTGGCTCGAAGCACGAGCTGTGCTCAAGCAAATGAGAAAATAGTCATCACAGATTATGTACGGGTAGTTACAAGCCAAGTTCTAACAGAATCAGAGAGAAATGAGAACATGAGAAGAACCAATAGCATGAATACCAGAAGGAGGTTAACGAATCTGGGCGAGGAGTGGACGTATTAAAGATTCTGTGGCATGGTGGCATTGCCACGGGTGTAACTGGGAGGTTGGAGGGTTTAGTTACTCTATCCGAAGAGGGCTGAAAGTGATGCCGCTGGTGTGGATATGGTGCATAAGGAAACAAAGCTTGCACTTGGCACATTCAATTACAGAGGTCAGTCGGATAGCCGGGTGTATTGATGGGAGTGGTGTGGGACGGGAAGGGCAGATTGGCGGATAGCCGGGTGTATTGATGGGAGTGGTGTGGGACGGGAAGGGCAGATTGGCGGATAGCCGGGTGTATTGATGGGACTGAGTGGTGTGGGACGGGAAGGGCAGATTGGCCACATCTACATTGTAAATCCTGTCATTTGTCAGCCTCGCGGCCTGTGCATGTGGTAGGCCGTCACCCGACAGCTTTCAAGTGGAAGTGCCTCAGATTCGGAATAGGGTTTCCCTGTGGTCCGGGTGTAGGGTCCGGCGGACTCTGCCGGCAGAAAAATTGGCAGAATTCGGTACTTTTTCTGGTAAGTTTCATGCATGTTTGGTATGTGGATTAAAAAATGGAGCAGAATTCGAGGAATTGCCCGCCATAAGGTTTGTATGGTTCTGCCAATTTCACTGCTTTTCGAGCAGAATCTGCCACCTTTTCGAGCAGAGTCCGCCGATCCCTACCGGGGTGTCCTTCACTGGGCTTCAGCTTCAGCTCCAACTCTTCTTGTTTCGTATTGGAAGTGTACAAGGCATGTAGTCAAGTGACTGTGTGTAAAACCTCCATCCCAGGCCAGACTTTGCTGCAGTAGTCTTACGACCAGGGAGTATAATACCGTATTATCTCTAATATAAGCACGGTCCTTTATTTTTTCAATGTACCTCCGCCCCGTGCTATTAATGGAGACGTTCCTTTATTGGAGACTGTTCTATTATTATTTCAACCTCATTTCAGAGGTATGTTGCCATGCCAAATTCATGTCTGACACACACATTTCACGGTTTTTTCGCCGGTACAGATAATGAATTTACACAGTGTGCTTATAATGGAGACTGAGCACTTTATTTTTTGAATGCCGCCCCAAGGTGTTCTATTATTGGAGACGTGCTATTATTGGAGACTGTGCTTATAATAGAGATAATACGGTATTAAAAAAAAAACTTTTACTACTCGTACTACGTTTTTGTTTCGCTCTGTAAAGAGCACTTAGGGTTCCCTGTATAACAAGACGGCAACTTCTGTAGGGCCTTCCCTATCAAAATAATAAATTCTTCTACTACAGTAGAGTCGCGCGCCCAAGAACGTTGTTTCCAAGGGGTTAGCCTGGGACGTTCTTATTTTTTTCTGCAATCTGGCTGCGTTCTTATAACACGTTCTTAGAAACAATCCGTACTGGATCATATGTATTCCACAAGCTGCCAGAAAACCAACACCGCCGTTCTTAGCTTTAGGCTGTGGTGTTCTTAGAATTTCAGGCTGGACGTTCTTGGGCTCCGCGTTCTTCAGCGCGCGACTCTACTGTACTACTACTACTACTCCCTGCCCCCCCCCCCCCCCCCCTCCACACACACACACCTACTACATCTTGTCAGGTTTTATGAGGGGCGGTTTTAAGCAGGGAGCAGTACAATAGTACATTGTACTACTCCCTGGTTTTCAGGGACCATTTTGTTGTGGTCGATAGCGAACACACCGTACTTAACTGTATTCGAATCTTTCCGCTTCGGAAAGTAACATGATGAGCATGAAGTCAGTGCACGGTGATTTTTAGGGCTGCTTGGCAGGAGAACTGCGACCTCGAACTCTGTTTTTCTTTCCTTCCAGCTGCATCTTCCTTTCTGCTCTGTCTCTCTCTTTTCGTTCGTCCTTCTTGATATTTGTACTTTATACTGTTGAGGCAACGAACTGAAAAGAAGTAATATAAGCGGCTAACCAAACATACCGTTGAACCAAACCAAATAAAAAACTTAAAAAAAGTCATCAAACGAAGCTTTGCACTCCGTGTGGCGATCTGGACTTATCTGATCTGAGCCTCGGTAGCTGCCACATATGGGGCCTTTGTTGGCTGCATAGCACTGCATCATGCATGCAGTCCACTGTCCAGCCTCCACAGGCTAGGCTAGGCCGGCTCCAGCCTCAGTCCAGGCCAGAGACGTAAAAATCACCGGGGTACTCGTACCGGTGTAGATCTACGCACGTGCACATGCACAGGATCTACCTGTAGCTGTGACTATACATGTATGCGCGCATGCATGCTCATCAGCTCGGCTTTTTCATTTATTGTCGGACTTTTTTGGGACAAAGAGATAAAAAGAAAGTGCTGCATGCAGCAACAGCCGTGCTGGTGTTCAGTGTGAGTGGCCGCCGTTTGGGTGAGGAGAGCGTGATTTCCCAATCTCCTTTGAGTGTAGATCTAGGTAGCCATGGCTATATGGGTAGACTCTTTGGTTTAGCTTCGGAATGGCGGATGTTGGGCCGTGTATGTGTCCGCGAGCTCTGTGATCACCATGTACCAGCGCAGCATACACAGAAGTATTTTTCGTGCCATGTCAATCTGCTGAAGTACGCCACAAGGCCGGGATCACTGCACTAGATCGTCTTTGAGCAGCGTTCCGAAGATGATCCCGTGGTGGACAATGGGCGCATCTGCCGATCAGCACTGACAACCGGTTCGCGGTGCGATGCGTCAAGCACGACTTGGCTGGAGCAGGATGATTACCTGTCTACGAGTATTTACGCTAGTGCTGTGCGCGGCGTTCGGACGGGGCGGCTACGCCGATCTGCATGCTGGAGAAGAGATTGCGGATCAACTGACGAATAGGCCGGAGACTCTGACACATCCCATGTTACTTTTTGACAGGTCCGAGATTGACGAGCTGAGGAAACAGGCAAGCACTAGTCACGCCAGCATTGTCAATCGCCTGCAAGCCAGACTGCGCAACCACACAAGCAGTTACACCCCGCCAGACACAGAGGAAAAGTTCGGAGCAGTGTGGAACGAGCATTTCAGCTTGGGTCTCATCCCCAGAGCCTTCATGACTGTGCTGGAGCCAGAAAACGACAGAATGCAGGAGGAAGTACTTGGCTCCTTACGCCAGATGATGACATTCAAAAGTTGGAATGTGGTAAGACATAGAAAGCGCAGATATTTTTAGCATGATAAGTAAGTTAGTACAGTCAACTTGGCTGATAACGACTGTGGATATAATGACAATTCGCGAATAACGACAGCATTTCCATCCCCAGAGCAAAGTCCCTTCCAACTGTAATACATAATGAGACTTCGGGTATAACGACTCTTCGCGAATAAGGACACTTTTTTTATGCCCGCCGAGTGTCGTTATAAGCGAAGTTGACTGTACATTGTTTGTATTTGTTTGTTTGTATTTATTTTGATTCGCAAATTCAAACGGGCATAGAACCCAATAACATGAAAGCGAATATGAAAATTATAATGAGAATGAGAATTAAAATACTTAGATCTTCAGCGTAGAGTCAGCGGTACATCAGAGGGAGATCGGGTACAACAGAAAGAGAACAGAAAACAGAAGATTTCGCTTGTCTACAGGGCACAGGTATAGGGGATTACCAGTGTGTGCGAAACTGCCGAGCGTGATGGATGGCACGGATGTCGCTGGGGAGGGCATTCCATAATACAGCACCCTTGCAAGCAAAGCGCCCCCGCCCCGCAACCGAATGGGAAACTGGCACGCACAGGCCCATGGCAGATTGGAGCCGAGTAGGGCCGGGTGCAGCGGGAGTTAGCAGGTCTTGCAACTCTGGACTTGCCAGTGCATAACGACAGCGCCACACCAGGTATACTAGCTTCTGATTAAAGACTTCTACCACACGGAACACTGCCATGCGCTCCAGCAGGTCGCGGACAGACCAAAGACAGCACGAGCCCCACTGTTCTGCAGGACCTGTAGACGGTCGAGGTACCTTCTTTTCAGTGAGCTAGAGTACACGTTTGAGGCATATAGCAGGTCAGACATGATCAGCGATCTAAAGTAGGTCATGCATGACTGGTGATTCAGGCAGCGGCGCATTCGCCAGAGTGCTCCGATCTTCTGCGACACGCGTGCAGAACATTTGGCAATGTGGGTGTGCCAGGACATGCCGGAATCGATTGTGGCGCCAAGATAACGAGCACTTAGCATACTAGGCAGTGAAGTGGCATGGCAGACGACCTGTAGATCAGCTGTGTGCTGACGGCCGGCAGGAATTAGCACTACTTGGCTCTTGCCAGCATTGAGGATCAGGCCTCGATCCTTCAGCCAGTCTGCAAGGATTGAAACCGTAGTAGATAAGGCATCGGATACCTCCTGTGCTGTTCGCCGGCTGCACGCGAGCGCAATGTCGTCCGCGAATTGAACTGACTCGGACTGGCCAACTACAGCGGGGACCTCACGGGTGTAAAGGCTGAACTGAATGGGACCCATCACCGAACCTTGGGGGACACCACTCGTGCAAGCTGATATAGAGCTAGTCCGCGACCCCAGACAGACACGTTGAGTGCGACCGGATAGGTAGCTGGCGAACCAGTCCAAGGCAGTACCGGACACCCCAACACTGTGGAGATCCTGCAATAGCTTGACATGTTGGACTTTATCGAAGGCTTTGGACATGTCTAACAGGCATACACCTGTGAATAGGCCCTGGTCCTTGGCTGTTAGGATGCGGTTTGACATAAGGACTAATGCGTCTTCGGTAGAGTGGCCACGCCTGAACGCAAACTGGGTTGTTGGTAACGATGCTGTTATGTCCAGGAAGGTGATGAGCTCCTTCTGAACCAACTTCTCTAGCAGCTTGGAGAGTATGGGTAGAAGGGATACAGGGCGGAAGTTAGTTGGCAGCGATGGATCACCAGATTTATGCAGTGGGATGACATTGGCTAGCTTGAACGCCGAGGGCACATGTCCGCACGACAGCGAGGCATTGAACAGGCTAGTGACAGACGGCGCCAAGACGTCAGAGCAGAGTTTGAGGACTGCCCCTGGTACACCATCGCTGCCTGTTGCCTTCGCGGGATTAACTTGCTGGAGTAGCCGTTCAACAGCACCGATACTGACATGTGAGAACTTGGGGAGGGAAGTGCGGGGTGGAGGCCCGAGGGGAGCAGACAAAGTTTGCGGTCGACAGTCATCAGTAACCACCTTGTGGAAGGCTGAGGCGACATCTTCGATCGTACACGAGGGTTCAACATGGGGACGGTCTCTACAGGTGACTTTGTTAATGGTACGCCAAAGCTTCTTGGTGTTTCCTGCGTTTGCTGTACATTGTCCCTGGAAGTAAGTGTTTCGCTTCTGTCGGTATGCATTTCTAGCTTCCGCACGGGCGCGCTTGAATGCAGTGTGGAGCGCAGCGTTTGCCTTGTCTCCCCGCCAATGCCTATGCAGCCGATTCTTGCACTGGGTGAGCTGGAAGAGGTGCTGATCCGACCAGGGTGGTAACTGCTTCCGCTTGGCAGTAGAACACTGGAGAGGAGCATGCTTGTTGAGGGTCGCCAAGATTTGTAGTGCCAAATTGACCACATGTCGTCAACTGTAGTGTTCGAGGGCCAGGTATCAAGGTGTGCTGCATCAAGGTCGCCTCGGAAATCAGGTAATGTGGATTCTACGTACGTTGCGGAATGGCTTCCTCGAGTCACATGCTTGTCTGGGCACTTGAACGTGCAGGCCCAAGAGGACCTGAACGGCATCATGGTCGCTGAGGGCAGACGGCGCTACGGCGCAACTCCGGGCATCATCGCAACTTGTGAGGATCAAGTCGATGATCTTGCCATTGGGCCACTGGGGTGTGGTCCTAGTGGCAGTTGTGACCAGGTTTCTGAGGCCATAAGATGCTACCAAATCTGAGAAGCGCTGATAGTGCGGGGATGTTGTGCCGGCTCCGACATCGACATTGAAGTCTCCAAGCACAGTCATAGATGGTGTCAACAATGCTGCTTTATGAAGCGCTCCGTCAAGTCTTTCCCAATAGGTGACTGTTGAGTCAGGCGGGCGTTACATGCAGCTTATGAGATGCTGGTGACCACGTCTGTTTACCGAAATCCAGCTGCCTTCAAGACCGTCTACATGGAGATCAGGACGGTGAGACACGGGGAGCGTTGATTTGTAGAAAATGCATACTCCTCCCCCCTGGCGGCCATAGCGGTCGCAGCGGACAACACAGTAACCAGGAATGTGGATCTCATTATCAGATATGGTGCTGTTCAGCCACGTCTCGCAAAGGGCAAATACATCCCACATATGCAGGTTAATAAGGTCTTCTAGCTCTGTAACCTTGTGTCTAAGACTGCAGATATTTAAGCAACCGACCCGAATCTCACCCAGTAGACGCAGCTGTGGTGCGGGAGGGGGGGGGGGGGGGGGGTTGCACAATAGCGCGAGGGAAAAATGAATTGGCATTGGGATTAAGAGAAAATGTGGTAATATTAGAGAAGGAAAGGGGACATCCTGACATAAGACTGCACCAAAAACAAAACAGAAAGTTTACTTATCTACTTAGCGGCTTCTTCTGCGGCTCTTCACTCGATCAGCCACTTGCTGCATCTCACGCGCTGAGGCTTGGTGTGCCCAGGCGACTTGAGGGTCCGGGGATGGGGGACGCATACCGGTCAGAACTTTGGGAGTGAACGTATGTTTTCCCGTTGCCAGGACAAAACCAGCCTCATCTGGAGACGAGTGGCCAGCTTTGCCACATGGTTTGGGAAATGCAGGCACGACTGGTGTCAGGACCAGGGCCTGCAGCCGCGCGGGATGGGGCACAGGTATTTTGGACGGCAATGTTGTGCCTACAGGACTGGGTTGCTGGGATGAGACACCGCTCTCCTGTGCAGGCGGTGGTGGAGGCGACTGCTGACGCTGCAGCTCCTGCTGTGGAGGCGGCGGAGGCTGCTGCTGGCGCTCCTGGTCCTGCTGGGTGTCTACTTGTACGCATTCTGCAACGTGTTGCTGTTGCTGTGGGCTCGTACTGACAGAGTGAACTGCATGTGCGTACGATCGGGCCCCAGTGCTGCTGGCTGCAGTCGCCTTTTTCGGGCAGTCTCTTGCCATATGATCAGAAGCATGACAGCGAAAGCAGGTGTGCTGTTGCCCGCGGTGGTACATGCGGTGCAATGTACGGGATATGCGTAGTTTGCACGGTACTGGTTTCTGGAGCACCACAAGTGCACGTCGAGTCCCCGTGAGGATTTTTATGCCCTCATGGGCGAGGCTTTCTCTCTCAATTTTCCCGATAACTTCCCCAAACTCAGCCAATGCTGAGGCAATGTGACCGTCATGCAGATTGAGCGCACAGCCATACACAAGGACATGACACGAAGACAGTGAGCCATCACCTGGCAGGACACTCACCCGCTCTCCATTTAGTTCCAGTCCACTCTCCACGAGACGATTTCTAATGTCGTAATTGGACAGGGTGAGAACACCCCCCCGGCCGGCTCTGGAGATCGATCTGGATGACCAGAGTTAGCTCGTATCCGGAGGAAGCTATGGTCTTGGCAATGTCCAAGTGTTCGATGCTCCGTCGACAAGGAAAGTGGCAGTTTACAGTTTCCATCTCAGGAGCTCCGAAATACTCAACTGCTCTCAAGCTCTATTTCCATTTTTTTTGCCACACATTGATTCACAATGGTTGGTTGGTTGGTTGGTATATTTTATTTTACTTCGCCAGAAAGAACAAGCATTGCTGCCTTCTTGCCTGGACAAGTGGATTGTCCAAGCTCTCACAAAAAGACGAAGAAAGGAAAGAAATATTACATGAGAGTGTGAAGCGTGCAATCTTATAAGAGAAATATTCCATGAGAGTGTGACGCATGCATGATGAGAGAGGAGAGATAGAGAGAGAGAGAGATAGATAGACACAGAGAGAGAGAGAGAAAGAAAGAGAGAGAGAAAGAGGAGAGAATGCAGAGCCAAGCTTCCGTGTCTTGAGAAATAGCTTCCGCTTCAGCAATGGAAACGTTTATTGTCTTTAAGTCATTCTTGATGTTGTCGATCCATCTGGTTACGGGGTTTTCTGGGCTTCTTGATGTCTTTGGTGTCGATTGAAAGTCTTAGAGCTTTGTAGGATGTTGAGTCACTGCCTTCTCTGATTACATGGCCTAACCATAACAAGCGCCGCTCCCTGCATGTTGTGGTGATAGGCAATTGGTTGGAATTTTTCGTTTATAACGAACCATACCTTGTAAGGCGGCATGTAAACCAACTGCACCCATACAGTTATGGGTCACCTGCCAATCATGACGTGTTGCCTGTAAGGTGTGAGTGCATCAGTGTCTGTTATAAAGAACCTCCACTAAAAATAACCAATTCTCCTGCACAATGGTGTTTGGTACATAAGGAGTCGACTGTATACCTGACATGCAATTGGGTGCCATGTATGTTTGGAATCACGAAGTAAATTAGAGCTAATAACGACTGCGGATATAACGACAATTTGCGAATAAGGACAGAATTTCCATGACCAGAGCAAAGTCCCATCTACTGTAAAACGAGTAACGTTTGCGACAATAAATGTTTGCGTTTTACAAATTTAGACTGGTTTGCGCTGTTTAACCCTTTACCTTCTGTGTGTACATGAATCGACCGAATTTGGTCGATGGACATGCATGCACTAAAACTTGCGTAACTCAATCAATTCCTGACGGAATCTCATAAACTAAATATGCAGGAAGAAGCCAAAGAGCCTTGCTTTGAATTGCAACAATCGGCAAAGAGCTGCGATGCCGCAATTCAAAGATATCGCGCTCGACATTTCAGCCACGGCAAAAGTCGATTTTTTTCTGAGTGACTGGCCTTGAGCTGGGGATTTCCCCTCTCCTGACATGCTGAGTCACCTGGGCATGTTTTGAGCGCGTGGGCAGCATAAAAAGAAACTCAAGCAAACAAATTTGAAATGTTTACGATGAAGGAGTGAGAAATGGCTGACGAGGAGAGGATTTTCTCGGATACCCAGCGGTGGGGAGTATTTGAAGCACCCTGGCGTTGGATATGTGATCTCAGTAGTGTCCAGTTTGAGCTCATTGTACGCAGCTCGTGGAGAGCTTTCCAGAATGCCCAAGATTGTGAAAATTGGTTGATTAGAACCAAAGATATTCTCAAAATGAGGTGAGAAATATCGCATTTGGAACTGCCTGGGAATTTTGGTCAGAAGGTAAAGGGTTGATGTTTGCGAGTCGTTCTACAGTCGTTCTACACAGTCGAATCAGTCCTTGCACTGAACTTTACATGGCGCGAGTTTGCGTTGTTCAAAGTTTGCGCTTCGGGGCCTCTCGCAAAATTCGCAAACATTTTTACGTCGCAATAGTTACTCGTTTTACAGTAACTGTATAATATTATGGGACTTGAGGTATACGCACACTTTGCCAATAAGGACACTTTTCTGGCGCCCCGCCGAGTGTCGTTATATGTAAAGCTGACTGTACAACAATGACATTGGCAGCAGCAGGAGCTGCAAGGCCGGACTTCACTGCCATGCGCTGTACTGGCGCGTCAGCTCCACGGATATGATCAGGCACACTCATACCTCGTTTATCCGGGCGGTTCGGGACCGGGCACTGCCCTTTTTAAAACTTTGAAATGTCAGTAACTCCGAATCACATAATTATATTTTAATCGGGAAAGTCCATGGATATGGCATATGATGTCACTATTTCCACAAAAAAGTGACGAAAGAGTAGTAATATTTCCACTGAAACTCGCTCAAAGGGTGCCGGGTAGACCGAAGTGCCGGTAACTTCGGGGTCCGGATAACCGAGGTAAGCGTGTAGTTCCGTCGTTGCACAGCGTGTTGTGTTGGTCTTGATTAGTTTCCAGCTCCGTGTTTCTGCTGTTTGCTGTGCTGTGGCTGCAGGCTGGCTTGAAGGACGAAGTTCCTCTTGCGCATCACCTGCTGGCAGTTTCCCTAGCGTACGATATGCTGTATGACAGCCTGCAAGAGACGGAACGGACAGCGATAGCCGACAGAATCCTGCAGGAGACCACCCACCTAATGAAGCTCGCGAGCAAGAAGGCAGGCTGGAGTAGACAGTACGTGCACAATCACATGCCGACGGTGCTGACGGCGTTTCTGACGGGTGCGCTGGTCATACAGGACCATGCACCCGAGGCGTCGCGCCGACAGCAGGATATTGTCAACGTACTGATGCAGCGCAACGTGCAGCTCATGCGGCACATCACAGACGGCTCATTCCACGAGGGCGTTCACTACAGCCTGTACACGTCGCGGTCTCTCATGCTCTACATCCACCTGATGAAGCGACACCAGGCCACTAGCTACTACGACCACCCCTGGCTGCGCGAGTACCTGACGTTCCTCACGGCCACGACCCTGCCCGGGTATGCAGGTCCGTCCGGAACTGCAGACGCTAGCATTGACTATCAGTATGGTCCTATTGCCCAGCTCTACTTCTTGGATAAATACGTACTGCGCACTGGAGAAGCTAACTGGCTGGCAAGGCGAATCCAAGAACGAATGGACACTGGCAAAGCAGCCAGCAAGCCAACTGCCCTGATACAGATGATGCCGTTTGAGTTCCTTTTCTACGATCCGTCGGTCGGCGAGCGCGAGCCACAGCAGCTGCTCAAGTCACCGATGGTCACACTGCCCGACTGGGGCTTTGCGTCGTATGGTGGTGGCACCAGCATGGGACACACGTATTTGTCGCTCAAGTGCGGGCCGATCTTTGGACGATCTCTCTACGACATCTCCAGAAATCTCACTCATCCACAGTTCCCGTTCCTGAACAAGCGCGGCATCTTCACGTCGTTCAACGCCGGTCACGAGCATCCCGATCGCGGCGCGTTCGTGTTCTACCCGAACGGAAAGCCGTTCATTACGGAATCCTTCTACGCAGTGAAGAACTCCTACCTGGACAATGTGTGGTCGTTTGAGATTGCGCCGGGCAGAAGCAACGGTGACCGGCAGCACCAGTACGTGATGTGCGCCGGTGGTAATCTAGTCGGTCAGCTGGGAGCGTGCAAAGGCAAGTGGCTTGACTACCGGTATGGAGCGTCGCGGGATAGCACATCGAGCATCATCATGGCCGAGGAACGCGACGGCTTGGTGGTATTGATGAGCGACAGTACAACTGCGTATCCACCCAGCCTCGGTGTGCTGAGGAACACTCGTACACTGCTGCTTCTGGACAGTGGCAATCTGCTTGTCATCGACTCCATTGTCTTGGGCGCTGATAGCATTGTGCAGGCTGGCAATGCCTTCTTCCACAACCTCTTCGAGGCGTTCCAGGTACATGCCAATACAGGATCAGTATTCGCCTCACTCGGATCATGGGATGCTGCTCGAATGCAATGGTTTGTTGGACATGGTTACAAATCCACTGCAACAACTGGCAGTACGTACTTCCCTCAGTTCAAGGGAAAGCGAGGCACGGTCGAAGGTCACTATCTGAACGTGTCCATCCCGCTGATGGACGGGAGCAACACCGTCGCCTGGCTTATCCAGGCAGATAGGCGTGACGGCGACACGGTGGAGTTTGTTCGTCAGTCCAAGCATGCTGTTGAGCTGGGATTGAGAGTCGGCGACGTGGCATATACAGCATCTGTTGTGACCAATCACACCTACTTATCTCATCGTTACAACTGGCATGGGTCTGGACTGCTTGTCCACGTCGTCAAGGATGGCATTCTGACAAGATTTGGTGGCAGAGAGTTTGCGTCTACGTACACATCATCATCAGGAAATGACACGCCCGATCTTGACTTGCCACTGCATATGATAAGCAAACCGCGGGAAACGGAAATACAAGTGTGCTACATAATGCTCTACTTTGCCATGCTGGTCGGTCTGTTCATGGTTCCTGTGAGCGGCTGCGCTTTCAGGCGCACTCTCTCCTTGCAGCAATGTCCTGTGAAGGCCATTGTGCTGAGCTGGGTTATACTGCTCTGCTTGGTCTTCGCCACAATAAATCCATCGTGTGACGGAAACAATCATGATCTGGCAGCGGCTGCTGTGAACCGAGAAAATCCCCGCGATGGTGTGCAGTCAACATTGTTCAGCCCAGCTTCCACAAGTAGTACAAGCACTGTGCAAGGCAGCACGGAAAGTGGCCGGCCGCAAGTGCTTCTGACGGGACTCTTCCCGGGTGCGGCTGCCCGCAACGCCGTGCAGCGCATGTTCCGCAAGTCACCGGACGTCGTGCTGAAATCTCTGTCGTTGAAGCCTGGCAGCGAGTCGTCGTGCAGCACTCTCGTGTCATATCCTCAATCCTGGTACTGGCCTAATGGAACAGCCTGCTCTGGACAACCCGCTGCCAAGTCGGCTTTCATAGAGTTTTTCAAGTCTGCCCATTCGTGTATGTTTGGAGCCGAGGGACAATCAACGTTGGCTGATGACCCCACAGCATTGGTTATTGCTGTAGACTACAAAGGTGTGTGGATGCCCAAGCTGGACTGGTTTCTTGGAGTGGATGAGTCTAGGCTGGCCATCATAGTTGTTGACGACCCTGTACGTTGGGTTGCTAATGTTCTTAAAACGAAACATTTGGAGACGGAGCATGGAGCGCCGCTGTACCTTGATCATCTGAAAGAGCTCGTTACTGCCCCGGCGCTGCAATGCTCTGCTGAGGCAATGCTAGGGGCATGCTACAAGACGCACACTATGTGGACTAACCTCCTAACGATAGAGTTAAGCAGGCCATCGGCTAGCAAGACAGCGCGGCACAAACTGCTCGCCACCTACTGGGCGGCCTATATGAGCACCGTTCTCTGCCTTGCCAAGCGGTGGGGTCCACGGCGAGTGCAGGTGCTGCCGCTGCACACATTCGCGCTCACCGCCGGACGCGACGCAGCGCGTCTGTATCGCCTCCTGCGCCTGCCGCACCGACCGAATGTACAGAACGACCTTAACCTCATGACGCGCAGTGGTCTTGCGCAGTTTCAGAAGACCATGTCCTACCTGACAGGAAAGTCTGCTGGCAGCACATTGCGTCTGTCAATGCGTCATGATATCGAAACAATATGCAGTAGTGTCCTGCAAGAGCTCCAACAGTATACAGTATAGTTTTCTCACTCGAATTAAGTAGTACTCGAGCTGCAGGCCGGACCAAGTTTATTTTTTATTTTTTAGGTGGATGAAATATATATGGCTTTCGTCGAAACTAGGAATCTGGCCCCTTACAGTTATAACAAAGTGCTTCATAAATCCATCATAGAAAGTATCCCCCCCCCCCCCCCGGCCCCTCCCTTCAATGAAAAGAAACACAAGCAACAACAAGACTGGTTGTCGCTTGAAGAACCCGAAGTTTGTGCTGAGTGTTGTAACAGCTAATCTGGTTTGCTTTAGTATGATAGACTGGCTGTGTGCATAGAGTGCTTGTAGTTGACTGCAGCTGGAGGCAATGATGCATTATAGCCACATGCAGCCGACAGCCGATACCGTGTTTTTGGAAATTAGCACCGGTCTTTTGTTACCGCCTGTCTGAAATCAGTGCCACATCGTTTCAGGGCCCTTTGTGTGCATTGTTTTCAAATTGGGTGAAATTCTTTGGGACTAGAAAACTAGTGCTGGTAAATGAAATCCAGTCGTATCACACTCAAGTTTGCGCCTTGCATCATTTTGCAGTCCAGTGTTCGCAGGTGTATGGGTGTGTAGCGTCCGGCGTGTACGTTGACAGTGACGCGACTGGATTTCATTCAGTAGTACTGTAGTAGAAGTGTAAGCGTTTCGGCCAGTATCGCGGAAAATACGCTATCGCTAAGAGCGGGGCTGGTGCGGCCATGGCAGTATCGGTTCTTACCAACTCCAGCATTCATGAAATGTGAGTCTCACCCTCCTACACCGTTCTTCTTGTTCAGTGAGGATAACTGTGCTAACGTTAGCTGTACATCTGTTGCCAGGGAATTGTGTAGCTGGGGGTTACTTTAAAGGGGAACTCCGGTCCAAAATCACCCCCATTTTTTATTGTGGAATCCATTAGAGTATGTCGTAAGTGGTAGAATGGCGAAAACCGGAAGCTTCTACGACAAGGATAACATACCTAAATTACCAATTGCAATTTTCCATATTTGGCACGAGGGGGCCCCCTCCCACCCTGTGACGTAAAACGTTCTCAGCCCGGTCCACTCAGATGAAATTTTCAAATAATTGAAGCAAGAATGAAAAGTCCTTGGCCATTGTTGAAGTGCTTGTTGTTCTGTGCCATGCCCGATTTATTGTCACGACTCGCTGCTGCGTCTCTGGATGCAAAAATGTCACGAAGAAAGAGGCGCCTGCGGGCTGTCGTAGCATGGCTTTCCTCTGGCTGACGCGAACCTGACGACAGCTTGGCTATGGAGAGTATGTTGGAAGGATTTTTCTCCGACGAAAAATAATCGTGTCTGCACTGAGCATTTCACTGAGATGTGCTATGAAAGAGATTTCCAACAAGAGTTTGCACAACGCATTGGTGGCTATAAGCAGAAGCAGCAGCGACGCTTGAAGCCAGGGTCTCTGCCATCCTGAAACTTGGCGGTGCATGTCATACTAATAGTTAGTAGCTCCTCTACCTCTGCTGCCAGCAAAAGCAGACCATCTTCGATTTACTTCCAGGAACGTGAGCACGATGAGGTAAGTGAACGGCATGATTTTGTGCCGTCCAGAACGTAGCTCTAAACGACTACAGTCCTACTCAAAGTCCTCTACTCAAAATCCTAGTCAGTGAAGTCGAGAATTGATGTAATGTACATGGAACGTTATCATGTGTGTTATTTCGGTTCTCTTTATCTGTAAGTTTCCATTGCGTTACTTTCCGGTTGCAGCTACACTGCCACAAATACAAGGTACAGTATGATTTGTAGTCTGGAAAATTTCCATGCTGTCATACTGAAGTGGGCACCAAAACGTGTCCACTTTTCGTACAATGGCATGAGAGCACGGGTACAGTCGGCATGTCTGTCCCACAATGCCAATATAGGGAGAGCGCACGCCAAAACCAAGGAGGGTGTGCTCAGGTACAGGCTGGAATACACCAAGAGCACAAAGTGGCCAAGAAGCTGCACGACAATGTCCTGCAACTTCTTGAAGGACCTGTTGAACGATGTGCATACAACCATTCTCGGCATTCGCAACGGCACCGGCACAACCCCATGCTCCCGAACACAGTACAGTCTTGTGCCATTGTATCTGTCAACTTTACCAGATTGTTCGTGCAGCTGCATTGGTGCAAAGCATGCGCCCACCCGAAAACACAAATATTGCCCGAGTCAAGAATAGTTATAAATCGTGTCTGTCAACTGTTTTCTACATTCTGCATGCACATGTACCAATGATTATGTGAACGTCAACCAGGCCAAGAAGCATTATCATCATCATCATCATCATGTCCAACTGCTTCCTCAAAGCCCCAGTGCGCATCTGCATTGGCTTCTGGTACAGCTGCTTTATCTTCGATACCACGCAAGACGGTATCACACGCCGCTGCTTGCGTCCAAAGTATCCATGGGTGAACCATGTGTATTGTCTATACGCCACATGTCTCCAAATCCTGCACAAAACAGTTGGAGAGATGTAGATACACATACCACGAGTGTCTTCATGATTGTGTAAAAGTAAATAGTTTCAGTGTAAATAGTTTCGGATTCGAGTTAATATTTCTATGGGCTACTAATACTATACTAAAGACACTTTGGCCTTTTTTCAAATTTACATCACTTTTACACACAGTTGAAACACTTACAGTGCTAGGAATAGTATGAATGAAAGACATCGTTGTACCAGTATAATTATATTGGCATGGGTGCAATAGAACTTCATGATTGTGTGATGGAAGTTGGTGAATTTGAATACTGTACACAAAATCATTGCACAACACTTCCCATCTACTTTGTACCGGTACATGAAACATGGAAAGAAAGGAAATAATGAAACCGATTCAGTGAATCCTCACCTGTTTGACCACGGTCCACACCTTGCCCGAAATTCTTCGAAGGAAAGCAATGCCACCTCGAGCACTGATTTTTGCAGGCAAACAACAGCAAACTCTGAGTGCTGCGTGACGCACTGCAGCCCTTCCTGCTCGCCGCGTTTACTGAAAGCTGCAGGAACCTCCCAGCAACAAGTCGACTCGACCTCGCTCCACATCATGCTACATTGTCCGCAACGGCATCAAGCAGTGCTTCTCACGCGAGCACTTGCAACCAAAGCGTTCTCTTCACGTTGTAGTCTCAGAAATATTACTTGTAGACAGTTTCGCAGACGCTGATGCGCGCTTCGGCTCGAACCTAAAAGGCCTCGGTGTTGTTGAATCCGAAGTGGCGTCCACCTCCACACCTCCCGTGGTCTCCTCTTCCTCCAACATGATGATCGAATGAATACTAGTACAAGGGTTATTGATTGAAGAAAAAACAGTGAATACCTTTTTCAAAATTTCTGCAGGTCTACCATTTGAATAAAAAAATTTGGAGGTCACTGAGAACGTTTTACGTCACAGAGTGGGCGGGGGCCCCCTCGTGCCAAATATGGAAAATTGCAATTGGTAATTTAGGTATGTTATCCTTGTCGTAGAAGCTTCCGGTTTTCGCCATTCTACCACTTACGACATACTCTAATGGATTCCGCAATAAAAAATGGGGGTGATTTTGGACCGGAGTTCCCCTTTAACCTTAAAATGAACCACCAGATATGATGCAGCATAGAGGTACTGATATCTCCTCCCATGACACTGAGATTGGGCACTCGGGGAATTATCAAATATCAGCCCTGTAGCCAACCAGGACTGAGGCGTACCTCCCCTCAGCCTGCTCAGGGGCCAGGTATTCTTGTAGGTTATACTTTTTTAAATACACGTATACATTATGATGTACTGCTACGGTATAGCCATACTTTACATGTGCACGCACTATGGTGCTAGTACTAGTACTGTACTACTACTACCGGTAGTAGTACATTTTCTCCTTCAGTAGTATTATGCTAGTGCCTAGCAGTCATTGTAGCACCCGCAGCTGCCCCAACTACAATTCGCCTTACATTGTACATCATGTAGCTGGTCACGGGTGCTTCACCACAGTGCCAATCAGCTATCGCAAAGTCATACTCATAGTGCCTAGTGCCAGTAGTGGTAAGCTGCACGGCTCCATCACCGCACTGGCGCTAACAATAACGTTATGGCCGAGAGCTAGAGTCGCACTATATAATTTTATTACTAACAATGATTACCGGCGGTATGTACATACTCACTCATTGATACCACTACCACACCAGTGACCCGGCGCGGTGTTGGCTGATGCCTGCACTGCTGTGATATGACGGCCATGAATTATCATGCAGCCTGCAGAGTGATGATGAACAAGGAGCTCAATACTACTGGCCCCAGAAACTCCCCCAGTATTATAAGATAGTTCCTAACCTACCCTACAGTATTACAAATGCCCATGTCACGATAATATCAAGAGGTAACTGGTTGGTTATCAATATTATGGTTATGGTGCTTTCTGTGCCATAGACACCTACCGATTGCCTTTATGAAGTCAGGAATAGTATCTTTCGCCTTGCAGTGAGCCCAGAACCGGGACTTCAACATAATCATTGAATCGCTTACTGGTAGATCTACATGATTGACAGATTGTAATGAAAACCGTGCCCAGGTCTCCTGGATCCTGTGGCAGTAGCGCGTGGGACCTGGTGAGGCTGACATCGACGGGAATGCAAGTGCAGCAAGATGTGTGTCCAGTTGAACCAGTGAACCCACGGGCCACGCCGCTTCCCCTTTGCATGCCGCCACGTACCGGTATACACGTTGACAAATTTTTCTTTACAACTCCACTGTTTACGCTGTGCTGCACCCTACAAGGCTACAGTGGCCATGTTGGCGGCAGTACAGAAACGCTGCTGAACGCTGGTTATTAGATATCGGGATAAAAAAGCGATCATCCGCATTATGCGAAGTGAAACAGCGATAGGACTGGGAGCAGTTTGGTGGCTGGCACTTTGCCGAGACCATGGGTGTAGGTCTGTCGTGATTCCTTCACTTCCTCTTGCCTTGTTCAGTCTGTCATGCGCCTGTTGCATCTTGTCACGTTTGCGTTGACCGTCGCGCATTGCAGCAGCTGTCGCTGGTTGCCAGCTCCGCTGTTCCTCTGTTTGGGCCTTGTTCGTGATGTGAGCTCTAGTCTGGGAGATGAACGAGCAGTCTACCCTACAGAGGAGCGCCATGGCCGAGTACAATCCAGGGCGGATGGGAAGGCGACCCCATTGGATAGCCCGCAGGCACAGGCCAACGACGTATCAAGAAAGAGATGGAGAAAAACGAGAAGACCCGTGCACGCAACGTACCCGAGACATGTTGCCGGAGGACCTGGATTACTGCACGAGAACGACACTCGAGCGCACGCTGTGCATAGCGCGAAGCAGGCGTGGCTGCTGAACCAAGCTAGGCAAGCAAGAGCGGATCATCCCATGCTGCTGTTTGGCAAGACCGACGTTGGAGAGCTTGCATTGCGTGCTGTATCGTCTAGCCAGGACTTGGTTGTTAGCATGAGCCGGGCTGTTCACCAGCTACTGGTCAGTGGATACCCGGCCGCAGGATTCAACAAATCCGCAGACAACTCGTATGGCAGTTCATCCCAGCATTGGGAGCACTTAGCTAATAATCTCATCCTAACATCATTCATGGCTATGTTGAAGCCCCAGGAAAAGCCTGTGAGCAGCATGGCAGTGGAAGCGCTGACAAATCTGGAGGAGAGAAAACATTGGATGGTGAGTCCGTGATGTTGTCACTCACTATCCAGTCTCTCCCTCCTTCCCTCTCTCCCTTCCTCCCCACCTTCCTACCTTCCTCCCTCCCTGCCTACCTCCCTCCCTCCCTGGCCTAGCTCCCTCCCTTCCTCCCTCCCTCCCTACCTCACGTCCTCCCTCCCTACCTCCGTCCTTCCCTCCGTCCCTCCCTTCCTTCTTTTCTCCCTCCCTCTCTTCCTATGGGTGTTCCTGCACCGTTTCTATGGAAGTGTATGCCCCTTCTCCACAGGTGTGCACCAAGAAGGACCCACGGGTATGTGTGATCCCCAGTGGCATAATCAGTAGGTCACTGTCCCGGAAAGACAGGGGTTCTGGGTTCGAATCCTGCTAGTGGATCCTTCTTTTTGCAACAGGTGTTCCTTCTATGCGTGTTTCTGCCCAGTTTCTATACAGGCAGGGTCCATGCACCATAGCCTAGGCATAGGCCTGTGATTGAGGTCACAGGTGGCTCATCACAAAACATGGCCCAGATCAGCAAACATGATTTTAGTGGAAGTCAGCCCTACCCTCATGCCATTTGGAAACGGGCATCTTGGGAGCGAGACTCACATCGCCAGGCTTACTTTCCAGCGGGCTTTTTTCTCACAGAATTCCACGAGTCCCTTCTCGCCACCTAAAAGGGCTATTGTTTGTCAAGTGAAATCCAGCTACAGCATCACATGAACACTGTAGGTTGAGTCCGGGTTCAAGTGGCGGTGAACTGGAAATCCAGGCTATGATGAACTTTACTGGAAAGAACAGGATTGTCACTAAGGCTAACAAATGACAATGGCCTTTCATAACACGTTGGCACCTGCCCCCCCCCCCTCCCTCATTGCTTGATGAAATACTAAAAATAGAATGATGTGATGTGCTTGTAGTGTGAGGATGATGTCATGTGCTTGTAGTGCGAGGATATATATTTTAAGAGAATGGCATAAATCGGCTCAATCTAGACATGTGTTTAGGACACAAAACAATAACACGTCTCGCTGAATACATGTCGGGATATCGAGCTGATAATTATACTTCAAGTTCAGGCTTTTTCAAAGCAGTCTAATACTGTTGTTTGATATTGTTCTCGGTCCAGGTTACACTGAAAACCGTCTCCAGTGCTGTGAATGCTGCTCACGCTCTGCTTAGCATGAGTATTGCATACGACCTGCTCTATCACAATCTGACGGCGAGCACAAGACACCGCGTCTCCAGCAGGGTGATCGCGGAGACAGCTAAGCTCGAGAGGTACATCCTACACAGGCCGGCGTCAGCATCAGACTGTAGCTGTACGTCGCCACCAGTCATCAGCGTGGCTCTCTTGGCAGGATCACTGGCTAGCCAGCATGATGGCAACATGACCGCGGCGCTGCTGAGGCAGAACACGGCCAAGCGGGAAATGGAACAGCTGCTGGAAGGTCTGCAGCATGTCACCGACGGATCTGTACCCACACGGCTTGGTCACTGCAACTACATGTACGCCACACGGGCGATATTCCTTTACATGCACCTGGCCAGGAGACACCTGGATGCTGATCATTCCAAGCATCCATGGTTACTGCGTCACTTCTCCTTCATGGTATCTACTGCACCACCGGGCTATCTTGAGTCCACGGCCATTCCGGGGAATAACAACCCGATGTCCTATGGTCCCGAGGCGCAATTCCGGTTCCTGGACTCATTTGCGATGAAGAATGGTCATGGTTATTGGCTGGCCGAGATGATACGCCTCAACCGTACGGCCGAGCCGGGCTTCAACGCATTGCATGCGTCGCGCTATCACCACATGCAGGCATTTGAACTGCTCTGGAACGTGCCCGGCCCGACGTCCGTGCCACCGGACAAGTTGCTGCGCTCGCCAAGCCTCACGGTCCTGCCCGACTGGGGTGGGGCGGTATATGGGGCAGGTCCTCTACCGGGGGCGACACACCTTGGTGTCCGGGTCGGGCATGCGATAGTAGATGACGGAGATCAGGAAGCATTGTTTTCCTGCAAGTTTGCAGGTCAGCATGCTAAGCAACAGTCACTGTTCTTTTCACCTCATGGTAAGCCGTTTATCACCGAGCCAGTCCGTGCAGCTTCAGGCCAACTGCAACAACAGAATGGCTGGGAGTTTCGAACCAATGCTGGGGGACACACCATTGGAAGCTGCACGGCCGAAGATTACAAGCATTCCATGACAACAGGCACAGCTGGAGATGCAGCAGCCGTGGACGCTGCAGGCATCATAACGGCACTGGAGCACGATGGCGTTGTGTTCGTGCTGAGCGAGCTAGTAGGAATGTACTGTGCCAGTGCACGTCTTAAGAGCCACACTCGAGCTCTGTTTTTACTTGACAGCGACACACTGCTAGTTGTGGATGCCATAGAGAAACAAGAAGCGAGCATTGCAACACACGGCAATGTATTCTGGCATAGCAGTTATGAACCGTTTGAAAGCCTGGATCACGACACTAGTGGCGCAGCTCAGGCAAATGGCCAGAACTATATATTCTGGTTCTCAGATCAGCCTGGAGTGTCGGCATCAACCGGTCTCACTACCTTACCTGAGCGCGATGAAGATGGCAATGCGAGTAAGCACCATCACTATCTGAATGTATCTGTGCCATTGGAACAACCGATAACACGCATTGTCTGGCTGCTCACAGCAAACCCCAATATCACGCCTTCGTTCGAGTTCTCGCGCTCATCGGGACTCGGCGTTGAGCTGCTGGTGAACACATCCGGGCAGACACGTTGTGCCTACGACTACAGGATCTCGCTGGTCACCGGCCATTCTCACGTGAACAACCGCTATATTTGGCATTGCACAGGGTCCCTTGCACGTATAGAGCTGGGTACAGCAGCAGCAGCAGTAGTAGAAGCAGCACCGTCTGGAGTGGGAAATGTCACGTCAGCCAAGCAGATCAAGGACCAGTCACACTCCACAGTAGCAGTGACTACCGCTAGCAACTCACTGGTGTGCAATCTGAGCAAGGTTGCTGATAGAAGCACAGACTATCTTCTGTACATTGCCGTGTTGTATGTACTCGGTCTGGGTGCACTGGTCTTTCAGTTCACTGTTCTGCAGCGCAGCGAGCCTGTCTGTCTGTGCTGCTGGATTTGCGTTAGCTGTGCGCTCTCCTGTGTTCTCGTGCTGAAAGTGGTGGCAATCACTATTGCGCTGAGCTCCAGTCAGGTCAGCATTTGTGAAGGAGAACGTTTTAAAGCAGCTATCTATTCCAACCAGGATGATCAGTCGTCGTCCCCGCAAATCATGACATTCTGTAACTCATCCTTGCCCAGAGCCGACACATCACTCACAGACTGGCGATCATCAGCCGAAAGTCCCAGCGTCATATTCACGTCCCTACCAATGTCCAGGACAAGCGTGCTCGCAGCGGAGACCCTACTCGAGAGAAGTCTTGATGCCGTTCTTCTGCCCATGCACAATCTTTCCGAGCATGGTGACATGAGGTGGGACAGCCTCTCGCCATGCGTTTGGGCAGATGATGAAGTATCTACTTGGAGGTACATGACGTTCTCATGGCTTAGAGAGCTGAAGGAGGCTTCTCTGGATGCAAGTTTGGTCTCTCCCAACTGGCTATCCGAACAGAAGACCAATTCATCAGATGAGCTGTTTCAAGCACAGCACAAGCTGGAAAGAGACCCGTCTGCTCTAGCCATCCTGGCTGATTGGAATGCAGAATGGTTGCTGAAGATGAAGTGGTTCATTGAAGATATGCGGCCGTCTCGACTTGTTGTTCTTGTGGATGATCCGCGACAATGGGTAGCTGACGTTCTGAGAGAGCAAACACTCACGCCAGAAAAGCAAGAGCAAAACCTGACAGGTCAAATCTCAGCTCTATTTAATCTCCGCCATCATTACGAATGCGACCAGGCTGATCCGTGTACAGTAATGTTTAACAGTCTTATCCTCTCCGCCCGAGAAGAACACCGCAAGGTGCCCGCAAACACCACCGCCGTGTTGGCCAGGCTATGGTCTGCATACACTAACATATCGCTGTGCCTGGCCAGCAAACCACCATTCTCTAAGAGTGTCCGTTTCATCCCCGTCGGACAGTTCCTGGAGCAAGGAACACACATTGCTCGACGTCTTTATCAGTTTCTAGGAATACCGTTCCGACCAGAAGTACAACGGTATATTGAAGACGTTACATGTATGACTGGTTTAGCTAGCCATGCATCACTATACCATGCTTTCAAAGCACAACACTGGTCAAACAGTCTGAACTCGTCTGACGTCTCCATTGTAGATTCTCTGTGCCAGGACACAATGCGTGTCTTTGGGTACTCACCTCACTAATGGGATGTGTGCGTGTGTGTGTGTGTGTGTGTGTGTGTGTGTGTGTGTGTGTGTGTGTGTGTGTGTGGCGGAGCGGCTTCCTAGTGGCAGTGCTGACTTCTCTCGAACTCTCTCTTCTACTCTCCCCTATCTCGGGGGCGGCGTGGCCAAGCATTTGGCAGCTGTACACCAGGCCAGGCCAGGTGTGTGTGTGTGTGTGTGTGTGTGTGTCTGTGTGTCTGTCCGGGTGTGTGCACATGAACATGTGTGCCATGACTGTGAGTATGCAGGTGTGTGTGTTTGTCTAGCTTCTCGTATGCTGTCTCAGCTCACACATAGGTGTTCGTTTACTGGCTGCCTTGGGTTGTTGACACATTATTTTAGCCTTGACTCAATTATTTTTTTAGGTAGAAAATGATTTAATCAGTATTTATTACAGCCTCTAGCCAACACAATGAATTCAACCGAGGCTACTTGAGTACAGCATTTGAAATGTACCATGATGTATGATTTTACCTTCTACTATTGAACGATTGCAAGCTTGCATTAGAACTTGCATTCCATCCAGAAAAAAAGAAGATGACCACCGGGTTGTAGTTAGCGCGGTGTGCCGGATGATCTTACACATCTTTTGACATCATCCACCTGTATTTGGCATTCTTTGTTGCCATGGGGACGTAGCATGTATTCATCTTTGCCAACAAGCACTGGAGCTTTCCACTAATACAAATGACATATTTTTTATAACGTGTGGCCGCCCGCCATTGTGGTGGATAGTCTCTCTCTCTCTCTCTCTCTCTCTCTCTCTCTCTCTCTCTCTCTCTCTCTCTCTCTCTCTCTCTCTCTCTCTCTCTCTCTCTCTCTCTCTCTCTCTCTCTCTCTCTCTCTCTCTCTCTCTCTCCCTCTCCCTCTCCCTCTCCCTCTCCCTCTCCCTTTCCCTCTCCCCGCCTCTCTCTCTCTCCAAGCTGCGGGACACACTTACTTGGCTTGTCAACGTTTTCAAAAGTACTTCAGTATCATTCAAGGGCAGGACCTGTGTTCTAAAGTAACAATGAACAAAAATAATAGCTACATCCACTACCACGTGTTGTAGATCACGTGGCGATACTAATCACGCTGTCAAATCAGGGCAACTGTAACATGCTAGCCGCATAGCAGAACTATAGAGCACATTCATACATAACTATGGCTGTATAGTGAAGGTAGTACAACGCCTGTGGTCGTGAGATCCGACCAGCTTCTTCGACCATAGGTATCAGAGTCATTGTAATCTGGGTGTCATCGGCTCGATAAAATTGAGGGTAAAAGAGAAAACATGCAAAGGTTGGAAAAAATGGAGGAGACAACCCCTGACAAGGTAGATAAAAATAATGGCAGTGCAAGAAAGTTACGACCAACGAGGAATGAACGGCAGTGAGAAAGAGTATGCATGACACAGAAGATTACCACCGCGTAGATTTGGATGCATGTTTCGTGCACGTGTGCAGTGGCGGCATGCACGACTGAGATAAGCAAGTACCGGTGCACTGCCAGGTATAGGGCTCAGGGTGTGTCCAAGAACTACACGGTCTAGTAATGTTAGGCAAGTGGGGAAGGATTATGGATGTGACAGTCATGAGTGTTATGCAGCTACTGGCCAGATTCACAGGAGCGTAACAACGTCGTCTTTGTAATGGAGCGAAACAATCCAGCACAGGTCGCCTGTCACGTTTTGAATGGTTTCCGTGGCACCCGTTCTCTCATGATAGCCAGTGAGGGTACGTTGGTCATGATCCACAGTGAGTTGAATGATGTCACTGCTTTTCCAAGGCTGACCAAGCGATCTTCGTATCAGGCTGAATGGACTAGTAGAGCCGTCCCAGCCAAAACATTTGGCCTTGTCTTGTAGGAACGTATGAAACTGAGGAGCGGTAGACGAGCAGGCGCCGAGAAAGATGTGGCTGTTGCCTGACTTGTCAATTCTCACCTTCTGTGTACTTACACCGGTCTGTCTACCCATCGGTGTAGTGCCCACGGATGCATAGCTAACTCTATATCTTAGACACTTGACAGAGGTTCCATCACCTTCAATCGCCAAATGACTGCTACAGCGGGCTGCATCGAACACCGGCTTTGTCATAGCACTAACCAGCAGCCCATGTGGACTTCCTTGCAGGTGACAACCAGCAACAGTAGCTGATACTGTGTGTAGACCAGCTGGCAATGATCCCTGATCAATTTGAACACGTCCAGGTAATGATTCACACAGAGTGTCCAAACTCAACACGTCCTCATCATCACAGCTCTTCACAGTAACTCTAACTGCGATGTTGTCAAGTTGTGCTTGGCTAACAACGATGGCTGGGGGAGGAGTACATGAAGCGACAGTTGTGGCATCTGCAGCAGGAGCAATGTCAGTACACACATCCAGTTGAAGATGAAGGACAACATCATCATGAGTCGTTACTTTGTCAGGACATTCCAGTACGGCACAGTCAACCACATCCAGAACACCTCCACATTTCTCAATGTCATTCTGCAGTTCTGTGGTGTCGGTACTGGCAAAGACGATGCCACCAGCTGTGCATGGCTTCCCTTCCACTCCTGTTGTTTTAATAGCTTTGTCCAAGGTTCCATCTAGCCACGAAAACATACGCAGCAGGTCAACCTCATCTGAAAGTGACTGCAGAATGAGCCCAGCACTCTCCACTTGTGCAACGCACTCTTGCAGGCGATTCAGCTGCTTTTCTAGTGGTATCAGCTTCTTTGACCTCATCGCATCCAGCTTCGCTAACAGATCTGCTTCACGCTTCTTCAATCTTTCCATCAGCTCCGTAGTAAAGTCGGTGACCTTTGTAGAAGCGCACTCTGTTTGTTTATCTAGTGCTTCAATATTCTTGCTGACATTTCTCATGGCGATGGTAATGACACCATCAGATTCGGATGTACAGCTAGCTAGCTTTTCAGAAAGCTTGTCACGTGACATTTGACTTGCACTGTGGATGTCCAAGACCTGATGATCTTGTTTGTGTGAAGGTGCCAGCTTGCATCTTGGGCACAGAATCTGGTTACATTGGACGCAGAATCGACTCAAATTTTCATTTGTGTGCAATGCACACTTTCGACTTTGTTGATCGTTTGTTTCCCCTGTCGAACCTTTCCTTGATGAGGATGCGGCGCCGGCTGGGCCGATGGGTTTGACAATATGCCCTCTACTGCTTTTAAATAGAGGATGGCTGGCGGCGTGGATATTACACATCTTCACGTGGCAGTTCTCACAATTGTTAGTGGCTGGTGTATCGTCTCCGCATTCTTCGCATGCAGATATCGCCCGACTCTCATCGTTATCCGCTACACTCTCCAGATTTCCATGGAGCCGGAGCACAACATTTGGCAGTGACCGTAGCGGCTCCACACCAACAGACAGCTGCGTGGAGGAGAAACATTGCGGACACTTGATTGATCCGTCAAAGTCGATGTTATTTTGCACACAGGGAACGCACAGCGTGTGCAGACAGGAAATATACTTTAGAGTTGTGCTCGATGAGCCACAACCACTACACTGAGCAGTCGGAGTCGACATCGCCCGCGGCGGAGACGTTGGAAGTAATAATTACTGGTTCAGGTGGAAGAATGAAAAGCCGCCCGAACTATCTTCGTCCTCCCTCTTCTCTAAGTCTTGTATGTAGTTACTAGTACTGTATTTCCTCGATTAACTGTTGTACGAGTACATAACAGCAAGAGTCCATAACCCCCGCGGGCCCGGGCGGGGTTATCAGGGGTTAACCGGTTATGGACTCTTGATAACAGACTCGATTCTGCTAGCGCTAGCACAGTTGAACATCGATTATCCGACCACCTCAGGGCAGACAACTGTCAGGCGGTGTTCAGATAAGGCACATGTTCTGGATAAGAAAAAACTGTCCCTCACACACTTTCAGTGGTTATTACTAGCCGCACGACCTTTTTACTTTTTACTTTTCAAAATTTTCGTATTTTTTGAATGGCTCACTACATGCACAGTGCGTACTAGTACTCTACGGCACGTGCGCCCAAAAAAGCTGTTACGGATAATCAAATGGTCGGATAGTCGATGTGCGGATAATCGATGTTCAACTGTAGCGCGCTAGCGCCTTCCGGGAATTCCGCGAAGTAAGTTCCGGTCCTCCATCGCGCTCAGCTACCACGCACTATGTCTGTACCAGTCAACTACTCAGTCAGACGTCTAGACGTCAGTAGACGGTAGCCATACCTGCACGGCGGCAGCAAACGGTCCGAGTCGTGATGTCGCAGTCTACGTCTACAACCACGGTACCGCGGTCTACTCTACTCTCTAGCCCACACTGCTGGGCCACAGGCTACATGAAGATCTGACAAGTGACCAGGTACGTGACAGTACGAGTAGTCAGGAGTCGCCTTTACAAGAGAACACCGGTACGCACCATGAACACAATGACAAACGAGGTATCGATCAATGATCAAAAAAATGTACTCATACTGTCATAGTACATACTCCATGGGGGATCCAGTAGGCAGTACTGCACTGTCTGCATGCAGTCCATAGTAACTAACTTTATCTCATGTCGTCGGGCGAAAATACCAAATTTCAGAAATCCTTGTTGCTTTTGGACGAAATCATTGTTCGGACGCCTGAAGTCGTGATGCTCTGCACTCTTACTAGTCATAGTTGATGATGGCCGGAGAGATTCAGTGCATGGCAGGGAGCGCCACAAAGCGAGCCACGTGGCGCGTGACTCCAGCGCTCGCGACAAGTATCCTCCTATGGATTCTCGTGTTTGTCGGATTGGCCACTTGTGTCCAACCGCGAATGCAGTCACGGAATACCAGGAGAAAGCAGTCTGAACACCAGCTGCAGCAGCAGCAGCGGCAGCCGTTTAGAAATATCGCTGCTGGTAGAAATGTTGGTGACCGTACACGAATACTGAGAGACCGTGGCCATAGTCAGCGGCAAGGCGATGAAACATCCCAGCTGAGGCACGTACAGCGAGAGCGTGCTTGGGACGATCGTAGAGGAAATCTTGCCATGCGTCCGGGGGCGCGCGCCGCTGTTCGCAGGGATGGTTCCCGTCATACTATCCAAGACTTCCAACCTGCGAACAGGGATACTACCTACGGCCAAGGGCAGAGAGTAGAAATGCATAAGCCTGGCAATCGTGTACGTGCTGTACCTCCCATGCAGTATAGACACGTCACGCAGGCAGCACATGCGCATGGAGTAGATCTACGTAGTCAGAGTTTGAAGCAGAGTAGAGCAGCAGATGATAGCTCTCGGTTACGACAGCCTGGTCAGCCAATTGACTCCAGACGTGCCACACTCAGCGTACACCAACTAACCACTAACGCAAACTCTGCGCAGCGTCAAGGAATGGCAGCATCCAGAGCCAATGCCATGAATGACGATGATGCGACGAGAGCAAAGCGAGAAGATATGATGGAGAAGGAGGAGCAGCAGCCGGATGACAAAGATGGTGATGAAACGCACGAGGGCGACACCGATGGTGGGAATACGGTGGCAAACGTTGCTCATGCTAACGAGGACAGCAGTGAGACCCCACCAAACGTCGCTGGCAACACCGACCGGGACAATGGCGACACCGCAAACGACGAGCATGACGTGAATACATCTCCCACTCTGTCGCCGGAAGAGCAGGAGAAAGTCGACCGTGAGCGAGTGGCGGAGGACGAGAAGGTTCCGGACCCGGCTGTAGCAGCGGATGTGGACATGGATACAGTGCAGAGTGAGCCGATAGAAGAAGACACTGGTGTGGAAGGCACTGTCAGTGCCAGAGTGGATGCTGAAAATAAAGATAACGTCGCCCCAGCTCAAAAACCGGTCAATCGTAACCGATTTGGTGAGCTGCAAGCGCAACTCGCTGACTTGCACAAGTCAGTGCAAACGCCGACAGCCAATCCACTGCCAAGCTATGAACAGCTTCTACACGGATCACGAATACGCGAGGGCCATCCAATGCTGTTATTCGGCGATGCGGAGTTAAAGAGTCTGATCAAACAAACACACAACACACACTCTGGAATCTACAATGACATGAAGGCAGCTGTCAAGGTAATGCTCCAGGATGAGAAGAAGTACCTGCCCCCGGTTGCGGAGCTGGACTTTGCAACGTCTTGGAATGAGCAATACGGCAACCGGCTGGTTGTTCTGGCAATCTACGGAGCATTGTCCCCAGATGACCTGGCTGGACGCGCTGTCGCTGTGAGAAGTCTGCGCCGCTTGACGGCCTACAGCAGCTGGAAGGTAGGTGCCGAGGTGTGTGTGTGTGTGTGTGTGTGTGTGTATGTGTGCCAGCACAAGTTGCTATGGCTTCTGCAGTAGCATCGCTATCATCGCCTCTGGCGATGGGCGTCAAATGGTCAAATGGTGTGTGTGTGTGTGTGTGTGTGTGTGTGAGTGTGTGTGTGTGTGTGAGTGTGTGTGTGTGAGTGAGTGTGTGTGTGTGTGTGAGTGAGTGAGTGAGTGTCAATTGAATTGCATGAGTACACATATCCTCCCCCCCCCCCCCCCAGGGCTGGCGTATATGCAGGGCATATGGCTCGTAGGCCATGACTGTACCAGATCTTACAAATTCCAGCTTTCATGGATGGAATGTCCAGTGTGGAAACAAGTACCGTACTCACTTGATTAGAAGCCCCTCTTGAATAATAGCCCCTCTACAAGGACTGTTTGAAAAATACAAGCCCCTCTCGAATAGAAGTCTGGACTACTATTCACAAAGCATGGGGTGACCAGGTAGTGCCATGTATGAAGGTCAAGTGTGCAAAGAACATCTCGTGCATGTTCATATTGGTACATATCCTGGTCGACGTAGTGTGTGCAAACTAACTCGGGGCCGAGTTGCTGTGAATATGAAAGTTTTAGAGATTCAATTGGAATACTGGTATGGAATGAAACAATAAACGCCCCTCTCGAATAGAAGCCCCTCTTGAATAGAAGCCTCCTCAAAATTGGTATTGAAAAAATAGAAGCCCCCGGCTTCTAATCGAGTGAGTACGGTATGTGAACGCACTAATAACCAATCCTCGCTAGAGTCTCCCTCTCCTCAACTGTTTCTTCTTGTCCAGCGTGGACTACTGGGATTGTTGTGCGTATGCTGCTGGTGAAATGTGTAGCGGAAACAACCAGATATTATGCAGCAAAGAGCTGGGTATGCATCCTCCAATGACACTGAAGTTATGCACGGTGCCCTGTGGCCGACTTGGGGCCGTACCACCACCACCACCTGCCCTGAATTATCTCACTATCTGCACTCACCAAGGAGATACGACTTCGTAGGTTTCCCGTGGTGCTTTCCTCCTTCCTACGTGTTGCCTTCGGTACTTATAGTCTGTATTCTTGTACGTGCATCTCACCATCATACATCTCTCTCTCTCTCTCTCTCTCTCTCTCTCTCTCTCTCTCTCTCTCTCTCTCTCTCTCTCTCTCTCTCTATTTGCGTTGACATTTTTCTACAGGTGTTGTCAGCGCCCAATGACGATGTTCCACGTGCACACACTCTTCTGGGTGTGGCGATTGCCTATGATGTTCTTTTCCACGAGCTGAAGGATTACGAGCGTCACGACATGGCAATGCGCATAAGCGAGGAGACGGCGTACCTGCAGCGCCGTGCTCTGGCCAATGCCGGCTGGAATCGCCAGTACATGCACAACCACATGCTGACGCTGCAGGTGGCACTGCTGGCCGGCGCTCTGGTCACCGAGCAGACGTCGCGTGCCCCGTCGCACGAGCAGCAGGCGCTGGCGCGGCTGGCCATGGAGAGATGCATGCTGCTGTTACGGCACGTCAGCGACGGCTCGATCCACGAGGGAGTTGGTTACACATCCTACAGCACACGCTCTCTGTTCGTGTACATCTTCCTCTCACAGCGGCACTACGGTGTATCACACTTTGAGCACAAGTGGTTGCCTAAGCACTTCGAGTACCTGCTGGCAACAACAATGCCGGGATTTGCCGGCTCGGTAGGAATAGCCGACACGGATAGAGTTTGGTTCTTCGGCCCAGAAGCACAGCTGTATTTTCTGGATCGCTACGTACTCCGGAATGGCCAGGCGAACTGGCTCGCACAAAAGATTCATCAGGCACGGCACAAGTTGCCAGCCGACGCAACCCTCAAAGAAGCAGACTGGTCCATGTTGCCGTTTGAGATGCTCTGGTTCGCACCGCACATGGGCGTAAACTCTCCGTGGAAAGCAACCAACCGACAGCCTGTGCAGATTCTGGATGACTGGGGCGTCGCTACCTACGGCGCAAGCCACCAGCAGCAGTCCACATTTCTCTCGTTGAAAAGCAGCTACATACTCGGTCGTGGCCTTCATCGCCTTGCTGCTACATCTCAAGCACCGCAATCCCTGTACCCATTCCTTGGCGGCATGCCGTCATTTAATGCTGGGCACGAGCATCCGGATCAAGGATCGTTCACATTCTATCCCAACGGCGTACCAATGGTCACCGAGTCCTTCTATTTCATGCCTAAGCTGCCTCATATGGACAACGTCTGGCTGTTTCGCTCAGACGGTTCTGCCTCGGAAGACTCGTGCTCTGACGGAGGAATGCGCGGACAGCTCGGTGGCTGCAAGTCCTGGTTTCAGTATCGTTCAGACGCTGTGAGGGATATGTCAGCGGACATCCTGGTCTCGGATTCCGATGAGGATGTCGTGCTCATGGTGAGTGAGTCGGCCGGGGCATACAGCGAGGACATGGGACTGGAGTCAGTCACGCGTGCTTTGGTACTGCTGCGGAGCGATGCGCTCTTGGTCGTTGACTGCATTCGCAAGAAACCCACCAGCATTGTCCTGCGCGGCAGTGCTTTCTTCAACAACATGTACCAGCCGTTCAGTGTCGACTTTGAAGATGCAACGCGAGCAACGTCCACTGCCGGACACACCATTCAATGGCTCTTTGACAATGATTTAAAGAGCTCAGCAAGGACAGGAACGGTTGCGGATAAGCGCCTGCAGAAGAAGCGTGATGGTCGCGAGGAGAGTTATTACCTGAAGGTGTCCGCGCCTTTACTTCTCGATACAACACACGTCGTGTGGCTCTTGACGGCCGACAGTGCGGCTGTGGCCGAGATGGAACTCATATCCTCGTCGTCGTCTGGCGTTTCGGTGTCAGTGAGCATTGGCTCATCATCGTACGCCGTGTCGATGGTGACGAATCACACGTGTGTTGCCTGTCGCTACGACTACCATGGAAGTGGTATGCTAGCTCACGTGCGGCACGGCGACAGGCTTGTGCGTCCGGGGACAACACCAGTGGACATGCTATCCAAAGTGGACCTGGATCTTCGACCGATGAAGAACATCCTGCCGTCCACTGTCAACCAGCAGGTTTTCGGCTACTTGTGCATCTCCATCATTGGCTGGTCGGTGACCGTGCTGTTTGTCTTCTGGCGCTTCAAGTTCCTGCGGCAGCCACGCTACATGTGGCCGGTCGTGCTGTGTGTAGTCTTGTGGATCGGCATTCTCCTTATACTCATCGCGTCCAGTATCCTGCATGAACTTCCAAACTCGATGAAACTGGCCATCTCGCTGTCATCAATTGGTATCGGCGGCGAGCAGGCTGGGGATGTCCTGTTGGATGCGGGGGGCAGCAGGCCGCGTGTTCTCATCACAGGCTTGCCTATGGGCAAGGCGCCGTATCTTCTCTCGAGTCACCTGCTGAACGCCACGCCCGATGCAGTGTTCCTGCCACTGTCCGATTTACCCATGAAGGCCGGCGTCGCTCTCTCCCCGCTGGCGTCCTGCATCTGGCCCAGCACGTCCGTGTCTCCTCTTCAAGCCCTGGCAGCTTCATGGTTAACACAGGTGTACGATCAAGCGCAGCCTGCTCTCAAACACGCCACTACCAGGCATAAGCCAACCGAAGCCTACCTGCAAGCCAAGGCGAAGCTGGCTGTCGATCCCTCAGCTCTGATCATTGCTGGTGACATGGACGGGACGTGGCTGGCGAAAACACGCTGGTTCTTGGATTCCGTACCCTCCTCAAAGGTTGTCCTACTCATCTGTCATCCGGTCCGCTGGGTGGCTGATATCATGAAAGTGGGCTCTCTCCTGCCAAACAGCGGTGTTGGTCTGTATGACCAGGTTGCACGAATCCTGAAACCGGTGGGAAATCACTGTGATGACTCAAGTCCGTGCGCACGCCTGTTCGAGCCACTGCGCAAGCTGGCGCTGAGCGAAGTCCAACGGGAAGACGCACCGCTGCACAAGGTTCTGGCCACAGTCTGGCTGGCGTACACAAAATGGTCGCTGTGCGAAGCCAGGCAACATGGCTCCGTGCTTACGGTCAAACTCGAAGATTTTCTCAGCCATGCAGTCGGCACGTCGCGTAAGTTCTACCGCTTTGTCGGCCTGCCACACAGACCAGTAGTTATCAGCCATCTTCGGATACTCATGGAAAGTGATGTGCCACAGGACGGGCAAGCAAAGGCTGATCTTGATCGGAGCTCCGGCAAATTCTACACACTCTCCCCGGAGATGCGCCTGGACGTGCGCAAAATATGTTATGATCTGATGCGCCAGCTTGGATACTGATAAGAGGAGAGTGTTTGTGATAGCGCTGTGAGAGTGTGTGACCAACTGCCCCGTTCATGTAGTGTGTGCCGAGTACTACACAGAGAATTGGCAAGATTGACCACCAAGCCCGGCATACCTGGCTTCAATACAGGATCAGCGGCTAGATTTTACTTTCTAGTCAAGTTTCGACCAATCCAGTTGGCCGAGTGCTTGACATGTGAGAATGGGTATTTCCCGAGAGGTTGACGACAAGTGTATGCAGAGAATATCTGGTTGGACAATCTACATTGAGCGCTGCATTGATTCAATGGTGCATGCACGATTTAGCTGGCTGCTGCGTCATGCATGGCTAATGCACTGCAGTATGTACGGCTACCTAGCCGGTAAACTGTCTTACCCTGCTGGCAGGAAAGACACGGGCTTCAATTCATGGCATTCGCTTTGCAGATAGCCACGACGCTACCGCGGAGACTACCTTGATTTTGGCTAAGGCCTGTGGAGAATCCGTGAATACAGTCATATGCAAAATTATTATCACTCTGGCAAAAATCTGAATGCTACTTTGCTGCCTTGATCCATACCTTGCCTCCATTTGATGTACGACAATGCAGTCCACTATTAATGGTGTACTAGCTGTGCTAGTACTTGTTAGCAACAATCCGAACTAGCGCACACACTGCACTGCATTGCTTTGTACTGCATTCAAGACTGACGTCATGCGCTTTGTTTTGCTGCGTAATCACAAAAGGCACCAGCCCATTTTGCGGAAAAGAAAAACAAATCTTGCTTGCCCTGTTGTGCTCTTCCAGACAACGGATCGTGCTTCAGCAGTGTTTCTTTTCCTTTCGTAGCTTTTCTGCCAGCCCGAGTGTCACCTCGACACTGTATTTCTTCAGTACGTCTGACCTAACTGTCGACACTGTCAAGGCAATGCCTTGCCAAGCCCCCGCGGCGAGCCTTCTCAGCGCGGCTTGAATCCGAAAGGAAACTTAGTAAAAGTATTTTACAGGACCGTTTGCTGGCACAACTAGCCCTTGGTAGTGAGGTCTGCTCCGGCCAGGAGAACCAGCAACATGACAGTGCGGACACGGCTCGCGAGCCCAGAAGCCCGACTTGCACCAATGCCTCCTCCGCCAGCTCAGGTGACGCGGGCTCAACGGATCTCTGCGCTCCCGTAGATCTACGTGACGAGGTGTAGTCGGCTTTGTCGGCCGCCATTTTATTATTATCGGATAGCATTGTGCCGCTCCTCACCCAAGGCCAAGGCAATGCGGCTGCTGCCGCCACTACGCCAGGCCAAGCTCCTGTAACCCACCCGATCAGCCACTTGCACCAGCTGTGCCCAAGGCTGTGCAAGAACGTATCTTGCGAGGGGAGTTCGTAGATTTTTCAAGTTTGTTGCCTGAAATTCTTGCACACTTCCGGCCCAACATTCCGGCTGGTGCACAGCCCGAATAACGATAGCCAGCTAAATATCGTTGAGTCGGATGACCGTACGCGAAGCAGGTGCGTCGCAAGGTTCACGATAATTATACATGTAGCTACCCGGCTCGAGGCATGGACCACATACATGTCTGTTATCACGGCTGCTGCCCTACACCGCACTGCTGAACTGCTGAACTGATTGCGTACCAGCAGTTGATCCTGACTGCTAACCGCCAGTTCTTCCCAAGCGCGTGGCTAGAGTACGACCGCCAGCTGCGGCTGCTCGTGGCCCAGTAACCAGGCACGAAGAGGTTGGACACCATCGACGTGAACCTATGGCAGATAGCTGTCACAGGCCATGCACACCCAAAATGCGCTCAATGTAAGACGGCCCATCCAGGGGCGGTTTGTGTCCTTTTCGTCCCCAAGCCAGCAGCATTTACCTCCAGTGGTCGCAACCATACCAGCGACGGCCAAGAAATCTGCCGCAACTTCAATGAAGGTCGCTGTTCTTCGTCGTCGTGCCGCTTCTCCCACACCTGCAGCCAGTGTGGCAAGGACCACCCATGCATCATGTGCAACCAGCAGCAGCGCGGAGCCAATCGGCCACCCCGCCGCCCCTAGCAGAATGGCTACTGAATAGCTTGACTCGGTACGTAGCTTCTTTCCTATACACTCTGCAGACACCACACTGCTAGCTGACCACTTTGCCCGCCTGCTACGTAACCACTCATATCAATAATGTGTTGTGTATGTTCTCCATGGCCTGCGCCGCGGCTTTACTCTTGGATCTGCCGGCCAACACGACATTTCGGTTTTCTCTAATAATCTACCCTTGGCTTTCACTCACTCGGCATTTATATCCGAGCAATTAGCTGCTTCCTGCGCCCGCAGCGAGACCACAGGCCCATTTCCGTCACCTCCATTTCAGTTCATGCGCCGCTCTGGTATTGGTGCCATCCCCAAAAAGAACGGCAAGCTGCGAATGATCCACCATCTGTCTAGTCCGGAAGGCACCGGCGCGAACGACAGCATTCCTGCCGAGCCACTCTCTCTCTGCACTACGCGAGCATTGACAACGCGATCAACATCATCATGTCATGCCCACAGCCTGTGTATTTGTCCAAGCTCGATGTACGCAGTGCATTTCGGCAGATCCCAGTCCGCCGTCAGGACTTCGCTGGGAAGGCTCCTACTACTACGAGCGCTTTCTGCCTTTCGGCCTCCGCTCCAGCCCAGCCGTCTTTGACTCAGTAGCCACAGCAGTCAACTGGATCATGCAGCACGAGTTTGCTATAGATCACCGGCTTCATTACCTCGATGACTTTCTCGATATCTCCACTGGTTCGGCTGCAGCCAACCAGCAACTCACCATCCCCCTCCGGGCATTCACGTATCTCGGCACTCCTCTTTCCTCCATCCCAGCTCGAAGGGCCATCACCATCATTGACCTTCCTTGGTATTTTCCTAGACTGCGGCTACCAGAGGACAAGCTGTCCGAGATCCGTGCGCCACTCATGGCTACTATCAGCGAGCGCAGCATCGGCCAGCGTCAACTCGAGTCCCTCCTGGGGAAGCTCACTTTTGCTGCCCGAGTCATCGTTCCTGGACACACATTCATGCGTGAACTATGATCAGCGTGCCTTGAACTGTATCTGTGTATGCGAGTGCGGTGCATAAAGCCCACCTTGAGAATGGGTTTGCCGGCCCCTTAGTAGATGCGTGGCTTCTGGAGAGGGTGTTGAAGGGCATCCAGCGATGCCATGGTACAGCTGTACTCACCCCTCGCCTTCCTATAACTATGCCAATCCTACGACACCTGACGGATGCACGCCGGAAAAGTAGTATCCTGAATGGCCATGACAAGCTGCTCTACCAAGCCGCCATGCTGCTTCTTTGGATTTCTTCGGTGTGCTGAATTCACTAATGGCATCACACGGGGCTGTACTAGCTCCCCTGGTGACGGACGCCTGCAACTCTTCCTGCTTTCATCCAAGACGGACCCATTCGGTAAAGGCGTTACTAGTGACATTGGCCCGTCTGTACCGCCGTACTGCCCGGTCCGTGCCATTGTTAGCTACCCATTTGTCACTCGTCGCGAGGGACCAGAGCAACTCTTGTTCGTACTCTCGAACAGACAGCAGCTGACCAGGCAGTCATTCACAGTAACAGTATGGTCTCTTGTCGCTGCGGCCGGTGTACCATCCCAGTCGAACTACTCCGGGCATTCGGTCCACATTGGTGCAGCCACCACCGCTGCTATGGCTAGTGCCCCGACTCCTTCTTCCGAGTGGTAGGTCAGTGAAAAGAGCGATGCGTGTCTATGCTACATCCGGACTACAACAAGCGCTAAGCGCCAGCTATCGTCCCGGCTTGCTGCCGTGCCATGGATGCCATGATCCCCAACTCGGGTGAGTAATGAGCTACTGAACTCTAGCTGCGCAATGCTTGCCTGTGCTGACATAATTGACCCTTGCTGTGCGTCAATAGTGCTTAGCTAACGGAGTGCTGGTTTCATGGGTCCACTCTCACAACTGGTGTTATCTAGCTATTTGCTGCGGCTCTGCCTTGCGCTATATTACATCCATTTAGCATTGCAGCTCTACGTTGAGCTAACAGCAGCTCTACTTTGAGCTAACAGCAGCTCTACTTTGAGCTAACAGCAGCTCTACTTTAAGCTAACCGCAGCTCTACTTTGAGCTAACAGCAGCTCTACTTTGAGCTAACCGCAGCTCTACTTTGAGCTAACCGCAGCTCTACTTTGAGCTAACCGCAGCTCTACTTTGAGCTAACAGCAGCTCTACTTTGAGCTAACAGCAGCTCTACCTTGAGCTAACAGCAGCTCTACTTTGAGCTAACAGCAGCTCTACTTTGAGCTAACAGCAGCTCTACTTTGAGCTAACCGCAGCTCTACTTTGAGCTAACAGCAGCTCTACTTTGAGCTAACAGCAGCTCTACTTTGAGCTAACCGCAGCTCTACTTTGAGCTAACAGCAGCTCTGCTCTGAGCTAACAGCAGCTCTGCTCTGAGCTAACAGCAGCTCTGCTCTGAGCTAACAGCAGCTCTGCTCTGAGCTAACACCAGCTCTACTTTGAGCTTCAAACCAGTTGTTTCGAAACCAGCACTCCTCAATCCAAAGATGCCTCTTTGTTGACTTGTTTTGTGTGAGGGATGGGGCTAATGGTGTACTAGCTGTGCTAGTACTTGTTAGCAACAATCCGAACTAGCGCACACACTGCACTGCATTGCTTTGTACTGCATTCAAGACTGACGTCATGCGCTTTGTTTTGCTGCGTAATCACAAAAGGCACCAGCCCATTTTGCGGAAAAGAAAAACAAATCTTGCTTGCCCTGTTGTGCTCTTCCAGACAACGGATCGTGCTTCAGCAGTGTTTCTTTTCCCACCATCCCTCCCTATCCAACTTATTCACACCATCATAATTATCGTACCCACTAATCGGGTCCACTCTCACAACTGGTGTTATCTAGCTATTTGCTGCGGCTCTGCCTTGCGCTATATTACATCCATTTAGCATTGCAGCTCTACGTTGAGCTAACAGCAGCTCTACTTTGAGCTAACAGCAGCTCTACTTTGAGCTAACAGCAGCTCTACTTTGAGCTAACCGCAGCTCTACTTTGAGCTAACAGCAGCTCTACTTTGAGCTAACCGCAGCTCTACTTTGAGCTAACCGCAGCTCTACTTTGAGCTAACCGCAGCTCTACTTTGAGCTAACAGCAGCTCTACTTTGAGCTAACAGCAGCTCTACCTTGAGCTAACAGCAGCTCTACTTTGAGCTAACAGCAGCTCTACTTTGAGCTAACAGCAGCTCTACTTTGAGCTAACCGCAGCTCTACTTTGAGCTAACAGCAGCTCTACTTTGAGCTAACAGCAGCTCTACTTTGAGCTAACCGCAGCTCTACTTTGAGCTAACAGCAGCTCTACTTTGAGCTAACAGCAGCTCTGCTCTGAGCTAACAGCAGCTCTGCTCTGAGCTAACAGCAGCTCTGCTCTGAGCTAACACCAGCTCTACTTTGAGCTTCAAACCAGTTGTTTCGAAACCAGCACTCCTCAATCCAAAGATGCCTCTTTGTTGACTTGTTTTGTGTGAGGGATGGGGCTAACAGCTACTATTATGCGCTTAGAGTGAAAGACTACAGCATACTCTTTCCCAGCATGGAGGCATCTAAGGATTGTTCAGAATGGCTCTTATTTGCCATCAAACTTGATTTCTGTGCAAAACTATTATTATTAATGTGTGAGTTCGGAGGGACTTGAGCTATTCAGTGAATTCAAGTATGTTCAACAATCGAAGGATTCCACTATGGTTAACAGTTGCAGCTGCAGGAAGAATATTGATATGAATGCCGCAGCACGAGGTGATGTGTTTATTTGTGATGTCACGGTGCGTGTGTGCACATGTACGTACCATACCACTGATACATGAGGTGTTCGAATACAAACTCAGTACGTCCACGTGGTGTAGCAGTAGATGTATGCATGCAAATGACACCGTACTGCACAAGGAAATATGGCATTGCATACCTTTCAGGTGCACATCGTGACATGCACACCGGGGTACATCACTATAGCCGTGATTATTGTACAAAGTCGTGTAGTGGTCAATGCATGTTGTGATACTAGTACTTGGATCATACCATAGTACTATCCGATATAGCAATGAAAAATATCAACTGTGCACTCATAACCATGTATAAACAATTAAAATGAAACAATTCCAGAACGTTTTCGTGTGACTATCATCAGTGGAACATCGTCACATAATAAGAATCACTAAAACAACCAGTTATAATTATAGCTAGAGTAATATGAAAAGAAGGGTGAGAATGCAGCACAGCTAGCGGTTATGCATAACGCGTGTAGTGTGAACCTTTGCAGTGTATCTGAGAATGGTAGCAGTAGATGAATGTGGCAGCTGTGAGTGCAGATACACTGCAAAGGTTCACTCTACACGCGTTATGCATAACCGCTAGCTGTGCTGCATTCTCACGCTTCTTTTCATAATTTATTACTCTAGCTATATAACTGGTTGTTTTAGTGATTCTTGTTATGTGACGATGTTCCACTGATGATAGTCACACGAAAACGTTCTGGAATTGTTTCATTTTAATTGTTTATACATGGTTATGAGTGCACAATTGATATTTTTCATTGCTATTTTACGACTGTTGTCTCCTCGTCGGTTATTTAAATACTATCCGATATAATTATCATTAAACCTGATTTTTGGTTAACTTGTCATATTTCCAACACACTAGGGAGAAAGCCGAGTGCTTTGCCCAATACTTTGCCATGAAGTGCAGCCTCGGCTCCAACGATTTCTCTGCCTCTGATCAGCTCCCTGCTATGCAACTTGATGCCACGGCACCTCAGATCACAGCCATCCACTTTCGTCCAGCCAATGTCCGTCGTCAACTAGCGGCGCTAAATCCGTACAAGGCCACTGGCCCCGATGGCATATCAGCTAGAGTCCTCAAGGAATGCCACAGGGAGCTGGCAGAGCCTGCTGCTCGCTTGTTCTCTTGCTGCTTCAGAGCAGGGGTCCAGCCAGCTTCCTGGAAACTAGCCCATGTGTCCCCCATACACAAGAAGTCCTCCAAGTCAATTGTTTCAAATTATCGACCTGTGTCTCTCCTCAGCATCCTGTCGAAAGTAATGGAGAGTATAGCCAACTCCCAGCTTGTCAACTTCTTGGAACGCCACCGTCTGCTGAATACTCGTCAATACGGTTTTCGTCGTGGCACCGGAGCTGCAGACCTCCTGACTGTCCTACAGTATGAGTGGGCCAATGCCATGGCAGAAGGTGGAGCTATGCAAGCAGTTGCCGTGGACATAGCGGGGGCTTTTGTGTCTCATGCTGGCGTACTTTACAAGGCCCGCCAGCTGGGGATAGGGGGTTCACTGCTCGCATGGCTTACCCACTACCTGCAATGTCGCACCATTAAAGCTGTTGTTCATGGCCAGAGCTCATCGGTGCACCCTGTCCAGTCTGGCGTCCCACAAGGTAGTATCCTTGGACCTACATTGTTCCTCGTGTACGTAAACGACATTTCAAGCTGCTTGTCGCATGGCACAAACCTGAACACTTTTGCTGATGATACAACTTTGTACTCCCTCGTTGACCAAGCCTCGAATGCCTCACTACAACGCAGCCTAGATGAGCTTCATGCCTGGGGCAAGAGATGGAAGATTGCGTTTGAGCCATCAAAATCGCAAACTATCACTCTGTCGCACCAGCTGAAGGATACAGTGCCTCCCCAGCTGTCATTTGGCGGAACTCCTCTCCCACCAGATGAATCTGTGAAGGTGCTCGGAGTGACGTTTGATTCTAAACTGAGCTACAGACTCCATCTTCGGCAAGTGGCATCACGTGCTAAGCAGCGGCTGGGCCTCCTGCGGAAGGCAGCACCCCTCCTCAGCCACGCGGGCAGGGTGACTGTTTACAAAGGATTCGTCCGGCCAATGCTGGAATATGCCCCCCTTGCATGGATGGGATCAGCCCCCTCACACCTGGCCATGCTGGATGCTGTCCAGCTCCGCGCCCTAAATGTCATTGGCCATGGTACGATTCTTCCCAGCCTCCTTGTTCGGCGAAAGGTCTCTGCTCTCTGCCTACTGTACAAACTGATGTGTGGCCATGGTCTGCCTCAAGTTGCAGCCATGTGTCCCCCGCCGGCTATACCGCCACGTCATCGCCGCACTCGAGCAGCCCAAGCACAGCACCATCCCCACCAGCTTGAGCTGAATCTCTCGCCACGAGCTCCTGATTACCTTCTGCGCTCTTTCCCATACTGCATCGTGCCAGTGTGGAATAGACTGCCACAGGCAATTCTGGACAAGCAGCCAGCCCGGAAACACCTGCAGAGATTCAAGATTGCTGCATACCGTCACCTGCAACAGAGTGACTGGTGCTCTGCTCATGACTGGTGCTAGCCATGCACATCTATCACACTGGCCTGCCATCAGTGGACGCAAATCATTATGTTGACCCTCTTCTCAAAGTAGCATTATAGTCA